TTCTTATTTGCAGCCCTCGTCTCGTGTCTGTATATATACATGTGTGTGTGTTCGTATATACAATAACCATTAAGCCAACACACGGCGGGCAGATCCGCCAAAAGATCATTACTATCAAATTCGTTTGTTTACCCACGGTGTAATTAAGCCTCCGACTTGGAGGAAAATCTTTTTCCATGCAGCTCTCGTCGGCTAAAAGTTAATAAAAAAAAATCGGAGATAGATATATATTCGCCATCTAGCAAATTCGCTCGCGGGCTCGAAACTTATTTTCATGTTAGTTAGCGGTGGGTGTAGATCGTGATTAACCGATTATGCCGCGCATATACATTCGACGTGTGTGTGTGCGCGCCCGATAAATTATTATTGCAATGTGCCCATGATTTATCAGACGTCGTGCAAATATCGCAATGCATGTAATGAGAGCTGCGGAGAGTGAAAAGGGTCGGGGATCATTATGAGCAGAGAGAACTAGCCCGGCAATTACTGCAGCTCTGACGGCGGCAGGTGATTGTCCAGAGCGAAAAGTGCACTTTGATAAGCAGTCAGTTTTCAACGGCACAAAGACTTTCTAGTTATACTCTTACTTCTCAGGTCAGGAAGATTTAAACTAAAGATTTAATTTGCTAGAGAAAAAGGAAATACATAAAGTTAATCTGTGATAATCATTTATATTAATTTAAGCAAAAGAAGGCACAAGAGATGAACAAAAGAATTTTTTTTCTATATTTACATCTCATATATGTGTATACACAATTTATTCTAACACTTATAAATATATAAAATATCTTACTTTATGCGCGTTAACTCCATCAACAAAAATATAGTAACATTATTCATGTTTTAATTTTGTTAAGAAATATACAAATAATTAGTTTTATTATTAATTAGTTAAAAAAAAAGAAAAAATATAAAATTTAATTTTAACTCCTTTTTAGAATGTAAAATTATAATTAACATTATTAATATAATACAATTCATGATAAAACTTTAAAGACAATATTTCTTGCATAAAAAAACATTCATGTTAAAAAAATCAGCCCGTATGAAGTCTGTCGGCGGCGTTTGTGGTGATTACAGAGAAAAAAGTTTGCGGGGTGGATGCTTCTTTCTTAGCCTGCATACTAATCAGCCGACAGACTGAAGCGTCTCTTCATAGAGAGAGAAAATAAGGATTACAGCAATCATTAGCGGCGACAATGAAGCCTGTTGGAGGGTGTGTTCGTTTTTTTCTTTTCGGACGATCGGTTAGGCTTTGAAATCGCCTTCAACACCTAAATTTCGGCCGCGGCTGACTAGTTAACAATGATGGAATAACGGCAGCAGTGAAAAGAGAAGATGAAAAAGAAGTTGATGGGCGCGAACAATAATAAATATCAAACGGCGTTCGCGAAACGAGTGGGTGGAAGGTGGAAGAGCTTTGTAAGTGTGCGGCGTCGTTATGAAGTTTTCACTTTTATTATGTATAGAGTTTTCCAAACGTAGAAATCGAAAATAAATATCAGAGGTTCAAAGTAAAAAAGTTAATTTATAATTTCTAGCATTTCAATTATCTAAATTAAATTAATTTCACATTATTTGAAGAACGAAAATCTTTTAAATCCAGCATCATAAGGATGTATCAAAAATTAATTTTTGGCAATTCATTCTCTAAAATAATAAAAAAAAAAATTTGAAAACGATTGAAGAAATTGGCACTCGAGGATCATGAAAGTGAAGAAATATCTTATGAATAATAGTTTAGTATTAAATTTAAAATTGGGACATCAAACCATCAATTCTAATCTCCATGCAAAGGTTAATTATTTACACACATGAATCACTTTGTTATATATTAATTTAATTTCGTTTTTTGTTTAAATATCTAAAGACACCACAAATCCAAGGTTGGAACACTCTATAATGTCTATAATGACGTATTGGCTCGGTTTATTTACTGAGTCGAGTGGAGCTTCTGTCGCTCTTTTGCGAAATTTCATTTCTCCGCCGCAGCTATTAAGTCTGTGCACTTAAAAAGGCGTGATAAAAAGCTCCGAGGGGAACAATTACTAGCCGGAGCGTAATCAGCGCGAACCACTCAATTCAGTGGAAAAGCACCTAACCGTAAAATTGCACGCAGTAACGACGCGACCATAAAGCTCTCGTGTCCACGCACGGCAGAAGACAAAAGGTGCGCGCGGCGTTTAGTTGTTTGCGGAGGCTCCTCTCTCCCCGCAACAGCATCTTTCTTCGCGGCGGCGGCGGCGGCCGGGGGACATCCAGTTTGCTTTGCACCGAGAGAGATGATTCCACGAATCGCGCTGGAACAGGATTTGATCTTTTGACTTTTAAATGCTCTGCTGCTGTGTGCAGTAGCGAAATTGCGCGCGGCACATTACATAAATAAAGAGAGAGAGAGAAAGAAAGACCGGCCGGCCGGCGGCCGAGTGAGAGAGAGAACGAGATTTATAAAATTTATTTTATATATATCTGTTTAATAACAACCGAGAAGAGCTCCCACGCCGCACATATTATTTCAATAAAGAGCAGACCACCCTCCACGAGAGTTGGGTTCGACCTATTAGAAAATCATTTATGCGCGCACCGATCTCATCATAATTTAATATCGCACCAAATATTAAAATATGAGAGAGAAAAAATCGGCGGTGTGTGCACCGATTGGGCGTGTGTAGACGTGTGTGGCGTGTATAGAGAAAACAAATAATCATCGTTCTCACCACACACCCTCGCCTCCCTGGGTGAGAGATTAGAACATCAGGCCGCCCCTGCACACTGCCCTGGCGAACAATGGAGAACGCGCGAGACAATGCGTGAATGCGTGGGCGGAGGTGAGGATTAGAGGTTTGTCTCCTCCGAGAAGAGCAGCGTGTGACTCACAGCTGCACTTCTTCATGGGATTCACCTCCTGCGTACGTACGAGACGGTGAAGGTCCTCTTCACACGTGCTCGGCCAAATTTGGCCCGCCTGCGGCTGCCACCAAATTCAAATCGGAAAACCCACTCGCTATTTTTGAAACTGTGTCATTTTTCGGCTTTGTTTGTTTGCCGACGTAAATGGTCAGCGTGCAATAAATCTGTCACACGCCGACTTTTGTTTTTGCGCGGCCTTATCGGGCTCTTCCGAACGACAAGGTCCGCGAGTTAAATTATTTATAATACAATTTCGAAACAGCCGCGAGTACGTGATAAGACACGATTAAACCAGAAGCTTTTATTTATCCTTCTGCCGAGTCGGTGTAAATGCGTGAATTTTTTTGCTTTCAAATGCCGAACCCTTTCCAATCTCTAACAATGTACACAAACAGGTGCGCTTTTTGTGTTGTTTTTAAAAATGATCACTCTCCCGAGCGGTCCGACGCACCACAAAACACTTCTTTATTCACGTGATTAATCGCTTTTCTAATGAATTCCGTTTTCCGTTCCACTTGCCGGCTGATGATGATGATGAGGCATTTCAGATTTTCTGCCTTAATGAACTAATTTAGGCGCGAGAACGAGAACGTGCTCCTGTAACGAGAAGCGCCAGGATTGAAAAATTTAATTTCAGATTTCCCTCGGTGTGATTTCTATAGCGTTCTGGGCCTGCCCGTTTTTTTCATAACTCGCCTGTCTGCCTTATTAATGATAGTTTAAACCCACACCTCTTCTCTCTGCCGCGGTACGAAAATATTGTTCGGCGAGCACCGGCCGCAGGGACCGCAAGGCGTCTCTTTTAATTTGAATTATCCGTCCAACGCACACCGACGCCAGCAGCTTTTTCGCTCATTTCGGTCTCTTCTCTCATTTCGCGACGGCTACCGGGCTTGCCGTTTATCAGTTAATTGAAATTGCGCACCAGACATCAGATATATATATAATAATATGTGGTGCGAATCAGCCTTCGGCTCTCGCGCACCCATACCCACCAGAGGGGCCACACCTAATTTAATATATTTCACGTTTTGCTCCATTATGTCGCCAAAACTGCCCTTCTTAATGATGACAACGTGAAAAAGGTCTCTTGGGTGCGGTCATTGTTGCTCCGAGTAGCGCATAAATAGATCACCCGGCTGTGATTTTGGCCAACCTTTCAATCATTCGTCGTCCGCTACAACTGCCAGCCGAAAATGTTTTATTAATAAAATAAGACGCTCTCAATAATCCGTATCAACCAACATCCAGTTTGAGCGTGTCAGCTCAAATGTCTATGCTGATGTTCAAATCGCCCGGTTCGGTGTGAGCGACACTCCAAAAAAGAACTAACATCTCGCTGCGCGGTGAAAAGAAATCCTTGTGGTCTATCGAAACAGGACCAGCAACAACAAGGATTGTTCATGCTTGATGCCACTCAATTATATTGCTCGCTCCTGAATTATATTAAAAGTGTGAAAAAGCTACACGTGCACAATTTATGTAATTTATTTAATTTTACTAAATTTTGCTAGTTAAGCTTGAAATTAAGCAATTTAACATAAGAATAAGTAAAAATTGAAACCAAAATTTTTAAACAAATAATACCCTTAGACGTATTCTTAAAAATTAATTTAAAAAAAAATCATTGCTCAGCTAATTTAGGTTAACACCTGCAGACTTATCCCATCGTCCCATGGAAGGATAAAATTTAACAAAAAACAATTTTCAACAAGGATCTTCTTTCTTCGTGATTAACTCTTAAATTCTCTTAAATGATAAAATCGGATAAAATATTAAAATCAGAACAAAAAAAGCAAGGTTAGGCATTCCTGCGCCCTCGCGGGCTCAACCTGCAACCAAAATTATCGCATAGTAGCGCAATTACAATTTAAATGCCAAGACCTCTCTCTTTAATTCGCCGCGCGCAATAATCAAGCAGGCCCTTAATGATTTCATTCCTTTTCCGCGCAAACAGTGATGAATCACTTGCGCGGCGTCATTAAATCCACTGCCCTCTCTCGCGCAGCAATCCCGCTGCAAAAATCCAAAAAATCCTTCATCAGCCACGCTCATTAATCACGTGCGTCGTTTTTTTTTCTGATTCGCAGGCAAAAAGTGGAAGAGCCTCACTCCGCAGGACCGTCGCCCGTACGTTGAAGAGGCCGAGCATCTGCGCGTCATCCACATGCAGGAACACCCAGACTACAAGTACCGACCGCGGCGCCGCAAGCACAACAAGCGCGGCGCCGCAGCCGGCAATGCAGTCGGAAACGGCGCTGCCACGCCGAACAACCGCGGCCGCTCCGAGTCGACGCGTTCGCCGGGCGGATCTCTGCTGCACCAGCACTTGTACCAACAACCGCGGGTGGCGGCGTCGCCGGCGGCGCCGACGTCTCCGTTCCGCCACCTCAGCAACTACGCCAGCTCGTCCAGCCCGGCCAGTTATTACAACTCGTCGCCGATGCTGCACACTCCGGACTCATCGCCGACCGGCAGTCCCGAGCCTGGCGCCGACTCGATGCGGACAATGCCCAAGAGGACTTCGCCCGAGTCGCGCGAGGTCAGCACACTGCCCACACCCGAGATGTCGCCCATGGAGCAGGACAAGGACACGTTCCAGTTCCAGCAGCAGGAGCAGGACAAGTTCAAGGCCTTCAGACAGCAGCAGCAGCGATTCTTCAACGGTGGCGGCGCCGCCCCGGCGCACCACTTCCAGCTGCCGACCGGCGGCGCCATCGTGATGGGCCGCGGCGCCACCAGTCAGCCCTATCAGGGCCGAACGCACTTTGAAAGTGTCACCAGCACGTTCTACCCGCCGGTGGTGATTCCTCCCTCCTCGGCGGCCAACAGCGCCGCCACGGCCAGTCCACCCCCGGCAGCCTCGGTGCACTCGATGTACAACGGCGCCGCCAACGCTTCTTCCTACCTCGGATACAGCATGCATTGCTCGCCCTCGGGCTATCAGCAGCCTCTGCCAGGAGCCAGGGACGCGTGTCAAGGTGAGAGAGAAAAATTATTTCCTACCAACACACTCCGTTGATGAGCAATTAAAAAGCTCGCGTTTGATTAGTTCTTTGGATTAAGTTTGGGGTTTGATGATGTCGATTAGCTTTAGCAATCAAAGGTGTTTCAGAATTCCTATGATAATTAATCTGATAGGGTCATTAGCCTCCTTAAATTTTCTTACCTAAAGGGGTTTTTGGGAATTTTTCATTCATTTTTATTCCTAAATCTAGTTAGAAGGAAACTTTAATAAAAATTTGGAGTAAAAAACATTATTAAAATATATTTCAATATATTAATTTACATTAATTAATCAATTTAATTGGATAAAATTTGTCTTTAAATGTGTTGTAGATTTACTTTTTTTTAATTAATTATTTGATAATAAGTAAATTAAATTCAAGCAATATTATTTTAGGAGTCATAGCTTATGACGTGAAAAAAGCAGTGTCAGATTAAATTATATTGAAATTTATACTAGACAAAGATGGTTAATATTGTTAATCTTTCATTTAAAAATTATTTGATAACCGAATTAAGGTAGTGTTAATTTTTTGTTTAATTTTTTTATAATTATTTTCATTTAAGTAATGTAATACATGCATTATATAGATAAAATTCAATTCTATTCACTTAAAACAAGTCAAATAATGGAAATACATAGAGAGAGAATTGGCAGCCAGTTCTAGAAAACAACTTTTACTAAAACCATCATTATGTTAATATTAAATTACATTTAAAAATCAAGCATGAAAACAAAAGAAGATTTAATTATTTTTTACTGACGCGTATTTCCCGTCGTATTTTTCCAGGTTCTTCAAACATGTCAGAGGACTTATCGGGCGCCTCCGGCACGTGCCGCTCTAGCTATGCGGGCGGCCACCACCACCATCAGTTCCAAGTGTCCGCCTCTGATGAACTGCTGATGGACGCGGGCCAGCTGGACACGCACGAATTCGACCGTTACCTCAACAAGAGCCAGCAACACGACCTGGACTCGAACCACAATTATCAGCACCAAATCCAGCAGCAGCACCACCACCAGGCCATCCACATGGGCTACTACCAGCAGCACCAGGCGACGGCCGCGGAGGCGCTGAAAGGTGAGGCCGAGTACGGCGCCGCCGACCTGCCGATGGAGCAGCAGATTAAGAGCGAGGACGACTTCAGCCTCATTTTGGCGGACGTGCGCAAAACCTGCTACAACAGCTCGTAGTGAAATTTAATTTAAATAAAATGAAAAAAGATTTGTGAAACAACAGTCTGTGAGAGAGGAGTGCCTTTTGAGATTTTGATTCGGAGATGGACCGAGTTTAAAATGCTTTATGAATGTAGCAGTGTTTGTTGGCTTTGTTTGTAACGTGTAAATAAGACATACGCACAATAAGCCTCGTTTTTGAGGCAGTTATCATTTTATTTGATCGCTGTTTGAACGACGAACATTCCTCAAGAGCAGTACTTAAGGACTTTAAACTTGTAGCTTCCTTCGTTGATTCTGTCTTTTAATTAATTTGACTCTCTTGGCCAGAGTGGCCAGGGTTGCCCTTGTGAAAATAATTTCCCGCAAGTGCTGCAGATTTTAAACCTATTTAAGTATAGTTTAGTAAAATTCTAAATTAGAAAAAAATATTTAACCGAAAACTCAGGTTGAACTCCCAGCAGAGTCATTTATTTTCCCGTTCAAATTGGAGCCCATTTTATGCCACGCAGCCAATGACAATAAAGAGCGGCTGATTAATGGTAATTTATTCCGGTCATTAATATTCAAAACATCTCGTCCAATATTTATACATTTCATCAACCCCGCGATTTATTTATGCGTGCGCGGCGGCTGGGTGGGAAGTATATAAAAGTGCTCAAGCCTTTGTCCTTTGGAAAATATATGAATTCGCCGCCGCCGTCGCTGTATTTAAAAAATCCACGACGCAGGTGTGATGGAATTCTACTACCTTTCATATCAAGATTCTAACTTCCAACAATAATTATAATTCACGGTGTCTTCATAAAAATTTTCATTTAAATGGAAGAAAATTATAATTTTTAAATTTTAAACTTTTCGGAAACCAAGCGAACAATAAACAATGTGCCTTTGGAGATTTTGAAACTTTTTATATAAAATAAGAAACGCCGACACGCCAGAGGTAAATTACTGCTTTGAGCAGTCTGGAGGTCATGCTTATTGATAATTAGCATTTTCGCCTCTCGAGGACAATTGACCTTCCCACTACTCTCCGTCTAGTGCATCTCTCTTATGTGTGCCTTACATTTATTTTTTTTTCTACAAGCAGCACGCGCTGGTCGTCCTGTGGCGAGAGGCGAAACGGTTCCACGCACAAAAACACACACAATAATTACGTGAGATAATAACGATGTAGGAGACGCAAAAATTTCATAACTCACCGCTCCTTCTTCCTCCATGCAGCATCCACACAAACAACAACTTTTTTTATAATCGTCCAACTTCTCTTTTTATACACCGAGAGCTAGTGCGTTATTATGTAATGTGGTAATAATTTTGTACGGCAAATATTTCTAGTTGTTAAGGCAGCAGTATATAAATAATAACGTAATTTTTTTTTTTACTATTTCAATGTTGGCTATTTTCTATTGAACTTATTTTAGTTATTTTATCGATAATTATTTTTTTTGTACAGAAAATTGAATGTCAATTTGACGACGAGTATCTCATCATGCAATGTTGGAATATTTTTTTGTGAAATTAAAATAATAAAAACACGATAACGACATTACAAGAGAAAATTTGTAGATATTGGAATTTTTGTCAATATGTTAAAAAGCAATCAATAAATTGTTTTAATCCTATATGCAATAAAAAAGTTTGTTTCAATTCTCTGTGTTAACCCTGTGAGAAGGTATGCAGCGACATTTTTATATTAATTGGCTCATTCACTTAGCTGTCGCACGCTTTTCTATCAGAAAAGTATACACCAGCGCACGGTTTGAATATCTCGCACGTCCAAGACTCTCGAACGGTGTGACACTCAGACAAAAGGGTCAATTTCCTCGAGGATCGAGAGGCATGCGAGTTATTTAAAAGAGTGTCAGTGAGCGAGATAATCAAAAATGAAATCAGCCCCTTCGCAGCTTGACCGTGCGCACATGAAAAGAGCCGCTCTCTTCTGATGCCTCTCGTATCTCGGACGCAGCATCAACCGCCTATTCGCTCGCCGGTAATGAGCCGGGCCGCGTTTCTTCTCTTGCTCGCCTCCAGTGTGAATCCGCAGAGAAAATTATGATTTCCACTCACAAATAAATTGACTAAGTGCCTAATCAGCTACATTTAGATTTGATTTAAGATGTATAACATATAAAATAAGACCAAATTATATATAAATTAATTTGTGGTGACCTAAATATACATACTATAATAATTTTATGTTCAGATAATGAACCAATTTTGCCGTAATAAGCTCTCCGTATTTGATAAGCCCTGGAGATTAAATTTCTGAATGGCAAACAACCCGCCCATTGTTTGGGTTCTGTTTATTAACGGAGTTTGTAATAGCCAATAAAAGTAATTAAAAGGCAGCTTTGTATGGGCCATCACTGCCGTGTTACACACCTTAGCTGATTATGGTCTGGCTTGTGACGCGCCATCCTCGTCAGGAGCAAAAGCACAACTTGGAATGCCTCATTTATTAACGTCGCTCGGCCAAAAATTCACCTCGGGCGATTTCTGAAATAAATGTTCTTTGCTGTAACAGGAGGAGAGCACTGAAGCATAAAATATAGAAAATTATATCAGGAAATTTTCATGTTTTATTTGGCTTATTTGAATTCCAGGTAAATCAAGAGCGAGCGAAGGGAATAAATAACAAATGGTGGTGCAGATTATCGTGGGGCATTATGTCACTGAGAGGCAATATGAGAGGCGAGCCTTGTAATTAAAAATACCGCCCCTCAATAAATTACCGGCGAGGAGGATGCACGATCTCTCTGTGAGCGCCGTGTGATCGTATCACCGCAATATTTTGATTTAGGACCACTCTCGCGGCTCACCGACTGATTCCAAAAGGACGACAAACAACTCTATTCTGGAATCAAATACAATTTATTCAAAGAGCATCGCCAGAGAGAAGTTTAGACATATTTTGGATATTTATACGCTCCTGCCTGTGAGGAAAATTGTGGTTCTCGTAAATTCACATATTCTTTTTATGTCGAATATAGTTTAATAAATTTAAAATCTTTTGAAAAAAGAAACTTTAATCTTAACTCGTTAAATTTTGTAACAGTATCGAAGGTTTAATCATTAAAACATTTGCATAGTTCTGTGATTTTCTCACTAGACGATTAATTGCCTTTCACAGCCTCTCGCGATGATTGTGTGATTCCCTGGCGAGAATCCTTGGCCCTTCTTTTATAATACGCCGAGAGAGACGTGCATAAGTACAACTTCTCTGCTAATGGCAAAAATTTATTTATTCGCTCGCAGTACATTAAAGAGAGTGGATTGCATTTAATTTGGTTTCAGGTGCGCGACATAAACGGAGCAGCTTCTGGATATATTGCCTTTGGATGATTCTTGGAAGTATCAGCGTTAATAGCCTGCTTTGTGGCTGTGAAATGCATTAAGGCGGTCGATTAATTCAGTGTAGGATAATTTACAAACTGCGTCGATCGTAATTTAACATTAATTTGTTATTTGTTACGATTTTTTTAAAGAGAAATTTAAGTTAACTGTGAGGTGAAGTGAAGGTAAAATACAAAATCAAACTCAATATTTGTATGCATCTTTGTCTCAATTAATTATTGAACTGTTATAAATTAGTATGATTAAATTTTTTTATATAAAGATTCATTTCAGATCATGGGAATATAACTTTTTATGTTGTCCAAAGTTTAAAAAATTTAAAAAATTTTAGTGAAAATTTAAAATTAAACACTTGATCAATATTTTCTATTCAAAATTTCAAACGTGCTGCAGATTTTGTAAAAAAATTATAGATTCATGAAAAGTAAATTATAAAAAAAATTTTAATATTCATGCAAACTCTATCAAATCGCGCATAAAATGTTTTTCTAACTAGAAACTACATAAATAGATTTAATTAATTACTTTTTATTTAAAGATATACGCAAAAGCTTTTTTTGCGCTGTAAAAAAATCTTCTTGCTTTTTATGATTACTGGGACTTCCCTCCTCTGCACCTTTTTTCATCGCAGTGACATCAACGCGCCGTTTCGCTCTCTGTTCATAAGTCGCTATATGATTATATAGCTTCTTGGCTGATTGGTTTTTCATCTAATCGCTTTGCTCCGAGATGATGAAACTGCAGCACCTCACAGGAGAGACGAAGTGTGAGTCAGGAAAATATATAACTTGACGATTGCTTTTATTATTTTTGCAGAGCGTGCACGCAGGCGAGCGGTAATCAGCGGCAAAAATGGAGAAAAGAAAAGCGACGAGAAAGACGGCCGGTGCAAATTTTGATTTATGATCCGCTTGAATTACATGCTGATACGGCGGCGTGACAGGATTATTTTCCATCATAAAAGCCGGCAATAACAAGAGTCGAATTTGAATAATGAAATTATGACAGCTGCTTACACTCTTGAGAGATACACACGCCGAGAGATCTGGGCGTGATAATTTTCGCGCAGTCGACAAGCAGGGCCGTTCTTGCCTTTCTGATAAAGATAATGCCAATTGCTGTGACTTTTGATAGGATAAGTGGCCGTTCAACGCGCTCATAGAAATCTATCTTATTCAATTAAACGTGAAGATATAACGGAACAATCAAATGAAAATTAAACATGGAATCCTGGAAATCTGCGAATGAATGTGAAATTATTAAATCTAATCTAAATTTTTATTAGAAATCTGAATTAGTCTATAAAAGGACATTTTCGTGTTGATTTTTTTTTTAATTGAAAATAAAGAAATTATATTAAGTTTGTTCTACAACACGGGTTATTCTTTCTAAATTTTAAATCTTTGTGCATTTTTTTTATTTTTGAAAAGGAAAACTGAAAAAAAATAATGCGATTAATTGAAAAAAAAAATTATTGATTTGGAATTTTGGAATAGTGGGAATAATTTAACTTTTTATAATAGTAAAAACACATCTAAATTTGATACATTCAATTAATTTCAAATGCTTTGTTTAAATTTTTATCTTATAGTCATATGTTTGAAAATTTTCCTCATGAGGTAAAACCAGGTAAAACGATGTTTTTCAAAGCTCCGAGTGCTATGCGTTTTCCGGCTAATTAAATTGTCAACCTTTGTTGAGCCCCCCTAGTCTCATCTTGATTACACGATTTTTATTAAACCTGACCTTGCAGTGCGGGGTATACCAAGGGAGATGCAAAGCATAGGATATATTTATTTCCCTTATGTAAGAAAGGAAGTGTTGATTCGCGCTTCACGAAACACATGCAGCAAAGAAGAGAAGTAGAAGCGACTTGCGCTTTTTTTCTCGGCTGCCTTTCTGATGAATTACTCGCACACGTCCAGACACCACCAGACCTCGAGACTGCCTAATCACTATTCACGAGCCTCGTATCCGAGCGCACCATTAGAGGAATGAGGAAGGAAACATTGCAGTGCGCCCATCACAAATTGTGTCAACCCGTCAGTACCTCTTGAGTATACTTACAATTAGTAATACATGATTAGGGGCTCAGAGAGTGAAAGAAATTTAATCGTTTTGTGGATGACAAAAATACAATTATTGCTTCATTACCTTTCCTAAATTATTATGCAAAAATTTATCAAATATTTTTTTTAAATTTAAATTTAAAAAAGTTCCTCCTTCAAGTATAAATTAAATAAAATTATTTATCCATATCATTTCTTAATTAATCTTGCTATTTAATTTAGGCCAAAGAAAAAAAAGAAACAAAATATAACGCAATATAGTCTAGGCTTAAATCTTTGGCCCTATATAATCCCTAATCTTCTACAATTTTAAAATAAAGCAAGGGCTAATCATTTTAAATTGACCCAAAGAGAAAATTAATTTACACTGTTTAATCTGATTTAATGTTAAACCGTGTTATAGGTGGTTCTAAAATACTTTTTACATAATTAATCTTGTAAGCTTGTAAAAATTATAAAGAAGAATTTTAATTATAAATTGATGCGTCTTCAAATTACGATTTTTATTTTCATCTGTAAAATTGAAAGGACCAAAATTATGGCTATAAGTGCGTAATCGCATCCGAACATCATCTATTTTAGCGATCTTTATGGTCTAATGTCTAATCACTCCAAATTTAATCTCTAATCTATTCTGCTATTGCGACTAATTTAATAGTATAACAATCAGAAGATGCATCAAAATCACGCAATCTACAGATTGAAGAAATAAACTTGTTTTGATTTGATAAGCACTTCTCTTGAAATTATGCATGTCTTGGAGAACCATCTCTCATCTCCCTCCACTATTATTAATTTACGCGTTCATATATCCACGCTCATTTAGCGCCGTTTAGTTATGCAACGTGTACAGATTTTGATTGCTACCTTCGCCGACAGGTCGCAGCACGCATCAGCTTGCGAAAAACGAGGAGTGCCGCAAGGAGCTCTGTGCTGTAGCAAGGAGCTTTTTTCGAGTTTCGAGGTGACCCGCCGATCGATGTCGGTAAAAGTCGGCAACACCCGAAGCTGAGGCCATCTTGACCATACGAAACCTCAACAAGAACTGAAGAGAACATCAAATTTGTAAGTTTTACACTTTTTCTTGCTCAGAAAGTCAAAATCACAGTCAGAAAGGGGTACCTTAGACTTTTTGTCGCATCTTTCTCTGTAGACTTGAACCTTTTGTTGATGTTTTCGAAGAAAAGAAACGATATGTAAGCAGAAGATTTGCTTTGCATTTAAACACCTGATTCGATCTTTGCCGAATTAAATTTTTTTTGTTTTTCTGCACAATAATTAGAGCTTTTCAAGTACTGCTATTATATTCTCAATATTTACACACGATTGATAGAGCTTATTAAAAATAATGCGAATTCATGAAAGATGATAAATTTGATACATAGAGAATTTATTTTCAAAAAATTAAATTACGGCTATTTATGTATGTAAATAATATCAATAGAATTTTTTCTTAGTGATGAAAATCTTAAGTTGTATCCTAATTTTTTATTCAAATGTACGGAAAGGTTTCCTAATAATTTATCTTTTGCAGAAAATGGCCCCTGTTATGAGGAGGTTGCTTCAAACCAACATCAAGAAACATCTGGTCATCGCCAGTGTTCTCTGCGGCATTTCCGTCGTCGTCACCGAGAATGTCCTGAACAAGCCTAGGAAAGCGAAATACGCTGAATTCTATAAGTATGTTTAAATTTAAAATAAAGAGCTAAAGTCTATAAATCAATTTTAAATACATAGTTATTACATCTTTTTTTTTTATTTCCGAAGGACCTACGATGCCGAGCAAGACTTCCAGAGGATGGTTAAATGCGGAGTTTTCCAGTCTGTGAAGCCCTGAACTTGCAGCCAATAGTTCCAGCAAATAGATAAAAAAAATGTCATTATTCAATTAAAAAGATATGTAAATAAATGTAATAGACTCCTGTCAAGTTGTTTTTCCAAAAATGTATTTCATCGACAAAGTCCTATTTTTAAATCACTTTAAATTTCATCGCACAGGAACTTAATATTTAAATTTATCAACAAGTTTGAATTGGTTTTAATTACTCGAAAGCCAGGTCGGTTTTTTTAAGTCTTATGCAAATTAGTTCCTGTGAATCCCAATTAGCAAGTCGACCAATGGGAGGGCCGGATTTCAAATGCTGGCTTCCAACATGGCTGTGGCGGGAAGCATACAAGCAATCGTCCTGATTGATTTGCGCATGTCAGTTGGGAACTTTGCAAATGGCGTCACTTGTTATTGTTCCATGGCGTTTGTGAAATCGTCCAAATTATGACAGTTTTTCCCTTGTACAAAGGTAAGCGGTGACCCGCGAGTGATCTATTTGCGGTCTTTAGCGCACCTCGGACGACTTGGAGTGTCGCGACACCGGCTGGACAGTGTTTTAGTGTGAGAAATATCGCGACGAAAAGCTGCAAGAAATTAATTTTCTCGTTCACGGGTTCACTTTTGGCCGCACTCGGCGTCACCTTTGTGCAGTGCGCGCTCGCACGGTGGCCGGACTGGCCGATTCGGACATCAGCCCAGCCGGATTGGCGGTCGGGACGCGACCGAGTGCCACTTTGGGCTTCGAAGGGTGCACTTTGGAGTGCGAGTTTGAAGCATGCCTTTGCCGTGTTCCACTCCCCCAAGTCACAAAATGGAGGTCGGAATCCTCTTGAATATTTTCATTTGGAAGGCCAAGAAAGCGGCCGCCGCCACCCTTTCCACGACCTTTGACCCTGAAAACGGTTTTATCCGCCGCCTGCGGCGTGACGGCGCCGCTCTGGCCGCACTCGACGCCGCGGGCGTGTCTGCGGCGCCCAAATTGGGCCAAGAAAACAAGCCCATTGCCACCATTGACGGTGTCCATAACAAGCCGAGGCCACCCTACGGCCAAATGACAAGCCGTATTTATTTTGATGTCCCGTGGCCTCCGAAGTGGGCTCTCCGTGCCCCCGTGACTTCCCCACGCGTTTTCGGCGCCTAAGACCACGTTTCCGCGACACATTTTGCCGTTTCGCTTTGTTTTCGGCAAGTTCAACAATCGCGTGAAATTCACGTTCTCCGCCAATAATAATCGAAAGTAAATCGGCGGCCGTCTCCACGAACGCTCCAACGTCGATCTGCCTGAACCCTTTTCTCTCGCGCGTCAATGAACTTTTGAAGTTTAATCTCGCGATTCCATCCATTTACTTCGTTAATTGAATTTAAATTACTTTTACTCTTATCAAATCAATTATTTTCACTCTCCGAAATCAGGTCCGTGGTGCGTTGAAACCGTTTGTTACTTCAAATTGTTGTTAAAATGTTGTTGATTAATTTGTTGAATTTTTCATCATCTGTACATTTATTTGTTTCAGGCAGTTCAACTGTTCATAAGGGTAACACATTGGTGTGATTTTTCATGCATTCGTTAGAGCTTGTAAGTTTTTTTTTTTAATTTGTTAACTTTGAATATTGATTGTCTAAAATTACATTTGTTTTTTTTTAGAATGGCCGCAGATAGTGATGGCGATGTCATTGAAACTGTGGTCACTTGCAAAGGAAATTTAGAAGATCCTGACTTTCAAGAAAAGTTCGACGGGTTTATCTCCAATCTTGGAGATCTGCTATGTTCCAGTGAGTTTTTAATTCTAAACAAATAATTCTGTTATTATTTTCTACTGCAGTCATTAAATTTTATAAAGTAATTTTTTTTTTAATTTAGGTGAGAGTGGTTCTCTAAAAGTCAATAAAGTGGAGCCATGGAATTCTGTGCGTGTAACACTTTCCATCCCCCGTGATGCTGCTCACCGGCTGCGTCTCTTGGCTCAACAAGGTCATCAGGCCCTTCGCTCTCTGGGAATTCTCTCTGTGCAAGTGGAAGGTGATCAGGTATGTGAAGATAAATATATTCTCACTATTTTAATTCATTAAGAATCTTTGAAAAAATTTCTTTTCAATCTGGTTTGTACAAATCAAATCAATACTGCACATATCATTTTATAGAACAAAATCTAAACTTAATCTTTTTCAGATCATTTCTCTCACCATCGTGGGTCGAAATGACGAGCCCCAAGAGATCAGTCTGCAGCCAGCAACACCCGTGGCTTCGGTGCCTGCGGCCAACGAGTTGCCTGCTCCAGTCAGTTCCGTGGTCAACCATCGACCAGCAGCATTTCCAGCGGCTGAAGCTGCACCACCGCCCACCCAGGTCACAGCAACAGCAACACCCAGCGTGCCTGTTGCCACCTTCACAGCAGCTGTGACCAACAATGTTGCTCCGAACGTGGTTGCTCCTGTCAACGAGCCAATCCCGTTCTCCCCTAAAACGGCCGCCCGACCGCCAGGCAGCTACGGCCCATTTCCCTTTGCCAGCATGACGCATGCGGCGACGGCCATGCAGAATCGAGAGTCTCAGCACGGAACGGCCACTCGCTTCCCGTTCAACCCACCTCCGCCCTACCCTGGCAGCAACGCGCAGCCCCCGGTGCCGGCAGTCCAACCGGCCGCCGTCCCAGCGTCTTCTCAGCCTTCACCGGTGGTCAACCACTTCCAACAGAATGCGCAAAAGGTTGCTTCAAGCATTGCCAACCACGTGGCCAAGGCCGCTTCGGCCACCAACAACTGTGTTGCTTCATCGGCAAGTGCCGCCAACGTAGCCCTTTCTAGCCCCCTGCTGGTAAACCTTTTGCAAAACGACGCCCCGACGCCTTCGAAAATGCTTCCGCCACAGGCAGACAAGAAGAAGGCGGCCGCCACCAAGAAGGTGAAGAGAAAAGAGGGCGACGGTGCTTCGCCGCCAGCGTCTCCCTTGCAGCAGCCACCTGACCAGCCACAGTTCAGTATTTCAATGCCTTCACTACCAAACATCCCCAACCTGAATTTATCTCCGCCCCCTGCGGCGGCGGCGACTGTGTCCGAGACGCGTCAGGCCGCTCCTCTCCGACCGTCACCTCCACCCCCATACGCGGCCCCAAGCCGCCGAGTCCCAGCCCCTGTTGTAAATCAAGTTGTGCCTTCATCCCCCACGTCAGATTCCTCATCGACCTGGACTCCTAGTCAGAAGGAAGCGAGTCCGCCGCCCATCACCTCCCGCGGCAAGCGGCGTCAGTTTCTGATAAACCCGCTCACTGGACATCTCGAGCCCATGCCCAGTGACAGCAGCTCCGAGAGCGAGCACGACGAGCCGCCCTTGGAGCCCTTCTCGTTTGTCGACCGCTCCAACTCGGGTTTCTCGGATGAGGACGAGTCCAACGTGAGCACAGTGTCACGCAAGGAAACGGACCAGTCTGACTCGGAGGCCAAGTCGAACGCCAGCACCGACTCAACGAGCAAGAAACTGCTTCGGGACACGCTGCAGGCGTTGCCTGAGTTTGGCGAGAAGATCAAACTGCGCCTCAAGTTGGAGAAGAGCGAGCCCGTGACGCCAGCTTACAAAGTAGACGTGTCTTATGTAAATGTTCCCCCCGTGAAAAAGGTCGTTGAGAGACCCCTGCCCCAAAATAGCAGACTGTTCGCTGGTCTTACGGCCACGGCCGGCGCCCCTGCGGCCCCCAACCCACCCAGTTCGCCACTTGGCGAGCAGCCCCGCGTACCTCCGCTGCACATATCGCTGCGAGGACGAAACGCGGCCGTCGTCGTCAACAGTCGCAGTGATAGCAAAGAACAATCGTCGCCGTCGCCCAAGAAGTTGGGCAGTGGTGGTGGTGTTAGTGGTGCCGCCGTGGGCGGATTGACTGCGAGTGAAGCTGAAAGGACAGCCAAGCGCAAGGTGAACCGCACCAAAGTGAAAGACGGTGAAATCAGAAGTCTGTCGACCAACCTGCTGACGGCGGCGGTTGGTCAAGAAATACAACCAATTGTGGTCAAGAAAAAACAGTCGAGAACGAACAGCAAAAGTGGCGTCGACGCGGAAAAGGTCGGTGTCGCGCTCACGGTGCCTCCTAAGGGCCCCGGAAGGCCCGACGTCAAGTTGGAGCAGAACGAAACTCCTGCTTTGGAGGTGCCCGAGGCAAAGGTTGAGGAAATCAAAGAGGCTGACAAGCAGGCCAAGATCAAAAAGGTCAGGCGGAAGTCGTCGTGTGGCGGCGAGCAGCGTGAGCAGAACCTGCTTTCCGGCGGCGGAATTGTCGGCGATGAGCCCATTGACGAGGAGACCAGGGCTAAGATGCTGCTGGCGCGAAAATCGAGACGCTCGGCTGACGGCAAGTTGATCAGCAGCAGCCCCAAGGAAAGTAATGCTCCAGCGCCGCCAGAGCCTTCTGTGGAGAATGGTGTCGCAAGAAGCAAAGGGTTTCTCGAGGGCGACTCTCACCTGGAAAGGAGGGATAGCCTAGAGGAGGAAAAACCTATTGTTAAGGATCTCAGATTAACAGGTAAATAGCCTGCAGTTTGATTTTTATTGTCTATGTAGTGAAAAACTAATTTAATCTTATTCAAGTGGTTTTCCATTAAAATTTATCTTGAAAAATTTTTTTGTTTAAAAAAAATAGTTTACCCTACACAAATTAATAAAGCAAATGCACAGAAAGTGCAGGTTGAATTAAAAAAAAAACATTTTAAAGTCCCTTATATTTGTATATTTGGTAAACGAATATCCGTTCTTAGTAAGATTTTAATTATAATATTTTCCTTATTTGTTGCAGCTCCAATTTCTGTGAAAGTTTTGTCACGGAGTAACCCCCAAGAATCGGGCCTAAGCCTTTCGTCCTCTCTCACTCAGGAACTCGACCCCGGCCTCCTACCCCTGTCGCCCTCTTCCTCCTACAATCTAAAGCATAGCGACACTTCTGTGATATTAACCGAAAAGAGCCAGCCGCCAAAGGGTGGCAAGGAAGAAAAACCCATGAAACACCACTTAAACCTACCCAACACAATCACAGCCATCGCAAAGCCCTCTCCGAACTGCAACAAGGTGAAGCAGAGTGGCGTCAGCGGTGGCGAACCGTCGGCCAAGTACAGGAAGGTTGACGCGCACCCCTTGGACACGGACCTAGTGGTCAATGACAGAAAAGTCTCCCTGGCAAATTTGAAGAAGATGGCGTCAAAACCTCAGAACGCCTCGGAAAGCAGCTACTCAAAGTTGACGAGAATCGCGGAAAGCCTTAAGGACAACAAGGAATCAAGCGGCGTGACCCTTCCACTCCCATCTATTGACATATCCGTCATGAATTCGAAGATCTCGGCCGCTGTGAAAGATGAGAAGTATTTAATCAAGAGGGAAACGCCTGTCACTAGTCTAGAGGCTGATAAGCCTGCACCTCAGCAGGCTAAGACTTCGGAGCGCGTTGAGAGTCCCAGCAATGGAGGCAACGGCGCTCATGAGTCTGGAAACACTCAGGGCGAGGATTCTGGGATTGAGTCGATGGACGCGCTGTCAGAGAAAAGTCCAAACCAAGGGGAGAGTCCGCTACGTAAAGAGGAGAAGGACGAGCCTCCTGTTGCCGAGGAGAAAAGCAGCAGCGAAACCACGGTGCCTTCAGTCGAAGAAGCCAAACCTGAGCCCAAATGCCCAGAACCCAAGGCTGTGACCAAGGAAGGGCCTGAGCCGGCAGAGGTCAAACCGGAAGCCAAGGATCTTCGTTCTTTGGCCGCCAACTCAAAGCTGGCGGCCGCTCTAAGTGACATGCCGGCTGTGTTTTTGCAGTCTGCGCCTCGAACGGCAGAAGGGGCGGCTGCCTTCAACATGAGGTCGCCCAAGTTGATGCCCATCAAACTCGTGAAGCTGCCTTCTAACGCCACTTCCGGTCAAGCCTTACTGGAGCTAAGCATCCCCAAGTCAGAAGCCTCCTCGTCGACGGCCAGTCCGGTCAAAATCTTGGTGCCCAAGATGTCTCCCATGAAGACACCGACGATGACCGCGGTTGTGGTCAAATCTGTAGTGGTGACCTCGGCGTCCAACATGATCAACATGGTGCGCACGGCCTCGGTACAGAACGAGTCCAAGGATGACGGGCAAATAAGGTGGATCCCCACAAGCACCGTCAGCAGCGTCCTCCCTCCACCCCCACCTCCAACCACCTCATCAGCCTCTTCAATGTTGACACCACTAGCTGATGATTCACTAGAAGATGATCTTCAACCCTTCAGAGTCACTCCTGCCCTTTACACATACTCAAATACAGAGAAGCACAGAGATAGCCCTTCCCCACCTGCTGATGAGATGAGCAAAGCAGACGAGTCAACTGTTTCCGAGTCTACCCTTGAGGAGGTTTGTTATAAGTCAAGATATATTCTAACAAAAACTAGTGACAAACCTATTTTAATTTAAACTTAAATTAATTTGGCTATTTTATGTTTTGAAAACATTGAATTTCAACATCTAATGTTATTTTCCTTTCCAGGAGAAAAAGTCACCTGTGCCACCCAAGGAAAGTATTCTCAAAGCAGAGCTAACTGGTGAAGATCTGTCCACCCTCCACCCAAACTACCACCATTCAAAAGATGCATCTGATGAACACAACTATGTAGCACGGAGCAAAGTGAAAGACAAACGACTCGGAGAGCAGCTGAGGATAGAAATTCCGATGGAGCCCCACGAATCTGAAGACAAGAAGCCAGTAAGGAACACGAGATCCTCATCACGACTGATCAGCCCAGACCTGGCCAAGTTAGAGCAGCGGACGCCGGCAGTCAGTCCTGCTGACGACGACATGATCAAGGGCCCGTTGTCCTCAAGTTCGTCAACATCCTCCAAACTCAGCCCAAACACAATCACCCCCAGGGCTGGCTTGAAGAGAAGGAGACAGGAGTCTGAAAGCAGTGCCGCCTCTAGCATAAGAGACGACCAGGACGAAAGCAGTCCACCCTTGTCGGACAGACCTGGGAAAAGAAAATGCTCTGAAAACGCTGCAGAACTGATAAAGGCTTGCATGGGAGTGGATGACACGCCCATCAAGAAGCTGCTTACAACGGCACATTCTGTTAAAGAGGAGAAAAGGAGTCCTTCATCTTGTAGTGATGCTAGTGAGAAGAGGGCAGCTATGAGAACCAGACGAGGTACTTTTTTTATTCATTTTGAATCAATTTAAACATACTAATGAAATATTATCGTTGAATCAGGTGGCTCGTTGGCAGCAGGAGAGTCATCGGATGACGACCAATACTTACCAGATGTGCCAAACAAGGGTAGGCAAAGCAGGCAGATAAACAAAGAAGACAGGACAGGTGCCAAAACGCCCCTAAGAACTCCCAGATCAGCAAGTAGAGACGAGGAAAAGTAAGAGCTCATTTTTTAATTACCAATTAAATATAGCTATGTGGACTATTTGTTCAATATCTATAATCTGTTATTCAATTTGTGTACTCTTTCTTTTTTAATAAGTCATGACCGTTTGCAGAGTTGGAAGATTGAATCACAGAACAGCTGCAGTCAAGGTGGTCAGCGTATCAGGCACCACCGCACAAGGAACCTTACTCACCACTCAGCCACCTGAAAAGCGATCCAGGGTCGATACACCTCCGCCTGGGTCATCTGAAACTCCAACCAGACGATCCAACAGACAGCAAGCAGCCGCAGCGACCACAGTCAAAGCAGTGATACAACAGCAGCAAGTAGAGCCCTTGGCCAAGTCTAGGGAAACGAGGGGTGCCTTAAGAACAGTGCGGGATGAAAAAACAACAGCGCCCAGCCCAACCCCAACAGAGTCTGCAAACACGAGAAGGAAAACGCGGAGTGCTAAGGCTGCAGGTATGGTTTTTGACCCAATGTGTTTACTTGAGTCATTAATTGTATGCTAATTGATTAGGTTACTGAAAGTCTCTTGTTGAGTGGAGCAGTGCAACACATTCCATCTAAACGAAAAAGAGGAGCTCTACACGAAGCAAGTAGAATGAGCTGAAGGGATTTCACTTCATTTTCTTTTCAAAAGTACAAATCAGTCCACAGTATGTTAAATTTGTGGGTAGGAGGGAGCGCTGTATAGAGAGAATTGAATGACTTTTTGTTATGTAATTTATATTTGATTAACAACTTCATTTTTGTGTACAGCTTTGATAATTTATACGTGGTCCATAGAAGAGTATGTAAAAATAATGGTCGTGTGAATATCAGAAACAAAGTGGATAAGAAGAAGAAAACAGATGTAATAACACAAGAGAGACAGAAAAATACCTAGTGGCGGTAGAAAAATTTAATACAGTTGTTCTTTTACATTGTAACAATAATACAGGGGAGGCGTTTTTTTTTCATTTGGAGTCTGTTATTAGTTGATGGCTTCAGTGTTTCTGCTATAAATGAAAATTGAGAAATCTCATTCGAGAGATATTTTGCCTTTCTACCTTGCCATTTACGAAATGAGGGAAAGCTGCTCTGTTAATATAAAAATTGGCTTTTTAAGTGTAAGTTGTTACCAACATGCATAATAACACATAGTTAATGTCCAGTTGTTATCATAAATATATTCTATTAAATACGAAACACGACTCAGTGTTGGTCGGCAAGTGTGCGTGTGGTGGTGAGATCCAAGTTCCGGCCCTTATTGCCCTCACTCACGGGTCTCGCAAAACAAAAGTCATTCAAACGCATGTTTAGTTTTCGACAAGTGCAATCAAATTGCTCTTTTGGTTTTCTTTTTTGTTCGTGTAAGCGAGTCGACAGAGTCCCTTTGGAGGGCTGCTGGGGACAGGGCCTGGCTTTTATTTTGAATGATGGGCACACTCAACAAAATTCGAGTGGCTGCTGAACAACTGATGAGAATGGACATCGTCTTGGAAATGAATCCACTATTTTATGTTTGTGCAAAACATACACACTACATGGCAAACTGATATGTAGTAGAGTGATTGTGTCTTTTGAGTGGAAAAAATACACACACGCATTGTTGTTTTTAATTAGTGGGTTATTATACTTCATGCGTAAAAAAATTATAAATACGAATTATTATCATCACTGTTGTCCTAATTATGTAAATAATTAATATGATATGTAAATATATCTCATTTTTCTAGATTCACGGCTCTTCTTTGATTCTTTTACCCTACTTTTTATGATGTTGATTGAACTTTCTTTTAAAACGAAAGTATCAAACAAAAGATTATTTTATTAAATTGAAGAATATTAAATCTTCAAAATTATTATTGAAGAAATTAATTTCACTTATTCTTGGGTTTTATATTCCTACAAATTTTGAAACCTCAGAGCTCTTCATTATTTTTGAAATATATTTCTCCATGAGCCCTAAAACTTAGCAAATAAAGCGTAATTGAATGTAATCAAATTTTTATTTAATGCCAACAAAAGTTCATTTTAGTTTGCTTAAAATAAAACAGAACTTTACATTTCATCAAATGATATATAAAATAATGACAAAATTTACAAAAAAGATATGCACACAAATTGCTTAGGTCACTGAACGAGGTCTGAGGATAAGTTTCCCAGTGTCATCACAGGACATGTGATAGTCAGACAAGACCTCTCTAGTCCGAGACATAAGAACCGAAGGGGCGACCATCTTCCGGTGCGCCCCACTCAGCATTAGAATGATAATTGCGAGGCTGGAAAGGGTGAAGAACGGGTGGTTGCAGAGAGACTGGTAGAGGGGCACCATATTGGTCAGCGGGTCGGAGAGCCAGTAGTAAGCGGTCACGGCTAGGCAAACGGAGACGATGGCCAAAATAACACGCCACCGATAAGCGCCAGGCTGCGAGCAGGCCACGATTTCTGTTAGTCGTCGCTCAAACGCCTTCAAATCCTCACACGCGTTTCTCTCCAGAGACATTATATTTCTAAAAATTTAAATACACAAATTAAATTGAAAAATATCTGAAAAAAAAAACTAAAAATATTAGTTTTTAGCCCATTACTTTAAAATTATTCCTTGAAACGGCAATATATGAGTTACGGCTAAATCGTCTCGTTATAATCTTGCTCTGTTTGAAAATTTAAATAGTGAATTTTTAGAATCGGCTCAATCGGCTGAAAACCCCGTCAATCCGTTTTCTGCGGCCAGTGCCCTTTCTCCGGTTTCCTCTCCAAGCTCTGTAGGAGAAAAAATTATTTTTTTAGCAGAAAGGCTTAACATAAACAAGCTTTTTACCTTCAGGTTTTCAGGGTCAGGGTCCAGCAGTGGTCATCCAGACGGCTTGGAGAGAATTTCATTTGGCAGAATTCTCTATGTACAGCAAATTCAAGCTCAAAAAGACTCCTTGAACTCCTTCAGCTCAAAGCAGCTCAAAGAAAAGAAGAACAATAAAAACAAAACAGGAGTTGCCAAAACTTGCTCCAGGTGGCACTGCTGTCAATAACATCTGATTGAAAAAAGCAGATCTTGTTGGTGTTGGTGTGGGCCTGGGGGCTGGAAAAATTTGGATTTTCTTGATCCCTTGTGATTAATTTTGAGTATTTTTAAATTCCAATAACGCCATAAATAATTTCGTGTCTCTTTTATCATTCCTGATACAAAAACACCGCCATAGATAATTGATATCTCCTAAAATTGTATCTCGAACTCCGGCACAATGTTGTGCGCCGCCCTAGCAAGGTTTGCCGAGATGAATGAAAAAACTTTTATCAAGTTGTTAAATAATGTTTCTTTTTGCAGACTCCAGCTCAATCCTGCAGGGCTGATGACTCTTCAAAGCAGGACTATTTTTGTCCAGAGCAACCCAAACTTATTCAGAATCACACCGTGCCTTTTGTATGTTTGCTATTATATTTTGGAAAGATTTTTAACACAGCTAATTTTTTTTTATTATTCAAACAGGGCTGAGCCGATGAAGAAGAAGAAAAGGATCGATCCAGCTGTTACCCGAGCAAGAGAGGAAAGGAGAAAAAAGAAGATCGAGAAAGCTATTCGGAAACTGGAGAAAAACGCACGGCAGCTGAAACCTATTGACGAGTTGGAAATTCCCCCAGAAGTTTATGACACCTTGAAGTAATATTTAAAAATTTTCTTATGTAAATATTTTCTAATCCATTTCAACAGGCAGCGCATTCGAAAGCGAGGAGTTTTGAGTCACGAAGAAATGGAGGAGAGAGCACTTCTCCTAAAAGAATGGTCTAAATACAAAATGAAACTAAAATTGCTGGACATTCAACTTTTGGACAGAGCAATAATGTCCCAACAAAAAGCACTAGACGAGCTCAGACTGGAATCAGAAGAACTTTATCAAGAAGCTGTTCAAGTGAAACAAAATTTAATTTGAAATATTCCTTTCTAAAGCAATGAAAATAATTTTACAGATGGATTTGAATGTCATGCCATTCACAATTAAGGGCCCAACTCACACCCCTGCAATCAAAGACTACGATTCTCCAGACGGTGAATACACTGATATTTCGAAAGATTGGTATCAGTCATTTTTGGTGTAAAACAAAGAGGGTCTGTAGCAAAATAAAATTTCAACGTTTCATTACAACTAATTTTATTGTTTTGAAAGCTCTTTAATCTTTTGATCAATTAATTCACTCCAGGGATAGATTGCAAAGCAAATTTTGAAAAATTTATAAATATATACAATACTGACCATTTAAAATTAATAAGCCGATGGAAAAATCACAAGATACTTTTTTAGCCTAGGTACTACAAGCGTACATAAAAATAGACAACAACAAGTGTATTTTGTGAACATATGACAATATTTACAGCTGCTGAAATCATAAATGCAGAGTCATTGAGTAGGAGATAAGCTCTTTTGTATGTTTTTTCTTTTTTGTCAGTCGAATCTGATTTCTTTCTTACAAATCGCGCAGTTGTCGGAGTATTTCAGACACATTCGCAAACAATCTCCGTGGAAAATGTGGTGGCAGGGTGTGATCCTGGCCTTCTTGATCGGGCTAAGACAAATTGCACAAACGTCGTCCCACTCTCCAATTTCTTCCTTGGTGGCCGACCTGAAGATTCGTGTAAAGTTTTTTCAAAAATTTTAAATCTGTCCATTTGTTACCTGAATTTTTTGAGCACATTTCGTTCCTTGAGAAGCGGCCTGAGACAGTTTTCTGACATTTCTCTGCATCGTAGATAAACATTGAAGTACATTGCGACGAAAAATAATTTGTAGTGGCCCCAGATAAGCAGTGGAATTGCCATGATAAAAGACATAGAGGCCGCAAACGCTTTGAGGATAACAGGAGCGTACAGAAGCTCGAGTGAATCAAGTCGTTCAATCTGCAGTCGCAGCAGAAGTCCAGGGAACAAATCTGTGAAAACCTGCAAATATTCAAATTAAATTTTTTAAATCAATTTATATAATTTAATCAAACATAGTTAAAAAAGAGGTTCAAGTCTCCCATTGGGAGTAAATAAAATTTTAATGAAAAAAAGGTACGAACTTATACGAAATATATTTTCAAGTTTGTGTGGTTGCAAAATAAATATTTAAGAAAAAAAAGTAGAAGTTAAAATAAATATCAATTAAATTTGGGAATGTAAATCCATAACAAATTAAGCCGCCCTCTTTAATTTTCGACACATTTTTAAGCGAATTTCATAATATGAATGAATTAAAAGGCTCCTAGAAGTTTTTGTATTATAACAAATTAATAAGAAAAATCTTGATTTCCTATGTATGCAATCCGATACACTGATAAGTCGTGCAAGTTGCCTATGTACTACAAAGAGGTGGGGGGAGTAGATTTATATTTTCTCGTTCCGGATTAGCAAACCTTTTCTGTCGCCATGTAATAAAGCCAGGTGATAATTGTGTACACGACGGTGGGCTGATAGTGCTGCAGTCCCTGTTCCAATCCGAACAGCAACAACATGAAGACGACCGTGATGATGAAGGTGACCGCTTTGGTCCACTCCAGGACGACTTTGGTCGTTGACATGGCCAAGTGGTGGATGTTGGAGGTCTTGGTGATGTTGATCCACGGCGACCAGTCTTCCTTTTCGATCAACTCGTGCAGGTAGGAGACACAGTAGGCGATCACATTGTAGAACATGACCGAGTACAACGCGGTGACCCTCTGCTTTTCCACGAGAACGCGGTCGCACAGCATGAAGAATAGAACCTGCGTTAAAAATAAAGTTAAATTAAAAAACGACAAAGTCTGAAATCTCTTACTTTGAAGCCATTATTATTATATTTATTATCTTTGAATAAAAAAAAGAGACTGACTAATGAGTCGCAGTGCAAAAGAGGCACTAAAAATGCAGCCTTACAAAAATCGTTTCGAAAGGCTCACCTGGCTCATTAAAGCTGCAATGTTTGTCATTTTAATGTACGCTTGCTCAGCACGGTCAACTGGGCGGTACATGCCGCGCACAATGTAGACAAACGGGCTGGCGACTGCCATGATGCATTCTGTAAATTTAAAATTCCAAACAATCAAATATTATTATTTATTTAAATAACAATATATCAAATAGAGGCACTCTATTTTTATTAGTGGAGTGGACAAGAAAAATGGTCAAATAATTATCACAAAATTAACGTGTTTAAGCTTTTCTTATTTGTTGAAAGTCAGTATTATGATGTTTTCTTCTAGAGTCTCTCAAAATAATCGGAAAAATAAAATATTGTAGAAGGATAAAGATTTCATTCATCGCCTGACATCAAAAGAGACGGCTGCAGAGTTTTTCTCAGGAGGATAGTTTTATAGAATTTGGCTGATTCACTATATATGAATCTATTACGCTGCGAAAAAATCTTTGAATCCGGTCTAGCAAACAGTTTTCTAGATAAGCAACAAAAATGTGAGTTTTTTACATGCTTCCATGATTTAGTAATAATGAACTGATAACGCAATATTACAAGTAAATAGCTGCTGATATTAATTATTTATCAATTTAATTTTAAAAAAAATCAACTATTCATCCAGATTTGTTATGTTAAAGCGTTAATACTTACATTGCAGATTTTTTTTTTTAAATATTTTAAATTATTTTGAAAATAAAAATTAGGGATTTGTTATGTGCTGCGTTGTGCTTGGAATGAATTGCTTTGGTTGACGGTTTCTAGAAACTTCCCCTTAAAACCTAAAACCTATTATGGCTATTAGGCTATTATATAACCTGAAGACAATTAACTGAACTTTACTCTGGCCGACAATTTGTATTTGAGTATACGTGAGTGAGAGGGACGCCAACAATGGCTACCCTTGTTGTGGTCACGAATGAAATATGCCACTCGCATCAATATTTTCTTAAGAAAATAGAATCAATAGTAAATAACGCTTGCTTGTGAACCTTGGTACTTGACAAGAATAGAGATCAATTAATCGTTAGTTATGCGGTTATATTCTTTCTCAAATTATCGGAGGCAAGTGCTCTGCTGGAATTCATTTTCCAGTTATATATCTTTAGTTTACTTCAGAAATAATTATCTCATTATACTTATACTTCTATTAAAAAGGATTGTGCTGAACACTTTTCTTCATTCTCCATGTTATAATAAGAACCCATGCTAATTAATAATAAGAAAAAATGTTAAAAAAAATATCGAAACCTCGGAAAACTCTTGAATTTAATTCTAGAACACATCAGGAGGCCAGAAGGGACAAGCTTATTTACGCAAATAAGCTAACAACAACAGAAAATTCAATTTTTATTAGTTTGAGATTGTGTATGGGTTCTGCTTTACTTGAACCCGACCAACAATCTCAAGACGAAATTTAAGACTCATTTGTTGTTGAAAATATGTGATGGGTGTAAATTTTGAATAAGTTCAGGAGCAAAGTTAAAGTAAGTTTGTGGCTATTTTGTTATAAATAATATTCATAGACAGAGTCTATTATGTATTATGTATTTTTTTGAGAAAATCTTCAAGTAGAGTGGAATTTGAAGCTGGTTTGGAAAAAAATACTTGTCAATTGTTGGAAATAAGATTTAGAATGAATCCTCAATTCCAGAAAACAAAAAAATTGGCCTCAAATTTATTAAAACTTGAAGCAGTAGAAAAAAATATATTTATCAAGACTATTTATTTAAAATATCAATTATTTACGGCTTCATAACTCTTTTTGGAAAAAGTGGCGCAATGTCAACGAAATGGAAATCAGTTTTGCAGAATACAAATTAATTAAAAGCGGCCTTTTTGCCCAACGGGCCGGAAAGTTTGTCAGCACGAATCGATCAGCGATTCTTTGGCGAAAATTAGTGATTAACGCGAATACTGCGAGAGGCGGCTGTTTTTCTGCGGCGAGCGTGTTTTGTCTGAGAGCGTGTCTCATTAACATTTTTCCAATAAAAAAATTGTCTTCGCCGATTAAGCTCAACGGGCAGAGTCGCGGTTGACAAATATGACGTCAGGATTCGCCTCCCTATATTAACCCTTGAGGGCCTGGAGAAGGCCTCGCTTTTTACCAGCAGCACTCGCCCTTGCAGCACCGTCGAGCACCGCATAGTACCACAGGTAAAAAAACCACATACCTTTTCTTTATTGAGAATTACAAAATAATCTAAATTTTTGTATCAGATACAGCAGGAAAATATTTTAGACTTTTGTTGGCCTACTTTAATTTTGAGGAAAACAAATTATTCCATATTTGGCCAAATTTTATATTATTTTTTCGTGACAGTAGACAGATTTCTTATTTTTAAGTGTATAACAGTTAATACTTGACAAAATTTTCTGAAATATTGAACTTTATTTTAGCCAAATATTCTTAACATTTTTTTTTTAATGTAATTTTTTTAATCCAAATTATTTTTTAATAATTATGCATTTTCAATCATTTTTTTTAGTCAATCTAAGAAAGCTCATCATGATTAATCTGAGAAAAAATAATTATGTTCATTAAGCAGATTTAGTAATTTTGTATAAAGTATATAACAAATTAAGCGAATGCAGCCAAAACTCCAATATTTGTGTTTCCAAAATTAAAAAAAAAATCTAATCCTGTTCCAAATAGGAAATAATATTCTTCAAAAATAAGAAGCCCGTCTGCCTTAAATCAACTTTTTTCAGCTTCTTCAGTTATATTTTTAAACCCTTTTCCTAGCCGTAATTAAATTTTTTTATTTAATATATATAAATTAAAGTTTGATTTTTAACAAACCTTTGATGGTTCCAAAAACCGATCCAAGTCCGCTAAGGGGGTATTTGTAATGAGCCGAGACGACGATGGGTAGAACGAGGCACGAGTAAACTAAATTGGTCGCTGTGCTGACCAGCAGGGAGGAAGCGTGGCTCCGGACCAAATACGGAAGCAGCAGAATCACAGAGAGCAAACAGACTGAAACAGGATTAACACAAAAGGGTTACACAGTTCAACTCTCAAAAAAGGTCCATAAAAAACATTTTTTCTTTATTTTCAACATAAGTTCCGTATGATAACCAGAACAAACTAGCTTGTTCATCTTGTTTGCCTGAACTTCTGTCTCTCTTTCAATAATAATAACTCAAGGAAGCTTATTTAGATCTCATATGCTAGACAAAGCAAACAGGAGTTGTGCTTCCAAAAGTCGTGTTTTTGATCTCATTATAAGAACATCCTTTGGAAGTTGTACACGCGTATGGAACAGAGTTAGAGAAAAAGTTATTTGCGATCGGTCTCACTGGGACAGCACGTGGGTGGCTAATTATTGTAAAAATTGGACCTCGCACCGCTTTTCTTGTTTTCGCAGACTTGTTGACTCTACAGTAGTAAGCGCAGGGGTCCGCGAGCGCAGAACAAGGGGTCACTCGATGGGAGGTTGAGGGCGCGAGAAGGGGTGCCCTTTAACCCCAACGACCGAGACATCTTGTAAACAACCACGCGTCTCTCGTTAATTGCCACAAAAACACGCACTACTCGCCTGCTATTCACTCAATGATTGCATTTTTGCAACGAGGCTCTCCCCTTACTTAAAATGAAAAATTAAATCCATTGAATTTCCCGTACTGATAATTTATATTCAATTGGATGATTAATATGGATGTAAGAAGTTATTAAGTTCAAATAGGATAAGGCGCGCGAAATACATTTTAATGTCAAGGTTAGAGGAAAGTGAACTGTCAAACTGTCAAAGCTTAATCAGCGAACTATAGCCTTAGGAAGACGAAAAAAATATATAGACCAAGGTGATTATTTGTGTTATGTCAAAGGATCTAAAAAAAGGATGCAATAAGCAATATACTGATTGGCTTTCGACTTCTTTTAATCTGGGGGAATTAATCAATCGTATATTCTTATTTATTTGCTGACAATTTTTGCGATGGTAAACTGTAGAGGTAAATTTTTAAGGAAGATCCATGCAAAAAAAGTCTGCAAAATAGACAAATTTAGAGGTAAATTGTAAAATATAATTATGTATTTTAAATTTTTAGTTTCCTAAATAATTTCTAATTGCGTGAAAATATAATTACGTTATTAATAATAAAATATTGCGTAACTGGGAACATAAATAATCACTCTAATTTATTCTTAATCACAAAAGGTCAAATTATTGAGCTGATTAAAACCCCCAGAAATTTCGATGAACTTGTTCACCTCAACCATTCAATTCAAATGCCCATTTATAAAGGGGGGTTTCTTTGCTTGCAAGCGAGCAGACATTATATTTGTTTGACCCACGCCGCACTGTCATGCAAATATGAATAAGAGCTCGCTCACAACAAAGGCATCCAAACACACCGATCAAAATTATCGCCGTTGTATGTCTCGCCAAGTTTGTCGCGTCTGGGAATTTATTTACGCGTTTCATCGCGCTTGCAAACGGGGAAAACAGATGATGAATGGAGCTAAAAGATGATAAATGAGTAAAATGAGAACGATTCAAAATAAAAACGACGCTTACGAAATTGACTCACCACTTTGCGCATTTCGCTCATCTCGAAGGCGCGCGTCGTCTTTGCCGTTGCACGAGTTGACAGCGCTCAAGCTCCGCAAGCGGGCCCGAACCCTACTGATCATTCCCATCAAAAAGTTCAACTGAAAAAAAAAGAATTAAATTTCATTATGGGTAACAACAATTTTTAAATAAAATTTTTATCCTTAGAAGTCACGATTAAATTAGTAAAAAAAAAGATGATGTAAATAAATAATGAGTGATTTTTTAAAATATTTTCTCAAATTTTGTATTTTTCTCATATGGGGCTATATTAAATTTATTGAAAATAAAATATTTTTATTGAAGATTATAAACGGTTGATTGGAAAGTCTAAATTTGAACCGCAAACTGCGCACCAGCAGCTCCTCTCTTAAGCTGAAGTGCGCTGGCCAGTCCGCTTTTAGCCCTCGTTATCCCATCTCAGCTGCAAAAATATTTCCAAGAGACATGTGCAAACAAACTTGGAAACTGCAACGACGTCTTTGCTTTATGGGGTTTGCCGAGAGCAATGTCCGACCAAACGTGTCGCCAAAAAGAGCAACGCTCTATTTAGAAAATCTTCCGGGAAGCTCGAAGGCCGCCAGGGCTAATATGTGGCGAACAAAATAAACGAAAGTAGTTCCTAATTGCAGGATCGTTATTTCACCAAAGGCCCTTGAAGTGTAATAAACATCGTTCCGTGGTCATTGAGAACACAAACTGCGCCTCCTGGCAACACGTCCAATGTCAAGACGGCGTGTCCCGATGACGCGCTCGTCTTGAGGCTCGTCTGACCGAAATTCAGCCAAGTGAGAAGCGCAATTCCGCCTCCTCTGCTTTTTTAATTCAAATTAAATAGTAAACGTCAAAGGCCTCCATCTCGTGCATGATTTCAAAGGAAGAGAAAATTTGGAAGGGTTCTATTTTTGTCATTCGCGCAAATGCTTATTTTAATTCGTAAAATTGAAGCGTTCCTAAAACTGAGAAGCCGCTCTTCAGCTTAATTTCCTCAATTATTTTTAACTGCCGCACGAAAGCCCTCAAATTAATTCCTTGAAAAGCTCGCCACTGAAGCATTAATAATAAATTTAACAAAATTAATGTATTACAAAAAAAAAAAAATATCGTCATTTAAACCTATGCACAATTTTTGAAATTTTGTTACTTTTGAAGTGGAAATGCAATAAATTTATCTGTAAATTAAAGAGCAAACATTAATTACGCCTCGCTTGCTATTTCTCTAGACAATTTGTGCAAATTTGCTTGTTTTTGTGCCAAATCTCGTAACTTTCGACACGCTTTTGAGATGATTTTTGGCCGTGTCTCTGTGCGTTTCGTCAGAGGAAGTGGCGGATGCGAGTTGATGAGCGTGTGTCGTTGGTTTTGTTTGTGTCGTAAAATTATTTTGGGTCCTGGACCAAACTCTTAAGGTCAGATGTGGGTGACGGCCACACACGTTTCACTAGCATTCCTAAAAATCAAGTTTATCCTTTTGGTAGAATGAATGAAAAGCAAAAACTCTATCTGGAATTTTGCAAGAGATTATCGGACTATTTTTGACGGAAGCGCGATAAAATCTTGCAAGAGTCAAAGTGCAATGCATTTATCTCTTTCCCAAATGATCTGTATTCGCCCTTGAGGAGGAAATTCCTACGCACATTTTGCAACAAATAAGATAAAAATTAATTTAATTAATTATAATTTTTAGTGCAATATTAAATAAAATTTTCAGAATTTTCAAAAGTCAATTAATATCTTGAAAAACATTCGAACTTTGACTCGTAGATCATTAGAAATTAAGTCACACGTTACAAAGCATCTTGTGCAACCGCAGCCGTACTTATGCGATCAAAGCAGTTTATAAATAGCCGCGCCGAAAATTTTGCATCCGGGGGAAACGTTAGATTTGCTGTGACTGATGAAAATCTCACCTGTTTCGCAGCGAGCGGAAGACGATGAACCGCAATTAAAATATCCGGTGGTAGCGTCGACGTATCTCGAAAATCCGAGAAAAACAAGTAGCAGGGTGGTGTGTTTTGTACCGAGTCCAAAGTGCGAATGAGCTTTGTGGATGTGTCTCGCTCGGGATGAGCACCGACCGCGCTTCGTCGTCCACTCGCCCGCTCGCTCTCAGGGTAGGCACGCTGCCAATTTCGGCCGGCAAGGGTCACGCGCACCGCCTGCGTCCACCGTCGCAAGCAAAACGAATGCGATGCAAATTTAGCGAATTATGATTCACGGCGCTAATTGCCTATTTGTGATGCACTCTGCGCTAAAAGTTGTGAGATTTGCTTGCACACCAAACTGCTGCACGCGCCAGATCGCGTTACGGAAATATCAAGTTATTTTTTCTGCTTTTCGATTGTATTTTTTCCCTCTAGGATTGAGGTTATGGGGAATATGAGTTTGCTTGCTTCTTTTCTTCGGCGGCTAGCTTGGTGACACATTCTTCTTCACCGTTCACACGTGGTGAGAAGTTAAAATTTTCAATTTAAAGAGGTATTTTATTATTTTTATTGATTGATATTCATTCATCCATTATTATTTATTTGTCGTAAATATACTCTTAAGCACCTGCTACTGGTTGTTGTTAATTCAATAACTCCGTTAGGATAGGGGGAGCAAACAAACTCTTGTTTCAATCAGTCCTTTGTTACACAACCGTTATACAATCGTTTTTCAAATGTTTGAACATTGTGATGAGATTCAAGCAAGGAAATCTAAACAAAGACGCGTGCCTTCAACTCTTAATTTAGACCTCTGAACTAACAGTATACACTATAACACCGTCAAGGAAGCATAATAAATTTGAATTTGTGTATCAGTTTCCATTCATTCAGTTCATTTAGATGAACTTAATTCCATGATAACGAGATGAGTACTCAATGGGGTATTTAGAGCTACAGAGTAGAATCTTCAATGATCTTTAAAATATAAATAGAATTTTGATACAAATTTTTAGTGAAAGGAAAAGCTGAAACCTAGCCAATCGTGTAATATTTGTGGCTAATTCCTAAATTTTATTACATACAGGACAAAAAAAATTACATTTAATTTTTTTTGTCATTCCTAACGCTTTTATTTGGCTGAACTAAATAAAAATTTTTATTTTTCTCTGACAAAATTGTCTTCTCTTGCCTGACGACTCAGCTGCATTGTGTTTGATCGGGTGACTGTAAGTCCATAGATCTCCAAACTACCCGGCGTTTGTCGCGGCTCTGATAAAAGTTGGCGGCGGGAGGGGGGCCGCGGTCTTAATAAAAGGCAGAGATTTATAATTTTCCGGATACCCACGATGCGTTCCTTGCATGGAGCATCGTGCATGGCCCTGTTAAGAAGACTTGCCCGATTTTTTCTTTAAAAACGCAGCTCTCAGTCTCAACTTGTTGTTCAACCCGTTGGCGGTGTTTGTATCTTGTGTTGCAGTTAACAAAGACTACTTGTCGACGCAATGCAAGTCTCTCTGTACAAATACTCTGCCATCAGCCTGGCCTCTACTTTACTAGGACTTATTGTGATTGCATCAATCATCACTACTGCACACAGGTAGGACGCCCTCTGATTACTTTGTTTTTCTGTCCACTTTATCTTCGGAGGTGCCCTGCTGACCACTAAAGCTGATAATAATGGCTGGTGTAACTTAAAAAAAAAACTAATTTTATTTTTTTTTTCCAAAAAGAAAGTTTTGAGAGAAATAAGAAAAATTTATTAAAACATAGTCCCCCAAGAGCGCATGCTTAATAAAAAAAAAAGAAAATTAAAAACAGTTTAAAATTTAATAAATGGATATTACCAATATAGTATAATTTTTGTAATTTTAATAGCTTGGATTTATTAATATTATTGCCATTTACCATTAAATAACGATTAAATTAATAATCGCTTATTTTCTCTCTTTAATCTCGTCTTACTTTTATCATATTGGAATGAGATAAAGAGCCGACCTTTTGATAAAAAGACATAAGTTCATTGCCAGAGTTGTTATTGATAAATTATTCCGACCACTTAATCTGTAAAATATTCTAATAAAAAAATTAATTATGCTTTCAGCGGTTCTCCTTTCCCTCGCTGTGGTCCCTGTTTGCAGGGAATGTGTGTTAATTCACCTGATGAGTGTCGCTATGGCTACTTCCACGATAGCTGCGGTCGCATTGTCTGCACCAAGGTAAAAACTTCAAAACTTTTGCTTTGTTCACTCCTTCGCTACTTCCCTCATTTATTAATTATTTTATTTAGGGTGGAAATTTCATATCTCATTTCAAATTTTGGATATCGTTGCTATTCTTCACCTTGAAAACTATTTTTTGAAACTCTTATTTTAGGTTGTCTATGATTTCTTTGGTATTGATGCCTTGTCCAAGAGACCACGGTCGAGGAAAATTCGTGCCTTTAAAGTAAAAAATCTTTCCTCATTTCAAGCAAACTAAACCAGAGCAAAATAACAGAACTAAAGCAAACAACAACTTTAATTAAAAACAAACTGTTAGACTTTGTCACTCTCTTACTGTGAGATTGATGCAGCTGGCGTGGCACCAAAGATGCACTGGTTGCATACATCTTCTCCTCCCACAGATCAGCAATCATTTCACTTAATTGTTTTATTATTAAAATATTTATTTTAATTTTATTCTTCCCTCTCCTTTGTTCGAATTAATTCAAACTTAAACAAATGTCTAACTTTTATCCTTTTCTACTTGATCAATTTTTAATTTTGCTTTTCTCTTTATCCGAAAAATTAAAATTTCATCTCCAAGTTCTAAATTTTTTTTCTTTCTTCTGCTGCAGGGTCCCGATGAAAAGTGCGGAGGTCCCTACGAGTTCTACGGTCGGTGCGGCCACGGTCTGGTGTGCAAATGCAATCTGTGCGTCGGTTGCTCGACAGAGAACATGGAGTGCTCGGCCAACAACAACCCGCAGTGCTAATCGGCCGTGGACGTTGCTCGCACGACCAGATCTCACAAGAGAGGCTTGTCCGTAGCCAAAATCAGTATTAGCCACCGGACACATCTCACCTTTTCCAGCAAGCCTCCAACACGACCTCCAACGACTCATTATTTGCATTTGTTTTTCTCATTCACTACTCCTCTCTTTCATATAATTAATTGCACATAATACATTTTCGGTGCTGTATACTTGTGTACATGTTAAGCCTAAAAGCGCAAACTTTGTTGATATAAATTATTATTGTTAAAACATACAATTTACATTCTGAGGTGTAGAACTTCCAAATATTATTTGCAACACAAACGCAGTTATAAATATACAGATATGTGTTCAATTCTTTTCTGTGATGTTCACTATAATTTATACCCCACAACATGTGAGATGGCATTTAATAAAGACAGATCAAAAACAACATGAGTGGGCCAGTTTATTTCTCCTTATTTGTTTTCTCTCTGAGGGTTAAAATTCTGCGTAGAAGATCAATATATTATATATTGATTTTCAGCGAAATAAGAAACCATTTCCTTCAACATCCGAGGCCGCCACAGCACCTGGCTGCTTTTTGGGTAAATTTAGAACACATATTCTCTACACGCCAGCACACACGTCACTCAAGTGAGGGTGTTGCTTCACTCGCCGCACGAGTAAAAAGCCGAGATGGGCTTAGCAAACTTGTCAATATTCTATCTAATGTCCCGCTGCGGGCGATATATGCGGCTTTCAACACACGTCAAACCAGATAAAAGCAAAAAGAGTTGTTGTGCAAAAATAAGTTTGGGCGAAAACAATCCCCGGCACAATCTTGAATGCACGACGAACTGCAAACAAACTGAAAGGATTTTATTTATAGGATGGGCCGTGGCAGAGCCAGTGGCAGTCGTTTTGTGCCAGAATTAAACTCATCGCTTCATTTCCAACCTCAACATGCGCCCCTGTCAAAATCTTCGGCTGAAATTATGAATGCGGCCGCTGCTGAAACGCCCAATGTGATGTCTGTTGAGATGCGGAGAGCCAAATAATTCAAAGGAGAGGCGAGACTAAACAAAGCAAATCGCTGGAATAAAAAAATGGCCTTTTTTATAAAGACATGCCAAATTTGCTCTCCCTTTCATTTCTAATGATTGGCATCTGGTACGGATGCTCAAGTGCTTGTTAACACCGAGCGCTGCCTTGTTCCAATAAGCGAAAGAGGTTCGCGCGTCACAAACTTGCTCAATGATAAATCATTCTGGCGAATTCCTTTAGACTTAAGTTATTTATTGGTGACCTCATTTTCATTCAGATACATATTTACACGTATTAAATATTATCCATTTAATAATTAGCGTAAAATATAGAGTCTAGCAATTTTTATATATCCATTAAAAATTCGTATATATGCAGAACGACGTAGAATTGTGTGCGTATATAATAATGCATAGTAAAGTTAAAAAAAACCGAGAGCGCGGCGAGTTATTGCGTTTTACAATTAACGAGAACGAAACAAAAACACGTACATTCTAAATTATAAATGGGGCAGCGCGCGCTCCGGATAAAAAAAGAAGAGATTAAAATTGGAAGCGAGACCATTAAAATAATAAAATTCGACTTGGGTCCGTTTTTTCTCTCACTCACCCTGGAGCACACTTTTTCACTTATTTGTTCGCGCTGCGAATGTTTTTCACCTCCTGCCTCGCCTTGAAGCCGCGAAAGCCAGCCTGGATTTTGACCACAGCGTCGTTGATCTCGTCCGAGATGCTCGGCTGCGGCTCCAGTGGCGGCTGCGGCGCCGCCTTATCCTTCTTCAGTCGCTGCCTCGTGAGGAAGCCGCGGACGCCAGCCTGGATTTTGACGGCGCTCTGCTCCTCCTCGTCCGTGGCCGGACTGGCCGCGGCCGGAGGCGACTTGGCCTCCTTCATCTCCTTGCGCACCTTGAAGCCGCGGAAGCCCGCCTGGATCTTGGAGGCGGCCGCATGGTCCTCCTTCGAGGGGGCCGCGGGTTCTTCCTCCTTGCCCTGCTTCTTGCTCAGGTCACTGCGCGTCTTGAAACCGCGGAACGTGGCCTGGATCTTGGTGGCTGCCTTGTCGAGGAAATCCATTTCGTTGTCGGAGAAAGCTGTGGGCATTCCCTCGGGGTCGACTAGCGGCTGCTTGTCATCTTGCTGGTCGGCCGCTTCTGTTCGCTCTGAGCTTGGCGAGTGGCCAGCAGCTTGGAGCAGCAGGCCGGTGGCGAGCGCCGGTGGCAACACCAAACTGTCGTGGAACTCGCCCGAGTGACGCAAATCGGCCGCAGGTGCGTCAGCACTGCTCCCCGCCGTGCACGCGTCCTCGCGCCGCAACAGACTCTGGCGTGCGCGGTGGCCGCGGAAGTGCGCCTGGATCTTCGTGGCCGCCTCCGTTTCCTCCTCGGAAGGGGCTGCGATCGGGTCAAGGGTCTCTGTCAGACTGGCACTGACGTCGCCACACTCGCCCGAGGAGCAGCTCAGGTTTTGCGAACGGTTGATTTGGGCCGCGGCGGCCTCGATTTCCTCCCTCGTCAGCACCGATTCCTCCCCCAATTCTTGCTCTTCAGGAAGGAACGCGATCGGGGCGGCGGCCGTGTGCGTCGACGAGAAGAAAAGTTCTTCGACGGCCGAGGCAGGGATGGTCTGCTCGGCGGGCGCCTCGGGGGTGGGGGTTTGGTCTGAAAAGTGCGGACGCACGTCGCTCAGGGTGCCGTCGGAGCGGGGCGTGCTGTTCTCGCCCTCGGCGGGTGGCTCGGAGGGGTGCGATTCGGGATCGTGCTCGTTTGCGATTTCAGTGATTTGAGTGTGATTTTCTTCAATAATTAATGGCATCTGTAACACGAAAATGAAAAAAAATGAGTGTGATAGAGATGATAAATTAAAATTATTGGAAATATTGGGTGCATTTAGTATGTTGTTAAAACAGCATGCTAGGTTATTTTAAATTTAAAACAATACATTGCTCTACTAAAAAATTATTTTTATTAAAGTTATTTGCAATTTTAAAAAAAAAAACTTGCTGTTCATGCATATAAATTTTTGTGCCATTTTTATGAATTCATATGGTTTAAATTTTACTAAATGTGGTTGGCTATTATTTGGATAAACTAACCATTAAAATACCCAAACTAAACCAATGGAGTGCAATATATATTATGATTTTATGAAAATAATACGGTGCAACTTTATTTCATGCCCTGTTGATGCATAGGTTATTGTTTCAACGACATTCATTTTATTAAATTATAATTTTTTTGTTTGTTAAATATCGAATTTGAGTTTGTTAGTTCAATTTCCGTCACCATTAGAATCACCGCATGCGTACTTTTTAAACTAACTTAACCTTTTTATATCAATTCGGATCCTTTTAAGTCTGCGGCTAAACTATAATTTTTGATATGTTGGCTACTCATTCATTCCACCTGGGCAAAAAATTAAAAATGTCAATTACATATACTTTTTATTTTTCTCTCCTCAGCATTTATCTTTTTTCTATAAAATACATATTTAATTTATAACGATTGTGCTAAAATTAAAATAAAAGTGCAGTAAAAAACTACTTTGTACTATAATATACTTTATATACTTTAATTTTATATCACTAAAGAGAAATTTGTTTAAAATATTTCTTTTTATAATGTGCTATTGAAAAGACTTTTAAAATTAAATTCCAAGTCCTACTTTAAAATAATCAGTGCTTTTTGATTTTAATAAATTTTTCTTTCAATATAATTTTAGAATTTACTCGCTTACAGGATTTTTATCTGCGGTCACATCATCCGTCTTATCATTAAGCGCCTTTCTTGTTTTGTAGCCTCGGAAGGAGGCTTGGATTTTGGTCGCAGCAACCTCTTCTTGGTCCTTTGACTCAGGGACACCGTCCTCTTTGGCGGAAACCTCAAAGCTGCTCTCCTCCTTGATTTGCTGAAGCCCTTCCTGCACCACTTTCAGCTCGATGGCGTCTACGATGATCGCTTCTCTTTTCAAGTCATCCAACTCCAATGATGGGATGTCCTTACTGCTGGCCGTTTGCTCGGAAATGACCTCTACGGGTTCGGACGCCGTCGCCTGTCCCTCACTTGCCTCATCTGGAGAACTCTCATATGAATTCCTGACTGCGGAGATGAGAGTGTCGGCGATTTCCTTGTCCTCCTGCACCAAACTTTCTTCAGCCTTCTTAGTCACGCTCTCTGCACCATCCTCCTCCTCGCCCTGAGCACCGACGGCGCCATCGGAGATGGAATAGCGAATGACGACACTGCTGACGGCACCGAGCCCCTCATTCCCAATTGGGGCACTGCTCTGGCTCTCCGAGGCCTCTTCCTCCTCCTCTTGTCTGATCAGGACGGCAGCTGAGTCAATCAAGATGGTCTTGTCTCCATTGTCGTCGGTCGTCACAACAATCAACTCCTCGTCTAGAGACTCAATTTTGACACCACTACTCTCATTATTATTAAGAGCGTTTTGCGTGTTTTCAATCAAAGCCTCGGCATCGAAATTGACTTTGTCAAAAATTCCTTCTTCCTGGGAGGGAGAAGGGAGAGGTGTTGCGGGCGTGATGTCAATTGTGGCAACTGTTGGGATGAGGAGAGAGGTGGGTTTAGGTGACTTTGGAGACTCAATTTCCGGCTCCAGAGAGTCGTACTCGGCGTCGATGGCCTCGTTTTCTTCTTCAAAGGGAGAGCGCAAAACTCTGTCAGTGTCCTCCACCTCCGATTCCTTTTCAATAATATCAGGGGTTGCGGAGAGGATTATTGCAGCTGGAATCTCCTGGGCAACAACCTCTTCGTCGTTAAGGACGGCCGTGCTGATTTCATCACATGTAGATGGCTGTTCGGGACTCTGAATGGCGGCGATTATTGGAGAAGCGATTTCCTCGATGGCTGCTGAGGTCGCGTTTTCTGACTGCTCAAAAATTTCGTCTATTTTTGAAATAACTTGTTCAGCCTCTTCAATAAGAGCGCTGTCAGGTTTCTCGTTGGCGGCGCCAATTAAATCAGATGCGCCTTCAGAGGTGGCAGATGCAACCCTTTCAATCGTTTCCTCCACCACACTTTGCGCTTCGTCCTTGACCTTAGAGGAAATTTCCAAAATTTCATCTTTCTTTTCATCGGCAGTGCTTTGAAGACTTTCGAGTGCAATATCGGCTTTTTCCTGCAGATCAGCGACGTTTGAGTTGATTTCCTCAGCTACATTTTTCGCTTCCTCTGCCACTTGGTCGGCCAGCGTTTCCTCTGCAGTTTGGAGCTCAGTAACGGTCTCCTCGGCTTCTGTGATAATTTCAGCTTGCAGATTTTCAGCACCAGTTGTTGCAGTTTCAATTGAGTTTAATGATTCAGCAGCTGCCGCCTCCAATTTGCTCTCAGCTTCCGCAATTACGTTTTCAATTACGGCCAGAGCACTTTTCTGCACGCTTTCAAGCTCGTCGGCTAATTCTTTTTCTTTCTCTTCTTTGGTGGTTTCGATTTGTTCCTCGACTGCAGCTGCTGTTTCAGTGACAAAAGTTTCAACTTCCGAATTAGCAGTTTCAGTCAGTTCGGCTATTTTTTCATCAAAAGAAACGGAGAGTTTTTCTGGTTTTATTTGTTCTGCAACTTCTGAAATTTGCGTCTCGCCCTCGTTTACAATTTCTTGCGCGTCATTTACAAGATCGTTAGCTGCTTTTTCTTGGCTCTCAAGTTCTGTGCTGATTTCGTCCTTTATTTCAATGACCGACTTTTGAAGACCTTCTGTGGCACTATTTATGGTCTCTCCTACTGTTGCTGCAACTTCAGTAGCTGCATTTTCAGCCTTTTCTGTTTGGCTCTGGATCTCGCTCTCAGCTTCCGCAGCAAAATCTTCGGCCTTGTTAATAACCGAAGTAAATTCGTTCTCAACGACGCTCACTTTTTCAACAATTTCGCTTTCAACCTCTTCCTGTAGTTCAACAATTTTGTTCTCAGCCTGTGACGCAGATCTCTGTATTTCAGATGTAACCTCAGCAACTTTTTCTTCGGCCTCCGTTTTAACTTCATTTACTTTTTCTTCCACTTCATTTTTCAGCTCTGCTGCTTTTTCTTCAATTTCGCTCTTTACATTCTCAGCTTCTGCAATTTTTTCCTCCATTTTGGATTCAACGTTTGATTTAATTTGTTCTACCTCATTTTCAGCCTGAGATTTAATTTCAGTGATTTGGCTCTCAGCTTGAGTAACTGCAGAGTCAGCCTCGGATTTTATTTCAATAATCGTACTTTCAACATCAGATTTGACCTCCTCGATTTTATTTTCAGCAGCAGATTTGCATTCCTCGATTTTTGCTTCAGCCTCTGTCAGCAAAACTTGCGCTTCAGATTTGACCTCCTCGACTTTGCTCTCCACCTCAGACACTTTGCTTGAAACTTCAGTTTGCACCTCCTCCACTTTGCTCTGTGCCTCCGAGACTGCACTTTCGGCTTCGGACTTGACCTCGTCAATTTTGCTGGAAATTTCAGACTGAACCTCTTCAATTTTATTTTGGACATCAGTCACGGTGTCCTTTACTTCAGTTTCAACTTCCACAATTTTATTTTCTGCCTCGGATTTTACTTCTTCCAATTTTGATTCAGCTGCAGAAATAGTGCTGTCCAATTCAGAGAGCGCCCTTTCTTCCGCTTCGGCCACTTTGCTTTCAACGTCGCTCTTGACTTCCACCGCTTTCGATTCAACCTCAGCTGCAAATTCATTCAGTTTTTCCTGCGCCTCTTCAACTTTATCTTTTGCTTCAGAAGCAAAGCTTTCAGCTTGGGATTTCACTTCTTCGACTTTGCTTTCAGCCTCACTGACCTTACTGTCGATTTCACTCTTGGCCGAGCTAATTCTGCTTTCTGCCTGAGATTGCGCAGACTCAGCCGTCTTCTTTGCCTCATTTTCAAGCTCTTCAACTTTAGAAGTGGCAGAGTTTAGTCCAGAACTGACAGATTTCGATCCTTCTGAAAGCAAATCTTTAACTGGCGAACTGAAATTTTTCAAATTGTTAAATCCAAAGCTCTTCTCAGTGTTGCTGCTCATGGGCGAGGCAACCACATCTCTCCCCAGAATTTTATCCTCGGAAGAAGTGGCGCCGGACTGAATAGGCGAGCCACTCGAAACCGGTGACTTTGACGATTCCTCGTCAGAAAATAATGCCTTGGTGATGGCCTGCTGCAGAATTGGACTCGGAAGTTTCTCCCCCGTAGTAGTGAGTTTTGTTTTCACAGCTTGGGCTTGCGGCGTTCTTGATGGTGAAACTGGAGAACTGGTGCCGCTCGCTTTGCCGGAGTCGGTGGTTGGGGAGCGCGGTGGTCGGACTGGCGGAACATCATTGATGGGGGCTTCGGCGAGGACGGCGGGCTTCTCATTTTGCGCTACCTCCTGAGTCTCGGCTTTGACGGTCGTCACACCAGAAAGAGCGGCGGTTTGAGCTGTGGAAAAAAATTTAAATTATTTTTAAAATTTAAAAAGAAAAATAGAATAATTATCAAATGCATAAGTAATAATTAAATAAATAGAATTGAATAGAATTTTAATCTTAGGTACAGTGTTAAAAGTTAAAATCAAATAAAGCCTTAAAAAAAACAGTTTAACGGTTTAAATTGTATTTAGGCAATAGGCAACGCAGTCGTGTTGAGCGAGTTGCATATGTTTCTCCCATTTAAAATTGGAATGGCAGGCTAAAAAGAGCTCTAACGTTTTAGCTACTCTCTGTTTTAATCTGTCACTTTCTTTTTATTGTTCTCTTGAGGAATGATATTAAGTCTCATAAACCCTTTTTGTTTTTCTCTTCAGAATGAAAACAATTATACACTGATAATTCAATTTAAAACTCAACATGCATTAATCTGTTCTGGTTTGTTTATGTTTTAACTTATGCCTTCTAATTTAAGCACTGCTGCGATGACTAATAGCTCCTTTTGAATATTCATCACCGTCCGCACATGAAACGCGCGCCGCTCAATTGCGCACTGGCTGATTAAAAATTAAAGAAGCATAATCGGCCGCCCGCGCCTCGAAATACCATTTAGACCTTAAAATTTTCATCTCACTTTCCGCATGCCTTCACGCTTAATGACCGCTTTGTTTGTCGCACATGGCCATAAATTTGAAAATAACTTTTATGAGAATAGCAGCGCGAGTGTTTGCCGCTCTCGGCGCCCTGTCAAAGACGATTCGTATGCAATTTCACACTCTTGTTGCATCACAGCTGCTCGGCTGAATTGCATTCTGAGAGAGGCGAGCGAATGTGTGTTTTTTCTGCAATTCCCTGCAATGTCAGAGGCCAAGTGTTGCACAACGAAACGCGACACTCTGCAGGTGACAATGAAATTACACCTGTTTTTCTACCGGAGGCATCGATTCGCTGAGACACTCGACTGCAGATCTCGCTCATCCTTTCTCCTTGTTATTTTGCTCGTCCGTCTCGCCGCAAAACTTCAAAGCCGATTATCTTTCATTTAATGATCAGTGCATTTATTCATCACTCCATTCATTGCCATTCATGAGACTGTAACGTGACGTCAGCTGCACTTGGTCTGAATTCAACGCGTAATTTATTGCGTCTGTGATTTCGTCTTGATCAAATAAGAGCGTGGGTGATTTATTTTTTTGCTTGATGACGCAGAAAAATTTTGTAATTGACGCATTCGAAGACCAGCGACGATAAATTTGAGTGGGAGTTTGAATATTTCAATTCGTTTACTGCTGTTGATACAAATTTTGTAATTTTACATCCTCTATTTCTATAGCTGATTCAAAAGAGTATTCAGATAAATAATTGTACAAACTAATAACTTTACACAGAGATATAATTTATATTTAGTGGATTAAGTAAAATATAAATTAAAAAACATTTTTGTACATTTTTAATTAAAATATATGTTCCCCTTGGCTTCAACTGTTTTTTTTTTTTTTTTTTTTTTTTTTTAAATAGCTGAAGAATAGTGGAAATCATCATTTATTAATAAAAGGTTTGAAAAAAATTGAAATAATAATTAAAAATTTTTTAATCTTGAATACTGATTTTAATAATTTCCAATTATTTTAAATTAACGACAATAATTACGTCTTGTATAATTGTCTTTAATATTTTTATATTAAGTACAATAGAAAAAGATTTTGTTAATTATTACAATTTTTTTAGTTTTAAATTTTTGGTAAGAAATTTAAAATATATACTTTTCTTTTAAAGATTGCGGATTGCTCAAGGAGGCTAATTAAAAATTACTTCCTTCCTGCGCATACAGATTCAGCACCTTTTTACTGTTCAAGAGTGAAACACTGATTCAACATCACACCTATCTTGCTGATAAGACCCTCTTGTTTTATTATTTTGCATTCCACGCGGTGCTGCTCGACAGACCTATAAAATTGTTCATCGAGCACTAATTGCAAGCGCGAATTTTGCGCCTTGCGGCTGAACGAACTCTATTCTCTTTGTGGTCCAATTAGCAGGGACGGAATCGCCGAGAATGCCACGTGCTTACTCGCCCCTGACTCGATCGCCCGCACCCTACATCCCGTCCGTCCCGCCGCGAATAAAATCAACACGCGAACCACGTGGTGTGAAATCAGTGCGTGCCATTTGTGCTTCGTCTATTTTCACACAAATGGATCAAACGCGCGCGCTAATGTAAATCGAAAAGGAAGCCTCTCGCCGCGCCTCACTCTCTGCTAAAAACCAAAAAGCCGTGAAGAGCAGCGCAGGCTCGTTATAACAGATTAGCCTCGATGCTTTTCAATTAAGCAACCGTTTTCAATTTTAATTGCTCGGATTTCTCCTTTTTTTAAATTAATTTTTATGACTTTTTTAAACAATAATCACTCGTCTTTTTTTTACTAATTAAAGGTGATTAAATAATTCAGCGGCTCCTTTGATTAATTTAATTCTCTTGAAAGTATCTCTCTGCTCTCACAGACAGGCTTGTTATGCCCACAAATCTGCAGTCAATTTGGGCCAATCAACGGCTGGCAGCCATGAACCTAGATTATCATGACCCGCCTTGGCAGAAAATAAAATTGCAAATCATATATATTGCGAGCTGAGATGATTCAGTTATGTAAGACAATGATAGTCCTTGTGGGCTCGAATTGCAGTACGATTCGCGCGCGATGGTATTTTTATAACCGGCTGCTGTTGCAAATGTGAGAAAAAAAACTATACGCTGGAGAACGGGTTTAAATTTGCACGCAGGAAGTCTCGAGCTGCATTTGGCTCTGTTGGCTGCGCCTTTCGTTTGCCGATTTTCGTACTTAATGGTGTTTCTATGCCAATTAACGAGCGGCCGATGAGATAAATTTAATTGGAGTATGGAATGCTTTTATCTGGCGAGTGCTTTTCTCATTTCTCTTCATTTAATTGCGGCGGCGGAAGAGGTAAGAAATTTATCGCGATAAAGAGGAGAAAGATTGAAATAATGAAAGCTAATGAAATAATTTTTGAATTCCTGAATATAATAATGATACAAAAAGCTTGAGGGAAATAACATTCCAGGTTTCAAGTTGACTTATCGTGTAAATATTTGTTCCTTCCGGCGGCTCAAACTGATAATATCGAAGTTTATTTTTAGATTATTCCTCGTTTTAGCAGCTTGGCGGCCGCTCTAAATATTAATTGCTTCTGAACGGCGAACGTTTAACGTCCAATGTGATTTTACAAGATTTCATTAAGGTTCAGTGACTTGAGTGAATTTTCTGCTGCGATAACTTTTGACATTAGACTGACGCGAGACGTGACTTTAGTGTGTCAGCGGGCACGAAAAATCGAAATAAAAAACATGAGTGCGTCTTTATGGTGCGCGGGTTTCAGCAAAAGAGTCTCTATCTTACTCACATGTTTCGAGACTTGTTCTTTTTGCAAGTACTAATGAAAGACGCGGCGGCGGCGTCGGATGTTTAGTTCGGAGAGCCGTAAATTGCCAAATTTATGTCCAGCGCGCCATGCTTATCAAGTTTTCTAGAGAGTGCTCTTTTGCCACGAAATATCAAAATACGACGTGCGCTATTTCGGGCCGCCGGCCGCATGCACAATTATTCAAGCTGGCCGCCTCCCAAAAAAGTAGAAGCCCGCTGTCCTCTTTTAATGCAGGCGGCGCGCACTTGAATTAATCGGCGTGCACCCAATTAAAGTGCGCACACACGACTTGTTTACACTCGACGGCCCAAAATCCGCCCGTCAATAATCTGCCCAATTATTGTCACTTCAAGAAGAGCAAAGGTCATTAATTGGCGCCGCGATTTCATCTCGGAATGCGGGCGGTTTAAAATTAAAAACGCTTGACCCAAATTTCTTAGGTTAACCAAAACAACCCACTTAAAAGTGAAAATAAAGAAAATTCGCCCAATTTTAAATGAAAATTTTTAAATTTTGCCAAATTGCAAAAATTTTTGCAAACTCATTTGAACTGTTGCTAAATTTTAAAGAATGGGAATGAAAATGAAAAATTAACGAACCCTTTTTAAAGTACGACTGTAAACACCCCATGGTTGCTGGTCAGGGTGGCGAAGCTACCATCAGGTAGGGTGCGTTGGGTGACGTCACTGGTCACTTTTCGGTGTGCGCTGGGTGTGTGTGTGGTGTTCGCACGACTATTGAGTAGGGACTGAAGCGCTATTTTCATCCGCCAGCATTTGCCTTCGAGGGAGAGAGAGGAATAGGTGCTACTCGCACACACACTGTTCTCTCTCGCGCTGGGTATGCAACTCTCTCGCGGCGGCAGCATGGCCCCACAAAGACCGATAGAGAGAGAGAGAAAGAGAGAGGCGCGCAAACATTCCCCCCTTAATCATAATCTGTACATGTGATTAAATTTTTTAACACTTTGCTTCCTCTTGTGTGGGGAATTTTTAATAATAATTATGTGTTCAGTTTAAAACAAAAAATTATTTTGTTTTGTTCCAATATTTCTTCAGACCTAGTTTCGCCTTTGTTTAAACAGGTTTGAAGAAGAATAGAGATACAGTCGGCGTTGTTAAACGCTGAGATAAGCAAGTCCGGCACTTTAATCCGAGAAGATCCCAAGGCTGCGCAAGAAATTCTCATCTCCGAGAGTTTGTTTTTTATTATCGAAAACTGCTCTCATGTGATTATTTTAAATCCACACTTACTTGTGTAATTTTTTTGTCTTTATATTTCTGCGGATTAACCTGTTCCTTGCTCGTAAAATTCTCAGACCCTTTTTAAATTCGTAGACTTTATATTTCATCTTTATAGTTGCAGCAGGCGTGTGTGCGTCCTCGCCCTGTTGCTTCTCTACTTTATACGACTGCGCGCGAGTATAAAACGTAATAACGCGTCTGCTGCTGGATGCTGCTTTTTTATTTTTCTCTCTCTGCATTTCTTTTTTGTATGACATCATTTGAAAAAATATTTGCCAAGAGACGAGTGTGCAGCGTTCTCGTCACCAATTTATTTTTTGTCTTGACGTATCATCGCACACGGCTGGCGGAATCTCCTTTCAACGTGCTTCTGAATAAAACGTTGATTAAGTTAATTATCTTTCCTTGTCGCAGAAAGAAGTTTTCGGTCTGCGAATTCTGCACAATTTTAAGTTGAAACGGAATCAACCTATTATAATTCACTCTAAAAAGTAAAACATATTTATCTTGAAAATTTTTATGCACAGTAATATTTTTATTTTTATAGAAGTCAATATAAACACCTAACAAAAAATGGGATTTAGAATTAAATAAAAGTGATTATTTTAAATGCTTTGCTAAAGAAAAAGAAATTTATTTTTTAATAATTTATATTTATCTACTTAAATGCAATCATTCATTTTTATTAATCAATCGTAAAAAAAAAGAATTTCACCAAGAATAATTTTCTCAATTAATCAACTGACATTAAAGCTGGAAATTTCCCTCAACTTCTGCAGCGCTTAAAAGCCTTTTATTGCTTTTTATAATGACCAGGCAAAAAATTTGAAAAGGAATCCAGGATAACAACTGGTCAAATAAAGTAATGCGTATAATTTTTGCTGAATTTATCAAATCGTTAACCCAGATTAAAAATAAAAACCGAAAAATTGAGATAACTGTCGCTTGTCATTCTCATTCAGCACCTGTATATTATCATCCCATGCAGCGCCAGATGACACCGGGCCAACAATAAAGCAGCAGACCGACCAGTACTTGCTATTTTTTTTTTTTTTTTACTTTTCGCCGCGAGAGTTGCTCATTGTGCTGTCGGTGCTGCTTGCTGTGATATTTAACTACTAACATGGTTTTCACACTCTGATGCTCCTCTCAATTACGTTTTGCAGCAGGAGAGAGAGAGAGGAGCAGGGCAATAATAATTCGTGATACACACACAGAAGGCACACATTTTTATATAAGCTGTTTGCGGCGGCGTGTCTGCATTACGTGTGCGTCGACACGCATCAATAAGAAGTACGCGTTTCCTGCTGGATGACCAAAATAAGCCGCGATTCCACAACAGGAGCGTCTCCGCCAAAAGTTAATTGAGCGCTTCTCGTTAGCTCTCGATTATTACGAGACCACAATATCTGGGTGATTTACTCATTCAATTGCAGCTGCGGGCGTAATTAACAATTAACTGGACTGGAGCCTCCAGGAATGATAAAAATATACACTCAACTTGTCCCTCTTTGAAAGTCGTAAATTTCTTTTTAATTGCGAACGGATGAAAAATTGCGTATTAAGTTTTTTTTATATAGCGCGTGCCACTTTGCTTCGGTTGGCTCGCACAAAGTTTAGCCCGAAATAATTAGATCTGACTTTTGAAATCTTTTTTAATTACTTAAGAGTGGCCTTGGATTAAAAGTTTTATAAATTAATTTAATTTAATCTCTTTTTTATAAGCTCAGGATGCTAATTTTGAATGAAAATTAATGGTCTGGTCGTTTGACTTAATCAAATTAAAACCTCTTCCTTTCAATGAAGCAGCCTCCGAGCTCCAGCAGATAAAAAGCGATCTCTTGATGCGCTCCTCGCGGAATATTATTTCCGGCGGCCTGACGTCACATTTATTTATGTGACGTAATAAAACCATCCTGCCACCCATGAGTGTGAGCGGTCGCCCCAGTTGCAACCATAGAGCACAGCAATTTGATACATAAAAATACTCACGCTCTGATGAGCACCTCAATACACACTCTGTTCATTCATTAGTGACCGCGCGCACGCTCGAATCCCCCGAGCCTTGATACTTTTTGCGCATCATTTGCCAATTTTTCAGAAAAAATTGTTTTATAAGCAGGCTTTGGTAAATATTTAGGTCGAAAATGTCTCTCACCAGACTCCCTTTGGAGCAGCAGCCCCTCAAAGTGGATGGCGGCGAACTTGTAGATGTCCTTGGGCTGGTGGCGCAAGACCTCTCTGGCGAGGCCCTCGAGCAGCTCTTCCATCCCATTGGGCACCCCAAGTCGTAGAAACAGGGGCCCAGAAGTCATTACTATAGCCTCTGAAAATTGAAAAGATTTTAAAGATTTATTCTTTTTCATTGAAGATAAAAAAAAAAACAATTTCAAATTAATTAAAAATTTTAATTCAAGTAGTAAACATAAAAAATAATGTTATTTTCTTTAATATTTAGTTAAAAAAGATACAGAAGAACTCCGTACATATTTATGTAGAGATTTTATTCAATGATAATAATTTTTTATAATTAAATAAATGCAATTTAATATTTAAAAATACAATTTTTTTCAATCAATAACATTTAAATTTGTTGTAATCATTGTAGGTTAGGAGTGAAAAATGATAGTGTTTTTAAAATTTATCACAATATCGCAATCAAAAATTAAAACATAATATATTATCATGTTATAATTACATGCAATAATACCATGTTAGTATAATTAATAATTAAAAAGTGCTACTTAAATGTTTGGAGGGGGAAATAATGTTTCCTTCTGACAAATTTGAGAATAATTCATGTTGTGACGCGTTGTTCAAGAAATAGAACAAAAAACATTACAAATGACCTCGGTGGCTATAGGCGTGATAAAATATTCACAGGTCAAGATGATCGTTTTCCTCCCTTGCGTGCTCCTATAGAGAGAGTGGAATACGCCAGACGGAGAAATCGATTTTTAATGTAATAAAAGATCATTTGCATAAGAAGTTTTGTGTGTTTTTGGCTCGAGAAGAAAAATCAATGAGAGCATGAACACATTTTTGTGTTTCAAAATAACACAATATCTTTTAAAGATTTATACAAAATGAAAGGAAAAAAGTCAAAGGATTGGCGTCTGAGTATTCAAAAAAGCATTGCCAGTGCTCAGCTTGAAGTGTGTATTATTTCGGGAAAAAAAGCTTAGTTATTTAGTTAACAAACATTCTGATAAAGAAGCTCATTAAATTTTGCTGGTAACAAGAGACGGCAAAAAAACTTGTTTCAAAAATCAATGAACACGTAATTTAATTATATAAATTTTTTGAACTTTCAAAAATTATTATTGCTTTACATCAAAGTGTTTAAAATGTATGGATATGTTTGAATGGCCAAAATAGATAGCTATACAGCTATACAGAATACTTCTGGTAAGTTGTGGATGTTCGAGTGTATATTTTTACCTGTTTGATAATTTGCCTGTGTGACCTCAAACGGCTTGGTGCGGAATGACGGCATTTCAGCATGCGGCGGGTGAACAACACAAGAGGCCGACCGGCGTATGTGTTTGTGTCCTTCGCAACCCTATTGATCAAACCCTTCGTAGCGTGCGGCGTCGGCTGTGGAGAGGAATTGTTCACTCTGATATGAGAGCCAACCTCATTACCCCTGCCCGCATAGGCAACCAGCTTGAATTCTTTGCGCGCGGCCACCGCGCTTTCATATTTTTTCTCGTACCCAAATCCACCCTCATAAGATCATTTAAATTTTTATAATTTAAAAAAATTTATTTAGCTATATTTTTTTTTAATGTGCTTTATATTATTAAAACTACAAAAGCTTATTTTAAGCGATTTTTTATATTAATAATTATGATTTTTTTAAGTTTTGAATTTTTCATTGTGTGTAACATTACAGACAATTCACAAATAACAGCAGTTGACACATTTTCCAGTGGACACGTCTATAATGAATAATTGCAAATTGGGAGGAAAATGATTTGTTCTCAACTTATTAAAGACCAGTGATGTAAATTCCATTTACACATATACGAATAGTACAAATAATGAATGATAGTCATGGGCACACATTTCGCTCTTCACAGATAAGCAATTGACATTTAAATAAACGGAATGCACATTTTTTTATATCAAACAAATTGATTCCTGGATGGTCATATAACAATAAAAGCATGGAACAACATTTTTAACATGCACACAAAATATAATATGAATAATTAAGAAGAAAATCATCATGTGTGGAAGTACCTGTATCACAATTAAATGCACCAATTAAGGAGCACACAATTTCAGCGCTTTGAATTCTCGCTCATTGAAAGTTACGATCACAAATCTCGTACTTTTCAAAATTGCACTCTCGCATCAGAAAACAACAAGCATTGCCGGCCATTCAGCAGGTTTTAAATTGAATACTTCTCACGTCTACAACATTAAAGCTCCGTCGTTGCAAGTTAAGTTGCAGCTTGCACTAATCTGTTCTCTAATTTAGCAAAGGAAAAGTATGCATACATAATTATGGAATACGAAAAGATATAAATGCTCGACAGGGTAGGGGCAATTTGGGAATTCAGAAAAGTAAATCAAAACTTTTTGCTAATCTTTCTATGAGCAAGATTAATTCTCAAAGAAGATGACTTCAGTAAAAACAGCTGAATGCATTTTCAAATCTAAATTCTTTCTCATTTTACGAAATATTCAACAATAGAAAAATATAAAAAAAGATTGAAAAATTCAACAGGAATGAACTGTTAGTCGTGGAATGCAACCTAAGAAATAAGGAAGCACCCTGCTTTGGCCGAGGTTGGTGGCTCCGAGGCCTCTCACATTGCGGCAAAGTCCAACTGAACGTAGAGCTGCCGAACGCCGGCTGCGTTGAAGATGTTGTGCGTGTGGGTAAGAATGTATTTGGGGTCGGCGTTTCGGGCGACCTCGACCTTGAGCGCACCAACAAACATGTCACTGCACAGAGTCCAGAAGTGTGGCTCCTGCACGCTCAGCACTCCTTCCAACTGGTTCACTTTGGAGTAACAGCCTGGCAAGATGTGGTCCAGTGACGATGGCTGACGCTGCATCAGCACCTGAAAATGAGTTTTTTTTTGCATTATTATATACAACTCATGAAAAGGATAAAATTTTAAATTAAATGATGGGCTAAAAATTAGATTTGTTTAAAGCAAGAAAAACGAAATTAATTAACAAGGAATGGCCTAAAAAAATAATAATGGTGAATTTCATTGGGTTGGTTATTTTCATTCTCTTTTTCTTAAAAAATTTAACTCCACTTGTTACCCCAACGGTAGAATTCAATCACTTTTATATTAAATTTATTATTTTTATTAAAATTAGTTTTATCAGTTAGAAGATTATAGAGACATAATCACTTAAAAAAAATAATTAAGTTGATAAAATTAACTTGTAAAATAAATATAAAAGTTTATTTAAAAATATATTATAATTATAAAACATTACATTACTAATTAAATAAAATATTTTCTTCGCCAATTTAAAACTTTTGCTTTTAATGAAATTAAAATACCTTACCTGTACTGATTCCTTAATAAGTGCAAGCACACTGAGAGCGATGAGAATTGCAATGCACATGGAGCAGATGGGGTCTGCAATCATCCACCCGAACATTTGCATCAGGATTGCCGAAACGATAACCCCCACGCTGCCCAGGGTGTCGGCCAGGATGTGAAGGAAAACACCCTTCATGATTTGCGAGTTTGCGCCCGAAACGGGGAGGTCGTGCGAGTGACCATGTTGATTGTGACTGTGGCCATTTGGTTCTCCATGGGAGTGGCCGTGGTGTGCGTCATGTGTGTGGCCACCTCCGTGCGAGTGGCCGTGGCCGCCACCCCCGTGACTGTGGCCGTGACCATGTTGGAAGGCGTAAATGCCGATCAGGTTAACGATAAAGCCGAGCACCGAAACCACCAAGAGTCTCTCGTGTTTGACCTCGGGAGGCTCGATCAGTCTTTCGACAGCTTCGGACATGATGAAGAAAGCAATGAACAGCAGAAAGAGGCCGTTCACAAATCCAGCAAGGACCTAAAAATATAATATAATATTGCCTTAATGGCTTGCTGAGGCAGATGGGGTGTTGCTGATCTTGGAAGCTTTTGCACTTTTTTGTGCAAAACTTAACGTTTCTCTAACACAAATTATTTTACAATTTGTAAAAAGTTTTTTTTTTAACAAATCAAATTGAACAAAAATAAAAATAATAATGAGAGTACTTAAGAATCCTTATTGGTATAGTTAAAGTGTCCACACAACAATGGGAATTAAAATTTTCAATAAAATCTAAAAATTTGTTATTTTTCTTATAAGGAATAGATTCATCTATGAGAATTAAATTTGTGATTAAGTAATATTATTTTCTATAAAATGAACTTGAAAACTTATATTAAATTTACCAAAAAATATGGAAATTATTTCAGGAGAGAATTTATATATTTCATTAAAAGCGATTCATTATTTACTTAGAGCAGAAGAAAATAATTAAATTGATTGATTGTCTGTCGGCAATTTTTCTCACCTCTGCTCTAACATATCCAAAGGAATACTTCTCGTTGGCCCTCCACTTTGTGATGACCGAAGCCACAAGGCCAGCCAGCAGGCCAGTGCAGTCGAAGAACATGTGGAAGGAGTCCGAAATAAGTCCCAGCGAGTTTGTCCAAACGCCGTAAGTGAGCTCCACGAAGGCAAACGACAGGTTGAGCATGAGAAAGAGGAACAGATTGCGCGAGTTTTTGTCTGCGAAGATGAGTCGAATCCATCCTTTGACCTTCTGCTGCAGCCGGGAGGACAACGATTGAGGGGCATCTTTGTGGGAAAGTGGTAACATTTTGGAGAAGACGGATTTTTGGAGGTCGTTGGTCTCGGATGATGAGTGCAGGTGCTGCACTCCGTTCTGTTTGCAACCTGAAAACGAAAGTTTTTAATTAAAAAATAAATAAAAACTTAAAATTAACAATTGTACCCATTTTTGAAAATTTTTTAAATTAGATTTTAGAACGAGTCGGATTAATTATGCCACGATTTTTCTGGCAAAGATGGTATCAACTCTGAGGAAGTAGTGAGCATTGTGACAAAATTAAAAGTGCTTGATCGGCTAAAATTTAGCCGTGACATAAATTACAACGGTAAGCACAATTATAAAAGATAAATAAACTATAAAAAATTAAACAGGAAAATATTTTTGACAAAAGGGTGTGATCGACATTTTTCCTAGTTTTGACAGATTTTACACCAATAGAGACGGAAACTTACTAAAGAGGCAGAGATGAAATTAAATTAGAATTTTTCCAGCTGCCCAGGAAGGTCATTGAGGTGGGGTTTTAATTTAATTCTTGATAAAAACTTAAAAAATATTTAGGTTGAATGAAAACTTCATCGTTGTCAGCTGGAATAATAACACGCTGTCCACGCTTGCCAAGTTGTGCACATGAATTTGAATTCTTTCAGATTTTTTTTATAATTTTAATAATTTTAACACAATTTGAATAAATAAATAAATTTGCAACATTAATCTATCAAAAACGTTTAATGTTTGTTGAATTTAATGCAAATAAAGAGGGCTAATGAAACTTTGAGCGTCGCGAGCTTCGAGCTGGCAACAGCGCATCGCTCGTGTGTTGACCGGCCACGCTTTCCGGTTCCGTTCTCACGAAGCCATCATGGTAGGTTCACCTTATTGACATGTGGCAAAGATTTTCTTTAATTATTGCTTAAATTCGGGCCGTTTTCAACTTTTTTTGCTCATTAACTAATCAAGCAGTTGTTTTTGGAAATTTTTGGCGATAAATTAAGATCGGCCCATCTCTTTTCGTTTAAAAACTCGATCTCAAACTCGCGTCTCCCGGGCCGAGGCCATGTGTGTATTGACAACACACACGGGCTCCCATGCCGCTTTATTTTTCAAAAGCTTCTCTTTTTGCGAACGCATCAACATGATGTCAAAACCGAGACCGGAATGTCTGTGACGGTTAACCAAAAGCTGATTTAATGAGACTGATTGATGCGTTCGCAAAAAATTTGAAGGAAATCAGACTGCTTTCGCCGACTTTTGATTTCTGAGCCAAGTCTCATTGACTTTATTTTGCAGGCGCCCAAGAAGGATGCGAAGTCGGCTTCTTCAAAACAGCCCCAGAAGACACAAAAGAAGAAGGAAGGAGGAAGTTCTGGTGGAAAGGCCAAGAAGAAGGCAAGTTAAAGTTGAAGTTCGAACATGAACAATTATATTGGACAGGAATTGCCCATATTTTTTAAAATTTTATTTTATTCATGATTTTTTTTGTATGTTAATTTTATTTATATACTTTCTAATTTTTGTTTACCGAAATTTACAGAAGTGGTCCAAGGGAAAGGTCCGTGACAAGTTGAACAACCAGGTGCTTTTCGACAAGCCCACCTACGAAAAGCTTCTCAAGGAAGTGCCCTCATACAAGCTGATCACCCCCTCTGTTGTAAGCGAACGTCTCAAGGTCCGAGGCTCTCTTGCCAGGAAGGCCCTCGAGGAACTTCTGCAGAAGGGTAAGTTCGGCATTTCTTCAATTACCTTCCTCGGACAGGACTTAGATTTTTCCAATCACGTTGCAGGACTGATTAAGCAAGTTGTTAAGCACCACGCTCAGATCATCTACACAAGAGCAACCAAGGGTGAAGACCAGCCTGCGTAACCTTTCCATCTTAATTTTAAGTTGACTTCCTGTGAAAAATGCGGAGACGATAAAAATTGAAAATCGAATTATCTGCTTTTCAGTTCTGCAATGAAAACCCTTGGTCTAAAGTTATTGATAAAATAAATCTAAGATTTTTAAAATTTTACAATTGAAATTCAATCTAATCAAAGCAATTTAAATAGGAATTTTATCTTTGTTAAAAGAATTCGACAAATTTAAATCATCCAGAAAATTTAACAGAAAGTACTTAAATATTTTTTGCAAAATTAACAGTTTAGATCTTTTATTATTTAATTATTATTAGAGTAATTGCTGAGCCTTATGTTGGGAGAAGGATGGAACCATATGAATGAAAGATTTTTTTCATACTTGTCATTCATGAAATGAAATCTTGTTTTTATTGCATACACATTTTCTTGTTCACAAATTATCATGTACAAAAACTAACGCAAAAAATCGCCTACCACAATCATCGAGTATGCGTTCTTGTTGTGACTTTAATAATTATGCACACGTACTTATGCGTAGGTTTTCAAATGAAATAATAGGTTCGATAATCAGTGCAAGGGGTCAAGGGTAGCCATTTAAACCAACTTAAATCATAAGTATCGGTCGAACAACTGAAACGGAGCTACGAGTTAACGTCTTTCATACTTATTCAGTCTTTTCATATGTATAGCAATTTGAAAATGCAATTTCCTTCGCCCCTCAGCCGTCAATATATGGTAAATGATATACATTTCGCAAAATGAGAATTCTCAGTGATGAAAACGGTGCAGATTGAAATGATAATTTGAAAGGTATCAGGATGAGTGCATTAGAATGAATCAGTAAATGCGCAGCAAATCAACCAGCTATAAATCTGAATGCAGATCGTCTTCACCAACTACACATTTAAAATGGAAAACAATTTTTCACAACTGATATCGGAAATATTTTACTGGTACATCTTGCACGCCATGATAATTTACTTTTTAATGCTGAAAAGTTGCGACTTCAGTGTCCACATTTAGTTGCATAAATTTTAACAGTGAAACAACATTCCTCCATTTTTTGTTTTCTTTTTTTATAAGTATTTTTAGTGTAATGTATTCGTGGTTGGATATAATAATGCTGATTGACATTGATTTTGGATAACATAACGAGTTGACAAGGTGGAAAATTTTGAGTAGTTTTATAAGCACTATTTTTCATAATCACGAATTTTAAACTTTCTTCGATAACAACAATGATGAGATCATGGATTCTAAGTGGAAATTCTTCAATTACAAGACGCGGGAGAGTGGCTTTATTTCTGATAATTTCTTCCGGTTCTTCCACACAAAGGCCCACTCTTTATTTAATATATTAAGATCTGAACCAACCCTGCAAAAAATACGTCACAAATTTGTGCTCCTTCAAACAGCTTCTTCCTGTAGCCCCATCTTTTGCTGTCACAAAAAGAGCAAACTTTTGAAACAATCCAGCAAAAATGTCCTAAACATCGGCATTTTAAAATTTTTTAAGAGTTCTAAAACACCAGATTTGCTCAAAATTGCCAACTTTGAAAGCTGCTTTGGCACACCTGTAAAGCACTTGCTGTATAGAGTTATGCAAGAGACGAATTTTAGAATCGACAAAAACATCAATATGATGTTTCAGTTTCCAATTTGCTGAATCGTATATATTTATCCCGCCACTAGCTTTTCCAGTCAAAACAAAAATTATTTCATTCTTAAGTGAGTAGTGCAGGATAAAATATTAATGTTCCGCACAATCCTGTAAATGAGGCTCATAGCCTCGCACATTTTATTTTCATGGGGGGCGCATTGTTTTTTTTCTTTGATCGTTTTCTTATTATATTGCTATTCAATTGCTGGTTGATATTAATTTCTTCGTTTCGCTCTACTCGTTTTTTTACGAAATGGAGAACCCTGTTGGCGATTTTAAATGTATGTCGAAGGTTCGTTGATATTCATGTTAGATTTTCGCGCTTTTCCATTAGCAGCATCACACTTTTCCGTTTAAAAAATTTAATTCTGCTATCATATTTTGTGCTTTCAACAACGCATATTTTAATATTCAATATGTAATTTATACATATTATTTTTTACATTCTCCGTTCAAACAAAAAATTCCACAACAATTATTCTTAAATATCAATCATGTTCATTATATAATTTAAGTTAATGATTCTCTCACAGTTAGCGTATGACCATTTTCACCGGTTTTTCTACAGCACCTTGAGATAAAACTCCATATACTCGCACAGGAGAGGATGATTAGCGCCAAACTCGGCAAGCAAAATAATATATTTTCTTTGCAATTTTTTACATGTACAATTCCAAAATCGACAATTTTTATACACATTGGCACTATCATCCTCACAAAATAATTTATCTAAGCATCATCACGTCGCAATATAATCTTTCATATCTATATTTTTTTTTATTCAACAGTTTTTCTTCTTCTTTCAATCAGCGCACTCGTCACTGTCATCCTTCGGCTAAAAATACACGCACACACTCGGTGAACCGCGAATAATCATCTCTCTTGTCTGGAGGGCTTTCTTTTCGCATATTCTTTCGACTAGAAATTTATTCTTGCTTCTTTTTAATCAGGCTGGCGCGAGAGCTAGTCCTTTGTCACGCGTGTCTCTTTCTTATACGTACCACTCTTTCACGTCTTTGTTGTTTTGTTTCTTGACGACTTTGACTGGTCCCACGGCCGGATTGAGAGGCGGCATGCCCACCCCGTAGGCACCCTTCTCGCTGTGCATTCCGTTGGGCTGGCTGCCGTTGAGCAGAGCCGCCTGTGCGCCGTAGCCTTGGTGGTAGTTTTTGCTCTCGTCCACTTTGTACGAGGCGTCCGACCGCCCCTTGAACTTGAGTATGATCAATATGACCAGAATGATGATGATCATTGTTGCTGCTATCACCCCTGCGAAAATAATTCGGTTCAAATTTAAAAATTGAATCAATACAGATTAAATTATTATTATAAAAGTTTCAAAATCCAAAATTAATGCTTGATTTTGATCTTCATTGTTAAACTTGTTTGTGTGTATGGAATATATGGAAATTAATCATGCTAGATTTTTTTTTCATTCACTAAAAATATAATAATATAATCTGATTTTTCGTCAGTTATTAATTCAATCAAAATAATTTTTTTCTTTAAATAATAAAATAAAAATAAGTTAATTGAAATTATTAAGCTTGCTGGGGGGGGGGGGGGGCTTGGTAGTATAGATTTGAAAAAGAGACTAAGAAAATAAGATCACTTTTATTACATTTACCTATAACAAGTGCTGTATATTCAGCAGCTTCGGAGGAAATTCGCTCCCTCTCCTTGGCATTCAACCGAGGTCTTGCGGGAGTTGGATGGGGGTGTGGAGGCGGCGGAGGTGGAGGAGGCGGCGCCTCTGTTGTGCTAGTGGTGCTTGTGCTGGTGCTCGAAGATGAGGATGAGGAGGTGGACGAGGGAGAGCTGCTGCTGCTTGTACTGCTGGTGCCCACCGAGGACGAGGGGAAGCTCGAGCTGCTTCCGCCGCTGCTGGAGCTTGTTTGGTCAAGGTCAGGGCTGAATGGAATTTCTGAAGTGATGATCGACGTGACTTGGTGCACCCCTGTGCTGCCAGAAGAACCTCCGCTGCTGCCGTAAGTGTGGCTGATGTGGGGAGGAGATGATTCTGGCAAGGAAATTCCTGTTGTTGGTCCTGAACAGAAATTTAGTTTTTTTTTTAATTACTATTAAAAATCACAAACCTCTGCTAGAGGAAATGATGGTATCTTCAGTAGCAGGACCAAAGCCAGAGCCTGGGAAACAATCCTCGTCATCGCACGGTTTGTCACCGCCCTTGATTTTCTTGCCGTATATTTTGGTCGGAGGAGGTCTGGTTGGCGGGACGTACACAGGTGTAATCAAATCATCGCCTGAATGAAATTAAAAACTCGTTATATCATTGATTGGCCAATAGCGTGCTGATGTGAGCACAAATTAATTTGTAATAAAATAAGAAAAATTGCGAAAAAAGCGAGAATCGTGTGTAACTAAAGCTGACCTGAACCTGTATCAAATATTGGTGTGCACTCGTCCTCGTCGTCGGCGTTGCACCCTGAGCCAGCGCCAGAAAAGATGAGGTCGTCCATCACTCCTGGGAAGCTGGACGCAGGCGCCCTTTGCATTCCGTGGAGCATTTCCACGTTAGGGATGGTTGGCTTTTCCTTTATGTGGGCCGGCAGGGAGGGAATGGGCTGAACTTCGCCCCTGATGTTGATCCTGGGGTCCTTGTCAGCGGCCAAGTCCAAAATTCGAATTTCATTGAAGACGAGTCCGGCCATCACGCCCACGAAGGGCCTCTCCATTCTGTGTTTCGAACGGTGCCACTTTCCGCCAATTTGAATTTGCGAAGGGCTGTTGAAAACGCCTAGCTGGTTGCCTGAAATTAGGATTTTTTATTTAATTGCTATATTTCAAAAGCGCCTGAAATTTTATGATTTATGCAATCTGCCATACATTGAAGAACAGCAGTTTGCCTATTTTAATAAACCAACATACCTCCGGGATTGAGTGTTTGGACGCTGTAGTCATCAATTTGCAAGGTTGAGTTGGCGCCAGATCTCGTGAATCTGACAACGTGATACTGATTATCATTCACTTTGACTCCAACTTCGCCAATAGGGTGGTCGTTTGTGCCCATGTTGTATACCATGAATACATTTCCTTCAACCTAAAAGTAATTTTATTTTTAACTTTTTATACCGTTTTTTTTCTTCAAATACTTACAATTTCCAACTCCATGTAATCATTAGAAGAGCCAGAATCAACCCTAAATAAAACAGCATCCTCCTTGGTTGTTATAAAACCCAGCGCCAAAACGTCACTTCGCATGTCGGGTCTGTGATCCTCCGGGAAAGTGAAGGTTATCATGCCAGACCCCGGCCCGAACTCAAAGGCGATCGATTCTACATTTTGCATGTTAGGTCAATAAAAAAGTGTACAGTAAAATTTCCTCTCAATAATACCCTCTGAGCAAGTGGGTCCCGTGAATGAGGTCATGTCACAGTCACAGGTCTGAGAGTTCCACTGTTGCATGCACATTCCTCTGTTGGCACACACGTTGTGGCTGCACTTTGTAGACGTGGCTGATGAATTTATACATCAGTCAAGAGTGAAAAAATAAAATAAAATGTTATTTACTTTCACATCCAGAAAGGACCATTGTGCTTGGAATTTCCGCGTCGACGACCAGATTTGGTGACTCGCCGTTGAGGTCGAGACTGGCCAAACAACCCTCGTAACCATGCCTACTCTGTATTTGCTTGGGCAGCTGCGAGTACATGTCCTTTCTGACACCACCTAACAAAAAACATACAAAGAAATGGTAAATGTCACCACTCGAAAAACGCAGAAAAATTACCAATATAAAGAATTCCGGCCAAATCGAGGTTTTCATTCAATCCGAGTCCGGTGACAATAGAAAAATTGTCATCGACCAGCAGCGTGTGCTGCCTGGAGGTGGGCCTTCCAATGGTCACCGCGTGCCACTTGTTGTCGTTGAGGGCCGCCCTTCCGCTGTCCCTGACCCTGACGGGGCCGTCGCCCAGATTGAAAATGTAGTGGACGTGGCCGTGGACGAGTTCGATCGCAACGAAGTCCTGCTCCTTGCCGGCGTTGAAAAGAAGCAGACCGTTTGGCTCCTGAGTTTTGAACTGGAAATAGATGTTGGTCGAGGAATAGGCTTTCAGCATTGGCAGCCCAACGAAGGCATGTTTCGACTTAAAGGTCACAGGATGGTGCACGATCTGCTCCCTCTTTCCAAATTTGGCAGTCACCTGAGGAGAGAGTCATTAATTTTTGAATAAATTTTTTAATGATATAATTCACCTTGATATTAGCGGGGCCTCCGTGATGGTGTCCCGTTCTGGCTTGTTCGAAGAATTGCTGATTGTTGAAATAGAGTTGCTGCATTTGACCGACAAAACTGCTTGAGATGATCTCATCGCCCTGTCCAGTAGCGACGCCGCCTATGTGGAGGCGCCGAAACTCGAGGGTAATTTGCCGGCTGGGAGTTTCCCCTGAAACGGAAATTTTTTGTTTAACTTTTCAGCACAGATCAAATAAACAAAAACATCAAGCATTATTTTTCCTACGGCTTTCATGTTTGCCCTTTCTGGTACGGGCAAAATAAACAACAGTTTCTGATTTCAAAGCAAAACAAATTTCAAAAGCGGAGAGTGGGTTTTCCGGACTGTTTATTTTTTTGTATGTTTTAAGCAGATTGATGAACGAGAGTAAAAAATCGCTCTTTCTTTTGCATCAAAGCGGGCGGCGAATTTCCTCGAGCACCTACACACAAGCCGAGGATTTGCGAAAGCAATTGAAAAGTTTACGCAAAAGTGGATGCGAGGAGAGTTGTTGCCTTTGTTTTTCTTTTTTCCATTATACACGCAGGGAAGGAAATTCGACTCATTGAAATTCGGAGCGCGCCCGCCGCAGCGTTTGTCAAGTGCTTGCGGCTTTGAGTGCGCGCGCGAAAAAGTTAGCCGTCCCAACTAAAAATTCATTCCGCGCGTATTTGCATGCACATATACCGCCCAAATGGCAATTTTAATGAGACCGCGCAATGATAATAAGGAGGGGCGCCACTCGGAGCGGTTTGCTTTGCGTGATTCTCTGTAAACTCGCGGCGGCGGCGGTTCCTTGCGATTCCGCCGTGTTTCGTCATTATCGCCACTCGCGCCTGCAAACTTTTAATGACGCCACTCAAAAATCCCGAGGCGGAAGAGATCAGTTTTAATTTCGGCGCTTTATTGATTTGCCGGTGTGGGGTGGAGGCGTTTGTAATTAGAGGCCGTGATGATAATTCTTGCATGAGTGCTCGGATCTTGCATATTCATGAGCAGCGCACTCGTATAAAATGAAATTCGGTTCAGTCTGCTGACAAAAGCAGGGCGTCACATTTTCTGCAGAATCGATCTGACGCGCACGTGGTGACGTGCCACGGCCAATTTGCGATCAATCAGAAATAAAGCATCTGCAATTAGCGCCAATCGACTTACCGCTCGCTGGAGTGTCGTTGTCAACTCGCAGCTCCAAATGTGTGCCCTTTCTTGAGTACCTCACTGTGTGCCATTGATTGTCGTTCAGGCCTTGACCGGCTTGGATGGTCTGAAATTATTGTATATGTTGGATGAGCGAGCGAGCAATTTCATTAGTGCAAGTGGCGCACAACTGCTCAATTGCTACTTGACCGACTGATTTTCACTCTCTGATATATAAACGATGAAACTTTTCACGGGACACGTATGTGTGCGCTCACAAGTGCTTTTGTTCCATTTACCTTCTCTCGTTCGCCGATTCTCAGCGTCATCCGAACTTTTCCACTCGCCAGCGACAATTCCAGCCTCTCAGAGGGGTGCGACGACCCCGCGGTCACAAGCAAGAGGCCCACGGGTCTGGAGGTGCGAAATCGAAGGCTGATTTCTTCTGACTGCGTTCGCGTCTCGTCAGGGTACGAGGCCAGGAGATACTGGGTGCCGTTGAAACTCAGGGTGGCCGCATCTGAAGAAATTTTTTATTTTATTTCTGGTTTAGTATTTGAGCTGAGGAAATGGTTCCGAATAAAGGCAAAAGTTTGCTCACATCATTTTTATTTTCAAGTGTGATATAGAACCAAACCGTTAACTGAGTTTTATAAACAAACTTTTACATTTTGAAATAAATTAATTCAGGGAATTGTTGCGTGAAAAAGATTAAAATGAGTACAAATAAGGCTATTAGTGGGTTAAGGAAAAATGCGTGACTTGAGGCAATTTAAGAACCATTTGACACATAAAAAAGAAGTTTAATTGAGGTTGTAAAATAATTAGACTTTAAAAAGAAAATAAGTGTAGGTTATAACCCTAATAATTGCAATGTATATTTAAAAAGATTTTATAAGAGTTTAAAGATAATTAAATAAACCGCACACTAAAATTTAAATAAAAAAGGGCAAAAGAATTCTTTTTACCTTTGGCACATCGTGGACCAGTGAAACTGGTGCCCGAGCAATCGCAGATGAACCGATTCCAACCTTCAGTGCAGGCTCCGTTGTTCATGCAAGGCTCTGATTCGCACTGTTTAGGCTGGGAACGACATGAAGGGCGGATTGCACCTGAAATTGGAAATTTTGGTGTTCGTTTAATATTAGTTGTAAGAGAGATCCGGAATTAAGATTAGTTTTTAAGCCACCAGAAAATTTAATTATAAACAGAATAATTTGTTTAATTATAAGTTAAAAGATTTGAAATATATTCCACAAAATTTAAAATGCATTAAAAATGTAACAAGACAATTTCTGCCACGTCTCTAAGATATAGATAAAAGTTTATCCGGTGGCTTTGTCTATTAGTTTGGAGCAGCTATTTTGTCTGAGACAAATAAGTCTAATTATCTGTGCCGTTTACCTGAGTCTTGTCTCCTGGCGTAACCGGCGACATCGACCGCATTTCCATTGATCACCAAATCGCGCAGACAACCGACGTATCCGTGCTTCAAAGCGGCTGACCAAATCGAGGGAGGAACCGAAACCACTCTATTTAGTGGTCCCAGACCGCCGACGTAGAGTGCTCCTTCAAGGTCCAGTTGGTTCGACTCGCCTGCAGCACAGAAAAAAAGTGAGAATTGCTTTTTAAATGAATTTCCTGCGCGCGCGCCTCAAAGGCATGCATGCGGTCTTTAAAGATCTCGATAATGGAATTTCCACCAGTGCATAATTTTTCTTCTTCAAGGGGGTGCAAAAAGCAGATAGAGCCACTGAGCTCGCTCGTTACCAATTTGCCCAGCACTTTTTGCCGGCGGCATTTCAAATTTACGCGGCCCCATTTTGCACCAAAGACGGAAACAACACACAAAAAATTTGCCTCCACCCGAAAGTAAATAAGAGCCTTATTTGCGCGCGCTCGGCGAAAGTGGCTGCAAAAAATATGTGTGTTCTTGCAAAATGGGGAATAAAGTGTTGGAAGGCGCCGCACGAGAGGTTAGCACGCAGCTCACCTCATAACCGCGCGCCAGAAATATGAAAACGATGAGGAGAAAAGCGGCGGCTCCAATAATGCCATTTTGATAAGGAGCGTCGCCTTTTCCTCGTGTAATGTATTCCATCAAATATCACTTCTTTTTTGCCGGCGTTAGCAGCCAGAACGAGTCGTTAGTCAATTCAGCCGCAAAGTCGTAAATCATAGCGCACGCGCTTTTTCCCCATTTTCTCCCAGGGTATGTCGTTGGGCCACATGTGCTGTTTGCGAACCCTGGGGCATGAAATGCGTGCAAAAAAGCGCGACAAAACGCCGTGGGAGGACGACAGACACGGCCTGCTTATCGTTATCTGACCCAAAACTACCCTACCCGTTTATGGCACAACCATCATTTGTTCCGACACGACACGGTCTGGTGTATATTCAAAACGGTGCCCAAATTCACCCGACAAGCAAAGGAAGAAAAATTGCGATGCAGTAAATACAATTGGCATAGAATTTGTATTTATGGTTATGTTGGAAGAAAATTGCCTTGTGACGTTGTGACCTTTTGTTTTGATGGAGCCAATTATGAGAGCTAAAAATAAAATTGACTAAACCAGGAAAGCAAAAGCGACGTATAAAAAAGCAGAGAGTTCAAGAATTTTAAATTGTAAATTATTTGATGGAAAGTATTTGTATTAAAACAATTAGTTAATTTAAATAATATGAATAGTTATCAGCCATTAGCCAATACAGACATTTGCAATAAGCGATAGTAATTTCCTCCAAATAAGTGCATGAAATGTACTGAGAAATGTAAAATAAATAATGTTAAGTTAAACAATAAACAATAATATTTATGTTAAATGCATAAAATTAATGAAAAATATAAAATAATCTAAAACTGCATTAAAAACTTATTATTACTTTAAAACGTATAAATTCACAAATAAGTCATACCAAAATAGACTTTTTGTATAATTAAATTATTATTTTAATAATAAATTTTAAAATTTGGCAACTTTAAAATGTAAAAGAGAAATGTGAAAATGGCGATATTGGAAAACTACCACTTTTTCCACTAGCGCAGCTGATTTCATTTTTATTTCCGTCAGTGTTCAAAACGCTAGCTGCAAAAGTGCCAGCGTGTGCGTTTGTGATTGAATGATCAGAAGTCGTGCGTCAAAAGCGGCCCGAGATATTATTGTTATCCGAGTGACACAGCAAATAGAGAGAGAAGAGCGGCCGTCGCGTGGCTGCTGCGGCAAATGGTGCGACGGATGGAACGAGAGAGCGAGTCGCACGCCCAAATGCATCATGACACACGCAGACGGAAATAACAGCAGAAAACCCATTTCCTCGCCGGCGCGCATTTGCATTTGAACCTTTTCCTGAATTATTGGAGATTAGACTCTGTGGTCGGAACGTTCAAACCGGTTCAATTTATCAGGGTGGAAAATTATGTACGTGCGGCTGTGGAACGTTTTGCTCTCTGCAAATGACACTTTTTGCTCTCGGGTGTGTTTCCGGAAACACAGCGTTTGACTCTCTCATCTGTGGGATGCAGCACGACTGCTGAACGTTATTCGATGAACAAATTGCAGCTGCAAGAAACGGAGCGAAAATCGTACTCATGCGTGACGTTTCTGCCATGTTAATTCAGTTGAACTATCGTCCATGTTGATTGCAAAGTAAATTGCATGATAAATTATGAAAAAAGAAAAAAAAACCGATAAAAAATTTTTCAAAAAATTTACAAAATATCATCAATATTTGGTGAAACTTCAACTCAAAAATCTTTAGAATTTCTTCTCTGCAGTTAAAGTCGTTTTCAAAGACCGACCATATATAGCCTTCAAATCTCATTAAAAATAACCGGCATAAAAAGAAACCTAGCTTCGTTATAATCTGAAGGTTATTTAATTAAAAACATCATCAAACTGTAGTTATCAATCAAATTCACCTGATTTCAACTTATTTGAAGAAAAATTGTTCCCGACCCACAAATTTTTTTTATTAAATTTATCAGATTTTTTCAGCAGCCCAAAGCATTAAAAAGACAAAAATTCAAAGAGTTCCACTAACCAAAGGGGAAATGATCGAAGTAATTTTTACAGAATATGATATAAATGAGAACCAAGGCTTAACCTCCTTAAAATTGAGGCTTTCTATAATTAAGATTATTTTAATTTTTATTAAATCAAATATAGCCCCTTTAAATTATAGTGAGCTCGGATCTTGTTTCATCATTAACTAAAACTAAATAAATATCAGAAGGATTGCAAAAATTTTGTACCTGGAGTTTTGAAGTCTGCTGCCGATCCGTCTACGGTGACTCTGCCCTCGCGGCCATTCCTCCTGAGGGTGATTTCGTGCCAGCCGCCGTCGTCGATGCGACGCGGCGACGCCTGCACTCTGGTGGTGCCTGAACCCAGGTCCAGGTGCAGATAGACGTGGCCCGATAGCATCTCGAAGGCGAAGAAGTCAGCCTGTATGTGCAGACGCAAACAGCCACGGTGAATTTCATTAATAATTCAGCGCGAGTAGGGCTCGAGATAAAAACGCGCGCGCAGAAATGGAGGTCAGAATTTATGATGTAAAAGTACAAAAGCGTATCACGTACGAAATTGGCTTTTGTGTTGAGCCTATTTAGCCCCCCTTTTGTATATAATAAGCGCGCGCACGGTATATAAAAAGACACACATCGCTTAATCGCGCAAAGGGAGTGGAAAAAACGGACGCAAAAGGTGCGACTTTTCCCTCTTCCATTTCTCTTTTCCTTTCTTTCTTTCTTTCTCTCTCGGCTTTTTCGCCCTAGCCCGCTCTTGATTACTGCACTCGCGCTCCGTACGCGGCGCCGACCTAATTCGCACAAATTCAAGTCACGACTGCCCAAGATGCCTGCAGCTCTGCTGCTTTTCCCACTCTTTTCCCTTAAGGGCACTCTTCCGCCGTTTTCATTTATACACACACCGGCAACACACAATATTTGTACCGGAGGGCGGCCTGGGCCACCCCCTTTCTCCTTTTTGCTAACTCGGCCGAATTAGATCTCGCCGAACCGCAGTGCTTTGGCTCTGCGGCGAAACGCTCTTCTGAAAAAAAAAACCAAAACACCGATTGAAGAAATAAAAAACGTTTGCTAAATAAACCTTTTTTAAATTAATATATTTGATTATGTCTTTGTAATACAATAAAACTTTTTTATTTTACTTTTAACAATTATTTTATTGTTTATTTTACTGTTTATTATATTTTTTTATTGTACTTTTATATTTAATTAAAAATATTTAAATAAAATTAGCTTTAAAAATTACTCATGAAATAAATATTCATGTATATCTACATTGGAGTACAATAAAGCAGATAATATTTAACAATAATACTGTTAATATATTTTGAGCATTCCAAACTCTTAGTCATGAACGGAAAAAATTTCAAATGACGATCTATTCCTCTCCAATGCGTCCTGCGTGGCATATTATATCGCAAATATTTTAGAAAATATTGTTTGCTTGAGGATTTGATATTAATTAATTATTTCATACTGTTTCAAACAATAAGACGAATAATTTTCTTGATCATGGAAAATATTTTAACCATTTTAACTGAAGTCCATTTTTAATGGGCACTAAAAAATTAACATGTAAATAGCATAAATAATAAATAACATAGAACGTTGATTGAAATGATACACAAAGAGTTGGATTTATTTTTGCCAGGTTGACTTTGAATAATTTAAAACCTGTTCGTTGTAAATGAATTTAAACAACGTTATTGAAAGTTAAGCTACGATTTTTGTATCTTACTTGATTACTTTTTACTAATTAAAGTAAACAAAAAATTTTAAAAGTAAGAAAGTTAATGTACTAATCATTCTGTTGTTATCAAAAATAATTTTTCAAAAAATTTACACATCATGAATTATGGCTTCAGCCTGCAGACGAAACATATAGAGCAGGATATTGTTTTTTCTATGAATCAACAAATGACTCCGAAAATCCGTAGAGGAAAGTCGAATTTAATTTCTAAACCATGTAGTAATTCTAAAATGACGAGATCTATTAGTTTGGCGAGGAATTCAATTAAATCACAACTTACAGCACGATACTATGGAGGAAACTTTCACCAAGAAAACAAAAGGAAGCTGAGATGAATGGAGTTGTGTTCGGCAGCGGGTTCATAAAGCGGGCGTGAGAGTTTATGGGGCGAAATTTCCGTGCATATACACGCGCTCAACGGATTGCATAACTTGCCAAACTGGTTACATAACTCGACAAACCTCATTGAAAGCCGCGCGTAATATACATCGCAGCGAGAGAGAACTTTGCGCGAAAACTTTTTGGCATTTCTCGAGGCCGGTGCCAAAGTGAGGCATATAAAACGTAATGCGTGCTGGATGTGAACGGTGTCGGAAAAGAGAATTGCGAATCGATTTTCTCATCACGTATAAATAAATTCACTTTATTCAGCCAAAGTAATTTTTGCCTTTTGAGAGAGACGCGCATGTAGAGTTCTCGCATCAAGCGTAATCAAAGTGAATATAATAAAACGTCAATCCAGCCTGCGAGTTTTCTCATAAATGTATCTTTTCGAGCAACAGAAAAGGGGCTTTGAGGCGCGGTCGGAGCATAAGAGCTACCGGCAATATAGCTCGAGTGCGCACTCACATTTGTATTTGGGCTGCGCGCAAGACGGCTGAAAAAAGGTACAATGTTGATTTATTATCGGAGCGAGCCACCGTATTCAAGCGAATACATTTTCAAGGATATATTGAATGCAGTGAGTACGTACTCGGGCGGCTATCCGTGATATTTCCTGCCACCGACATTGATTTCGCCTTGTTTGGCTTCGGAATACTTGATCGAGTCTATTGTGTTTGTTCTCTCGAGGAGGCATTCAATCTCAGATGTGCCGCGCTCCAGAGAGTGCCCCCGCATGCTCAAATATGGAGTGAAAGAACGCTCGATCCCACCGCTCTGTTTATCCTTCGCGTTTTTCCATTTTCTCATTTAAAATACCATAAGTGAGAGCGAACGCTGCAAATGTCAAAGGTGAATGGGCGACGAGGAGAGAAGGAGAAAGAAAGAAAAAAAGAAGAAGAAAACATCACGACTCGTGACATACTGCGTGTCATTGTCATTGTTGGTAATGAATCCCACACCTGCGGCTGGATCAATATTCCATGCAAAAGAGGCAGACATTTTAAACGAAAGAAACTGTTCTTATTTTATATGCATCATATGCATTATATTATTAAAAAAAAATTAGATATTCCATTAAATAACTATACTAAAAAAATTCAAATTTGGTATAAAAACCATTTAAAAAAATTATTTAGTGATTCTTTCATCCTAGAGGCACGGTTAAATAAAAGGAAAATCTCCTTGGTTAGATTTTGAGAGCAGTGAAAGCCGTTTGATGTCAACCTTCTGGGCAGTTGACAAAAATTTATAAAAAAAAAAGAATGATGTTCTCTATGGTTTAGCCCGGTTTAGCCGATACTTTCTCCAATTCGAAACTTGTGCATTAAGCGGGAGAATTTCGCACGAATTCGCAGCCCACGTCGTGTGTTTATACGTCCACTTAAAATATCAAAGAACGGTGTTCTACTTACGTGTGCTGAAGTGGTGCCCGCGCTGTACATGAGTAGTCCATTTGGCTCGTTGGTGCGGATCTTGAATGATATGGATCCGGTGCGAGGCGCGTCCCACGAGGGCAGAACCTGCACAGACACAAACACGCACGTCACTCACTTTGGTACACACATACACATCAACTAGCCTCTACTTTATATATACAGCAACCAGACACGTGTACATCTAGCGAATCAACTGACAATCTAGCGGCCTGCGGGGATGTATCTTATCTTTGCGCGTATGTTAAAGCAAAACCCAGTGGCCAGGCTGGCCGGCGTAGCTTTCTATCTCTCTGTACACTGTACTGTGTATATAGATGCGCGAATCGCTGCGAGCGGGAACCAACAAAGTGGAAACGGGTTAGTTGAGCGGACAATCAGACGAGCCGGCTTTGGCGCGCAGTGTTTCGGCACAATTTATTAGATCTCGGTGTATAGGCGGAATTGCGTCTCGGCAGCTCGGCAGGAAAATTTGCGAGAAAGATAAGTAACGCGCCGGTGGGTTTTGCAAAGCTTTGGCAACGCCGATCTGACCTTTCCGCCACTTGCTGAACCCGTTCGGAAATATCCGCTTTCAAATTCGCTACTTGAAAAGCAGCGAGTTTGCCAAACAAAACTTTCCCAACTTTTCAGCGCGCGCGGGCGGAATGGGAGAGACGCTTAAAATATTCAGCCTGAAAACACGAAGCTAATCGACTCTGATTATACTCTGGCAGTCATTTAAAAGCAGTCCGTCTCTCAGTCTCACCACGTAGGAGTTTTCGGTGGCAAAACTGATAACTCTGTCACCGTCTGGAATGGCAGTCGTCGCCGCTTCTTCAACCTGCAAAAAATAAAAGAACGGCGCGCGCGCGTTTTTTTACCGCCGATAAGAGCAGACTCAACAATTGGGCTCATCAGAGGGAATTTCAAATTAGTAAATGTAATTTGTCCCAAGATATTCAAGGGCGATAGTAAGCGGCTGGGTCTTCTGTGAATGAAGAGGTTGTTATAATCAGAGGCCCTTCGCACACGGCCCGGCCTCTTTCAAGAGATAAAAAAGCTTCCTCTGAAAACCGCCCTCCCAGCTTTTCCCAACTCGCTTCCTTTTCTTCCTATCTTAATAGAACGACGGAACTGATTGCAGCTCAAGGCGTGCCGATAAGAGCCGCCGGTTGCATAACTACATATTAGCTGTTGTATCGTCGCTCTCTCCTGTGAGTGAAATTCCGGCGTTTTCCCTCTTGATCGACTGCCACGCGTGGAATCTCCAGGGTACGATGACATCCTCTCATTCAACCCGAGGCAATTTTTTGCTCCGAACGTTGACCCGTTGAGTTGAAAAAAGTTACTTTCGTAAAATTTTAATGTGCATCCTATGAGAAATTGAAGCAAAAAACTTCTTTCACTTTTCCTTTGAACTCTTGTTTTTTGAGGTTTCATAATCTACCTTTTCAGGAGCCCAAGAGGACTCTTATACTTTTATAAAATATTAACGGCGCGCCCTTTCCTCTGAAATTGTGTATTGGAATAACGTTCGTTCCATGCAGCCTTCTAAGAAAAGTCATCAAAATTCTGTCCGTCATAGTGGCTTGTTTTGTTTATTCCTGGAAATGAATGGCGTGACTTATCGTGAGAGACAAAGTTGCTATTATGGGCACTAGAGTCGAATCAAATCATGAAAGGAAGGAAAGAAAGAATGACTGGCACGCCCGAATTCATATCCATTAATTCAAAATGATTGAGGTGAAAATGAACTCTGTCATAAATATTCACAGCAGTTTCATTTTAACGGTCCGTTTGCGCTGAGATTTTATGAATTACTAAACACATTTGTGCTCATTTTCCAGCTGCTTGCGCTAAATATATTTTTAAATTATTCAGCGCTGCAGAGCTAGGGGTAAAAAAAGTAATGAAATGCAAAACCCCCCGTTGGAAGTGTCGCGTTAAAATTAAGTTGGGCGGAGAACGCAGATTATTTTTCCAGCACTACTAAAGGCACTTCTATTTCTATCCTTGGTATAGAGTCTCTCGTGCGCCGTGCCTGGCTAATTAAGCTCAACAACATTAAAGCCGTTCACGTCCTCATCTGCAGCTATCTCGAGCAAAAAACAAGATGTCGCTGGAGAGATGACTCTTTTTTGCGGCACTAGACCGCTAAAGTGCGCATAGTGAGTAAACAGCGTTCATATTACAGGGTCTTGACTACAGTTAATCGCCTCTTTGGTGTGCCCATTATTCATGATCCGAGGCTATTTATTGCAAAAAAATGGTGGAGGCTCTTTTTTATTATAATGACTGCTTAAAATTTATGTACATTATGGCCGCTCGGAAAAAAAAACACTAAAATACAACAATAAAAACTTATGCACAAAGTGTGAAGAGCACCAAAGCACGCATTTAATTTTTCGTTTTAAGACGAGGCAACTTTCTTAAAATTGAATTTCCAAAGCTTAAGTTTGGTATTGAAAATATTATTTAGATAAATGTTTTCTTTTAATAGTTTCTAACGATACACACCAGATATAATAAACTTAACATTCAATGGCAACTTTTTTTAGGAAAATATGCAGTAAAATATTTTTTGTTTCAGACCCATTAAATTAGGATATAAAAGCATTTCAAAGAATATTCAAAACAAAACCCAAACTAATTGCCCTCCAGAGGACGATTGCCAAATTTCGCGTCCTCAACTTAAGTCCGAGTTAATTGGAGCGCACCAACCAAACACAAAAACAGCCCTTTCGGAGCTTAGTCAGGCCAGAAGTCGGCCATTAAAAGCAAACCCTCTCTCGATTCCATACTGCGGGAAATTCTCTTATTCATTTGATAACTGACCGAAGCGCAAAGAGACTTTTTTATTTTGACAAACTCGGCCCAGCGACGAGATGTACGAGTGATTTAATCAAGTCACTTTGTGCGAAATCGAGATGAAAACATTTCGGGCGGAAAAGTTGTACGTACACGAGAGATTGCGGCTTGGCGAGCTGTCGAGGCGGTTGTTGCCTTTTGGCTGCCAGCCAAGCATATTTTCCCACACTCTGACATAAAATGAACACAACTGCTCCGAATGGCCGCCGCCAGGCTGCAGTTGGATGTGACAGATTTGATCGAGTACGTGAGGTATGCATGCGTGATTTGGCCCCGACGCACATTCCCTGTGTAAATCATCCCGCGGGTGAATAAATGTAACGCTTTTTCCGACCACGCGTGGGCGCCCGCCTCGATTTGCATTTTATTTCTCTCTGTCTACTTATTCGCACGCGCCACTCACCCATGATGGCGCGCACACGAACCACACACGCTAGTGGTTCATCCATTTTTCGTTTGGGCCAGAGTGGATTTTGCGCCGGGATTTATAGCGGAAGCAACCAAATTGCAGGAAGCTGTTGGTGTGCCTCCAGAAAAATTATTATACGTGCTCAGAGAAAATGGGACCACGGGATACTCGCAGTGATAGTATTTGACCATCGGTCAAAAGTAGGTCGCCAGTTCTGACAAAAATAGCGGTTTAATCATTTAATTTCTATCATAAACATCAGCAAAGTTGAAAAAAAAACTTTGCAAAAATTGTTTGCTTAGAAAAATTTGAAATAATAAATTTCCACGAATTATGAACTGTTCTAAGGAAAAATTAAATTAAACAGTTACAAAAGATTTTCAAATAGAAATATTTGATTTTTAATTTATTATTTACTTTTTTATCAATTTGATTGTTAAAAATCCATTTAAGAAGATCAAAAGTTACATACCATTGATGGTTTTCATTTTTCATTTCAAGTTTGAAGTGCTTCAATATAATATTTCCTCTAAAAAACTGAAAACTTCAAGTTTTATGAAAAGTTCTGCTCCACTTAGTTTTTAATTTTGATAGAAACCTTGGCGTCATTATTGCCAAGATGAATTTTGTTTACATTTGAATCAGAACCAATGCGAATATTTCACTTTTTACCACTTAAAACCATTACTTAACAATTACAAAGTACATAAATTAAAAATTATCATAATTTCATTTAGTAAAAAATCTCATCTAGCAACAGCAGAGCCGTCTATTAATTTATGGAGTACAATATCCTTATCTCAATGCAACGCCAAAAGAAATATATAGCTGCAATTTAACCGTCATAATTCTTGTTGCCAACGACCTGGACTGAACAAACGGCACATATAAAATAAACAATTAAGTCTATAACGGGCGTGCGGCGTGTACCGAGTGAATAATTGCCGCGGTTTGTAAGTCTGCGCCATTTCCGAATAAGCGACTGATGCACGGAACGAGCGGCAATTTATGCGCATTATTATTATTTCCTCGCAGAGGGCAGTCGGCGAAGAGGCTGTAAATTTGAGACGGCTCTCCATAAATAAAATCTGTTTTAATAAAGCTAGTCGCGGCGGCGGCGGCACCACGACTAGGCAGTTTTAAGTGATTACCCCCCGAGTTATTATTACCAACGACGGCCGTTATTCAATATGGTTTCCTCGGCGGTGAATGGATAAAATAACTTTTTACGACTCAAGCACCAACTCTGTGCCATAATTCGCATCCTTTCGCGAGACTCATTGTTCTCCGTGCCAGGTAATAAAATAACAATCTTGCCCGTTGCTGTAGGCGGCAGAAAAGTTTGGGGAAAATTTCGCTAATAATTTTGCACCACGGACGATGAAATTTGTTGAATTTGACACGCGAGAGAGGACGGGGCTGTCGTCGAGAAAGAGTTGTAAAATTCACAACAATAAATCTTTTATGTTGCCTCGGAGGAGGGAGCGAGTGACGCGCCTAAATTATTTATGAACACACACACCGTCGCTGACTTGCAGAACATCTTGCACGCTTTTTCGTTGCTAAAAATGTTTCCGTCAAAGGAAATTATTTTGAGGAATGTCAAAATTACAAGAATATTAGTCAGCAACCGATTTTTAGATTTTTATCAAAAATAATTAAAAAATTGCTTCGAATAAACTTTGAAGATTTTTACTTAATGAAATCCACTCTAAATGATTGGAGGAGGGGAAATTTAATCGGTATGTTATTTAAAATCTTTAAAATTCGTTAGCGAGCACAATTAAATTTAAAGTTATTGCTATATTAATCTTTAATTGAAGCGTAAAATTTACAAAAATTATTTCTATTGGAAAATTCTTGTACATTTGGTTGATAATATTTTTATATTGTTAATTTATGCGTAATTATTATATAGAATGAGATGAGGAAACGTTGAAAAAGTAATTCCTGGAAGATGAAGAAGAGGCTAGAAAATGATCTTACCAGGTGGGAGTCCTTTGTGGTGAAGGTAACGGGGTCGGCCGCCTCCACCTCCTGACACATGAAGTCCAACGAGCCCGCCATCGTGAGCAATTTGCTGCCGGTCCGACCCAGATCAATCATATTTAGGCGCAGAGTGTCGGCCGAAAACTCCACCTGGGAACACGGGAGAACAGAACGAGGTGAGCAGGTATATGCAACCCGCGAGACGCTCCTGCCGGGCAAATTGCATAGCGCGCCAAACGCAAGGGGCCCTGGGGAAGATGAATGATGCGGGAAATATTATTGTGGCGTTTCGTGGCTCTCTCGCGCGTCATGGCTTTGAGCAACGGCTGCGCTTCGCAGAGGCTAACCGCCACGCGCCGTGGGTTATTCACCCTGCACCGGCTCATGATTAACAGCGTCTCAGATATATTTATTAATAAAGAGAACGATCATTAATGTGAAGGAGCATTCTTACAATAAGTATCCTAAATATAGGAAATTTGCAAAGATTAAACATTAAATTATTTGATAAAAATAAAATGTATAGCATTTAAAATATTACTCTTATTGTATATCTTATAGTAATTTTTAGTATTTTTTGTTATGTACTTATTAAAATTGATATAAATATATATTTTCATTTTGTATATTCATTTATAGAGTTTATAGAAAAAAATTAAATCTTTTCTTCAGCTTTATGGTAATAATATTATTAAAATATATATGTTTTAAAAATAATTAGCAAGTTTTTTTAATAGACAAATACTAATGAATTCTAATATAACAGTTGTTTAACATCGTTTTACTTCTTAATTGTGTTACATTAATAATTTTGAACATTTGTGTGTTTCATTGTATTGAATGGAGAATAAATAAATTCTTCTGCAGTAAGTACGATTGCGCAATTATAGTATATATATAACATTAAATTAAAAAAAATTATAAACTTGATTATTCGAGTTATAATTAATTTGAGATTTATAAATAAACTGAGCTAATTTTTAATTCGAAATGGTAAAACAGTGCGACTCATATCTAGAATTCAGCGGTGACGTGATGCTGGCCATAAAATATGCAAAAGCTGCGAGCTAAATTCGCGCAGAGTCGATGGATGGCATCATGGCATGGTAAATTGAGAATACAATAATAACGAAGATACCCGGGGCAAGCGAACAGGGTAAACGTTTCAATCCGTCCGTGCAGTCAGGCTACTGAGTGACTCGTCGGAATTGATTTGCAATTGCTGGAAAGCGAGCCTTCGCAGAAACAAACACCGGAATGATCGATTGCTGCAAGTGGCAGCAGATGTGATTGATTCCGCGCCATTACATTACTCTCAGGGTGGGCGGCCGGCGATGATGATGACGAAACAGGCGGCGTGGGTGTCTCGCGAATTGCAGCGGGCTCATTAACAATTCAGTTCGATAAACGCGTGGGTGCTCAGTCTAGCATCAAACGCTCAACCATTTGACGAGAGCAAAACAACACTCACGTATAAATAATACATCAACCTCCATTTCATCAAAGATAAATGTCGGAGGGCGATTCATATTTACGAAACAACACAACTCCTGGCTTACAATAAATTGATATCCAATCAATTTGAATTGGAAAAAAATAGAAAAAATTCCATATTTACTCATTCCTGTAACTTAAATTTTGATTCTTGCTAAAAATAGGGCGTTGGAGAATATCAGATTTTTTTTCATGGTCATGACTAATGTGATTAGATTATTAAAAAAATTATTGGAATCGTAAAATGGCTTCTAATTGATTTTCCGACATTAAATTATAACATTTTCCCTCTATATTGTGCTTTTTAATATGGATTTAAAAAATATATCCATTGTTCGCAAAAAATGCACTTATGCAGTAAAGCAATATATTAATTCATTCATGGTCAAGCTTACATTTCATAATTTTTGCAACATACAGAATTATTTCTCTGCTATTTCTAACAAGATCAGGTACTGAATGGGAGTTAATCATATGGTGAAGAAATACAATAAAACATGTTTCATAATTATTATTATAGTGCAGTATATTGATCGTGATTCGTGATATAATTAGAATCAATTAGATAATGGAAAAAGTTCCAAAAACACCAAAAGAATGAAGTGAATTTATAAAATCATGTTATTCCAATAATTTTGCTCTGATACAAATATTTAATTTGAAAAAAATTAGAGATGAATGTAAAAAAAATTAAAAGAAATTACTGTATTAACATATTTTATAATTTACATTAAAAGTATGTTTAAAAATATTAATAAGCAATATATTTTAAATTATAAAGTAAAGTAAGTGTTTATGTTTAATTATAAAAAATATACAATTTTTATTAATTATAATAGTAAATTAGCGATGTGTTGTAACCTACACAATTTTCAATTATTATTTTATAATATAATATACAATACATGTGTGTTTTGGCATATAATTAATAGAAGCAGTTGCATAATATTTTTTCAATAAGGAACGTCAACATTTTCCAATTATGATAAAGATTTTCACTAGCAAGAGTTGAATGAGACGTTTGAATCGCCCTTGATATGAGCATGTATGTGTGCTCTGCCCAATTATTCCGTCAGGGGTTGAATAAGCAACAACCTACCCTCAGCCGATCCGCGTTTTCGGCGCAGAGGAAAACTAACGAATCGACCTCGACAAAGAAACTCGCGGTGAATTTAATCAAACGCGAATGCTCTCCCCGGACGAGAGAGGCTCTTTCAATATATACGGGTGCGGTGCGCCGCATTATAATGGAATTTTCCTTTTGAAGCAGCGGCTTGTTTACATACATGTACGTCTAATGTACGTACGTACGTAATTTCAAGAGAGAGCAAAATACGCCCACGTTCGCTCGGCTTGCTTAATTAAGGTCCGCTTCCCTCCCCGCGCATGCACCGCGCCCAGGTATACATTCCGCTTGAATTAAAAACCCACACAACCCGCAGAAGTCGGCTGAATGAAAAATGGGGGAGAAATTTCGGTGCTGAAATAACACACGCACGAATTAGCAGACCCGCTTTTAGCGTAGTTGTGTCTCGCAAATGAAAACAAGAGCAATTATTCATGGCCTTGTCACGACGGGGCCCACGCGAGTGGTATTCTTTATGTGTACAAAATTGCGGGCAATTATAGATTCATCATTTTATTGACACCAAAGTTTCGTCAATGGAATAGGATTCATTGAAGTGCGCTTAAGGGCAAGGGTTGTGTGACGCTCGTAAATTAGCGTGCAAAGGCTCGTTTTGATGACGTCAGTGAAATTCGCATTAATGGACCTTTTGGGGAATCAAATTACTGAAGTTAATTCTAGCACAATGCAGATGAGTACAATAGATGATTTCATAATACATATTTGTAGTAGGAAACAAATCCCCCATACAAATATAATATGTATATTTCCAATGACAAGTTGACTCTAATAATTCATCATTAAACAACTTTTCTATTGATTAGAGTAGATTTAACAAGATAAAATTAATTGATTTAATAAAATCAATAACTATGAAAATATGAAAAGACTTAAAAATTAAAAATGTGAAATATGTAAATTGTTGAAAATACACCTAACCTGGTATTATTTTTAGTGACTCTTCAATTCATTAAAAAATAGCATAAAACATTTAGATTTTTTTAACCCAGAACAGTTAAACTTTTCATCTAAATGTTACCGTTTAAATTTTGGAGTTCTATATTGGTTGACTTTTAAGTAAGCAAAAAAATCATCTCTGCTCATCTTTTGCTGTCTACTTTTTACCACTTGTGCGTTTAGATGGAAATTTCCCTTGTGAATTTGGACAAAAGTTAATTCCAGAGCCCTCCAGAGTCGCGCGATTCTCATGTAGTTCGTCAGAGTAATTGTTAAAAATTTGATATTCGATCACTTTTTAAGAATTAAAATAATTTTTTAACAAATCAATTACTAAAAGTTTCATTAAAATATTAATTATAATTAATGATTTTTTATTTATACACTCGTTGAGAAAAATAACAAATTATATTTTTTTTAAGAAACTGCGTCAGGCGGGGAACTTTTTCTGACAGTTAATTATAATCTTTCGTAAGAAGAAAATTGCCTATTAAATTGAAACAAAAGAAAATAATAACAAAGTCGCGTAATGGGAATTTTTCGAAACAAAACGAAAAAATTGAGAGAGTGAATAAAAGAGTTGCTCACCTTTCTGAGGCACCCGATGAAATTGTTGTGAATTTTGGACCCGGGCAGCGCGTGGGTGTTTTCGCTTCCGCCCACGTAGACTTTGCTCGACGAAAGCACGCCGAACGTTCCGGCCGTGTTGGCATGTTCCGCATACACTCCGTCCACCACGGCCGAGAGCTGAAATTTCCGTTGATGAGATTTAGCAGGGGTGCGCGTGGGCGAATTCATTGATGGAACAGAAGCGACTGTGTGTATGTGTGTGTGCGTGAACTATATGCAACCCACGCAACAACCAAGGCTATCAGAGATTTTTTTATCCTGGATTCGCGGCGAGCGGATATTTACCGATTGGTGTTTGCGATCGGGATTGAATTGCACTTTTATATAGAGGAGAATATAATTTTCCGTCTGGCTTCCAATCTGGCCGGGTGAAAGTGAATATTTTATGTGGACTTTTGAATCTGCAAAACTGCGGCAAATCAAATGTGAAGCTTTAAAAATGTAGCAGAAAAGGTTGTTTGTCGGAACAGAAATCAGAAATATGACGATTTTGTAAAAAACACTGATTGAAATTGTTTACCAATATTTTTTTTAGTCTTATCGCATTATTGACTATTTATTTAATATCATATCTATTTTAACGCTTGAAATACATGTTATCTTTTTTAAATTGAAGTAAATTTCTATACTTTTTTTTATTAGCTGAAATTACTTGCTTCTTCTATAAAACTACTTCACTTTTTACATTATCAGAACTATTACTTCCACAGATTGGATTGCCATGGGCACCTCTTTTCTTGCATTTAGAATTTTATTCCATTAGATCCTAGTCGACGAGAAAAATGTTTTGCAATTTATCTCCGTCGAAAAGAGCATCAGCAGCAGTTTGCTCACTTAGGTAAAACATTTAAAAGGAAATATACTCACGGCGCGTGTTATTAAGATAAGAAACAAACTTTTTACCTTCTGTACATTCGGAATAAATAATATTACACACAGAGCTTCAACGATAAAAGCACAAGGCGATGTGTGTGTATATATTACGAAAATAACAAGCAAGGGAGCTCTGTGACGCGCATCAAAAGAAAATTGCTTTATCTTGTTTGAATGCGCGAGCGAGAGAGACGGGATTTTTTCTCCGTGCGAAATGCATTCAGCGCCTGCCCATATTATCGCAGAAAGGAGAGTCGACGGCGTTAAATTTTTAAGGTATTACAGCAATAAAGGCCAAGTGCATGAAAGGCTGAATGTGTGTCAGTCGCGTCTCTATGCAGATGGGATGCATTTCTCCCTCGCCCGCCACGATCAAAATGCCGCATTGAAAACTAGGTCGTTTGCGTATCTATTATCCTGTGTGCATAGAAAACTTTGCGCGGTAACGGATAATGAGACGAGTTTTTTTTATTATCTAGCTCCGCGCTTTCAATGGACGCGTCTGTCAAAGGAGGGCTTAATTGCGGCCTCTTCATTAGTGGTGTGTTGCAGCAGGTTGCATGTGGGACACGTGACAACAGAGTGGAAAAATGTGATGCGGCTTTCTTGCGAAGAAATACTTACTCGGCAAAAGCTGGTGACTTCGGCGATCTGGAAAAGAAAAAGCAAAACATTGTATGAGAAATTGTTTACGTCAAACATGTACGTGTCACCCTTGATGTCAAAATATATGGTCGTTTGACATTTTGAAGTGATAAAGAGAGAGACTATAATATTATTACAAGTTGTTGCACATCAAATATTATTTTGCTGCCGAAGCACTCTTTTATACCACCGACGTTCATCAATCAATAACTTTTGACCTTTTCGGAATATTATAAACATTATTGTGCCCCCAAAAATTTTATCAAACGTTGCCCTAATTTAACAGCTATTTTTTATTTGGTACAAAATATTTTTAAAGGCCAATTTTCTATATGTACGTAAAAAAATTGAATTTGGTATGTATTAAATACCTTTTATCACAACAGTTTAATATAAAGACTTGAATTAATTTTCTTTCTGAATTTAAAACACATTTCAATTATTACGAATTATTTAAAAAAAACGCGGCGTTATTTGAAAAAATTTATTAAAAATTTTTCTTATTAAAAACTTCAAGTAGAATCCATAATTTGGCGAATAAAATTAAACTTTTCAATTCTGCAATAGAACAGTCTCCATATTTATATTAAAAAATCAAGTAAAAAATAAAAAAAAGCCTGTAGAGAAATTGTATTTTTTTTTACCCCACTATTTGCAACGCAAAACGACTCTTTTTTTACTCAAGGAGATAAGTTTTTGAGAGCTATAGAAAAAAACCGAAACCCACAATAACCCAATCACTGTCAATAAATTTGTGAAGCAAAACAGAGGCGGCTTACTTTTTATTTTATACCCTTTTTTATATTTTCTTCCGCGCTAGTGAGAGAATTTCGGGCTGGTGCAAAAACTAGCAGTCGGTTCGTCAGCACTTCTTCTTGCCGTGTAGGCGGCGGTTGGAAAATGGCGCAATATAAATTTAGCTGATGTGCATGGAAAAGGAATTGGCTCGCCGGCTGTTGGCGTTATTGAGCCGAGAGACGCGCCAGGCACGGCAAATTGCGAATGCAGATGCTGTTTGTTTGGCGAACTCGGCGCCGGATACTCCATATAAGACGCTGCAATCCCCCCGAGGTGCTATTAATGCAGTAAAGTTGCAGATCGGCATGATAAAGCACCTCCGCGAGAGAACGGATAAAGGGCGTAATGATCGGCACCACCGGGCAGGACGAGACACTCGACTTCCTCGTTGAAATCAGCGACGGCAAGGAAAAATCCATCTCAATTTTTTCCTCGGGAAAAAAACTGCCTATTTTTTCTTGTTATGCGCGCGACTGAGAAAAATGGCGACTTTTGATTCTGGAGGGAAAGGAAAATTCGGAAGTTGCCGGCGGACCCCTCGGGAGCGATATCTCAATGCAAGTTTTATGTCTGACTTCTTTATTACTCGCCGTCTTTGCCTTGAATGATTAATGCCTTTCGTTCCGCGAAATTTATCACCGGATTTGTTTTGTCTTTCGCAGAAGTGCCAGAAGAAGTATCAGATATCACGGGAAGGACAGTCATGCCGTTTGAAGTTGGTGTTCACTGATCGATCCTCTCCGCGTGAAAAATGTCCAGCCAGTGAAGGTGACACGAAGTACAAATCGCATTCATATTTCCTCTGAAGAGTGCTTTAAAACATTCTGTAGAACTAGAATAAATGTGGCTCAAAATTCTTGATGAAAATGAATTTACACGAAAACAGAAAATATTGGGATTGACCATACCTTTCAAAATTTTAGATTGTTATGTACTTATAATGTGTTCCTGCATTTGTAAAATCTGACAATAATTATTGATTTGATAACCAAAGATCTATCAGGAAATATTCAGACAATTCCTTTTTTATCATAAATTAATTTAACCACAAAATCGTTAGAGTTTTGACAATTAAAATTGTTCGTTTGGGCCAAAAGCTGTCACTTTTTAAAGGATAGCACTGCATTATTTAGAAAAAAAACATTATCGAACCAGGTTTTAAGCTAAAATGGGAATTTTAAGGAATAAGTGGCGAATAGAAATATTATTTGAATCTTCAATATTCTACAAATCAGAAATGTTTTGCATAGCCATATTGTTTGCATAACATGATTTGAACTGGGCCGCCACCTCAAAGTTCACCCTGAAAGTTCCCCAAGCGAAATAAATGATCTCTCTCCGATAAAACTGATAAAATAAATATAAATGTAAAACTGGTTCGGGATTTGGCTGAAAGGGAAACAGGAATGCCGTGTATCGCAGTCTGGCTCCCAATGAAAGCGATTTCAAGGAAAAAGGAAAAAGGCTTCTGGGCATGGAACAGCAATTTGATTTAAACTCGGGTCGGCATTCTCGCAGATCACTCGACGGTCTCTTGACGTGGGTTCGCTTTCGTAGTTTTTTTTTCGCCTCGGCGCATATAATGCGAGCCCGCGCCGTCTTGCAAGTTACAGCCGAACTTTTTCCCAGGCAAGGAAATAAAGGGCTGGGAAAAGTAGTACATTGGGTCCTAATCCAATGATCCACTGCAGTTGAGGCTAAGTAGCAGATAAACTCGGCCAACTTTTCCATAATCCGCGCGTTCTATTCGGCTGGAAAGAAAGTTTTGCCTAAACTTTGTTTTGCTCTTTTTCGCGTGCAAAGATTGCGCGCTGTTTCCCGCCGGGCTGATTATTGGCTGCAAGCATTTTGCTCCATCAACTTTATCTCCTCTTTTCTTTTTAAAGCACGCATTTTAATTTTGAGGAAGTATATTATGAAAAAAGTTTGCTCAATTTGGCAACGCAAAAAAAAAAACTTTAGGGAAAATGTTGTGGAGAGAAATTGCGGCGTTGGGACTGCTGGGAGACCCGCTTATTGAAGCGTATTAGAAAAAATCTGAGACTCACCTCCTGAACTTTCCGATGGACCGTGACCTTGTGCCACTGGTTGTCGTCGAAACGCACTCTGTGCGGCTTGATCTGGAACTCGAGCTTTCCGTTGCCCAAGCTCATGGTGAGGACGACGCCTCCGTCTCGAAGGGCCAGATTAAGGTAATCAGTACCATCACCTTAGAGAATACAAGTTATGATTTTTTATTATCAGCAAAATTAATATTAACAATAAAACTATAATTAATGAAACATAAATTAATTTTATAACTACCTACCTACATAAATAAATTTATTTTAGCACTGCAATATAAAAATATTTTTATTTATATTATTTATAAAATTCAATAATTAAAGCATAGTTTTGTATAAATATTTTTAATTTCAACTAAAATGTTCAACTTTTTTATTATTGAAAATCTAGTAAATTATTTATAAATTTTCTATCGGTTCTGTAAAGGTAATGTCCTCAACCGTGAGTTAAGCATGAGCATCTTTAGTTGAATAGTTAAATTGATGAATAAGATATTAATAATCTAAATTTATCATTCCTTATCTTTGTCAATATGGCTTAAGTGCACATATTTATTTATATGAAAAATGAACATATAAACACCATAGCAAAAAATAAATAGTAAATACATATGAAAGTCTTGCTTAAATGTACGATGAACAAAATTTGGAGAAATATGTAGGGGGCTATTAAATTTCGTCATGAAGTCAAATTATATTCAAATTTTATATAAATCTCTTCTAAAATTTTGAAAATTTCTTCATGAGCTAGAACCTTTCCATCCAGTTTTTTTTATTTATTTTTATTTTTTATTTTTTGTATGTTAAATTGACATTGTTAATGTACCTCATATAATAAGAATCGATAACTTGTAATAAATTTAGAACACAATTGAAATTAAATACAAAACTTAACGTTCCACTTTGATTAGGATGAATTTAAAGACGCTAATGTAACTTTTCCTACCTGTGTAGAATAAAAGTCCGTTGGGTTGGCGCGTCTTGAAGCTCAGCGAAATAGAGTCCTGTGTGCTGACGATTGGCTCAGCCCCCGTCTTTGAAAGGTCGTAGGACAAAAACTCCTTGCCTCGGAACGTCGCCTCCGCCGGGGCCTTGTCTGCAAAAGTGACAGAAAGCAAACGTGAGAGAGAGATTCGAGGAACACGCGGTTGAATGCCGCGTCTGGAGTTTCAGCCGGCGAAATATAGTAAGCTCTGCGCTAATTCTAACGTGAAAGACACATGAGGGTGCGCGGTTAAATTCCCATTATCAGATTGCTCCATGCAGTAATCCCTGAAGCGACACAGACCGTCTCGCTTTTCTTCCCATGTATTACTTAATAGGCGCGCTAATTATCCAATTTCCCGATGAGAAAGGAGCTCTCGATTGAGAATCCATTACGGAGCCGGGAGGAAATTAGCTCGTAGTGGAAAATGGCGATGGACTAGATAATCGCGAATTAAATTGCATCCGACGTCGGAGATAAAAAAAAAATGTAATAACAATACACGCGTGGACAAAAAGAAGTGAATTGAGATACGCAGACAGGCTGGCCGGACCTTTCAAATTGCGTTCGCTCCTTGCGTCGCCATGGCAACCAATTCGCCACCATCTCATCTCGGCGCCCGCTATTGCTCTGCCAGGCTGACGTCACGCTCCATATTACATTACATTACGATTATAACGCTGCGTTATGGATCATTTACCTAAAGTAGCGTTTTTCGGCACGCGCGCCTCCCTATTTGACGATTTCGCAGCCCCCGCAGGGTCGGACTGATCGTTTAGGGACAACGGGGAGCTTTTAGCGCGCTTAGCCAAGGCCAAAGTTTGCACACTGGAGCCAAAAGCAAAGATCCCTCGTCTTCTTTGATGATGGGGCTTCAAAGGCCACGGGATAATGGCCAAATCCTATCTTTATATTCTGTAAAATTAAATAGATTGCCTGCAAATTTTTTTTAATTTTTTTAAATATTTTTTTTTTTTTTTACCAATCTGTATTAATAAACACAATTGCAACTAATAATTTAGTAAAATCATCAAAACTCTTATTTCTTTGGTTTGAGTATCAACATCGACAAAATGGAATAGCTGCAAAAAGCAGCTGTATGGTTATTTTTTAATTAAATAAAAGGCCGCTGTGCGTTCTAGAACAATATTGAGTAAAAAATTCAATTTTATCAAAATTGACCAATTTCAATATTTTTTATTATTAACTTTTCTTTCAATGCGCTGTTTTGTCAAAAATTTTTCTAGCAATGGTGTATTTTTTGTGAATTTTCCGTCCTAGCATTAATCGTTTTTTAATGATAAATTAATAACAAGTGAGCAAATCAACAAAAACCATTAATTATTTTTCATTTCTTTAATAATTTGTTACTAAACCGGTTACTACTTTGTCTTTTCAAATAAGGTTACGTAAAATAGTTTCCAGATAAGTTAAATAGCTAAATTGTTAAATTATTTTCATATGGAAAAATTCAAACAAGCCCCGTTACTTTTAAACATAATGCTCCTGTGCTGATTTCTCCCAAATAGTCTTCAGTTTTTATTTTATATCTTTCTGTATTTCTGTATATTTTTCATTAAAAATGTTACTGATTTTATTTTCAGACCAGTCCGTACCTGGATTGGTGAAAATTTTGGTGCTTTTCCATCCACCAAGGCGCTCCGTCGACTTTTCGGAAGGGCGAATTTAAAGAAGGTCGTCGCACCATATAGTGGATTAATGAAAATTACTGCGGATACCATTGAGCTCATGCCACGGGTGGAAGCTATTTTTTCACACACGAGGTAGGTACGGCGTACGTTCGCTTTTCAATAGTAAAAGAGGGCCAGAGTAGGGGAAAATAATTACCTGTTCCTTTCGCGTTCTGCCCTCTACTTTATTGCGTGCGGTCACGAATGGGCAAAACAAGAAAGCCAGAGAGCAAAGTCGGCACGCATGCACTCTCTCCGTTCGCTTGAATTTGTCACACAACAAAAACACAACTAACTGCGGCTTTTCCAGCGACTCATTATTACTGGTTATATTCTAATTTCGACGACTGTAAAGTAATTTATTCGAAAAAACAGCTCGAATCACGATCGCCTTTCTTTTTATTAAGTTTGACAAAAGTTTCCGCGTAAAGACCTAATAGACTTTAAAACAATTTGAGAAGAAGAGAAGTGCTGGATGGAGAGATAAAAACTTTTCTCTCTCCCTCGAATAAAATTGGAATCGAGCTGCGGGCAAATAAAGCGCGAAAAAGAGCAGGGCGAATTTAATTTGGTCGGCTCTTATTATATAGCAAGAAAGTCAGTGGCATTTACGGCCCTTTCGTTTATTAATTAATAATTCAGCGGCGGCGGCAGTAAAAGCGTTTATTATTAAATCACCAGGGAGCGAATGTGCTGACGCAAAAATTTGCAGTCGGCCTGGCGCAGAGGAAATTGTATCTCTCGTTTCACCATCAAACGCTTTGAGAGCGTCTGTATGTGTGTGCGAACACCAATTTCCCTTCCCCGCAGGCCGAAAAGAGGAAACTTTTTTCGAAAAAAAAAAAAAAAAAAAAAAATCTACACGTATTAGACATTATCAGAGCGCGCGTGCTTTGATGTTTCCCGCGAAAAATGTATTCCGACGCAGAATTCGAAATGCGAACTGCTTTTAATTGCGGCTGGGAGAATTTTCACAAATTAGAAAAGCTCCAGGCTTTTGCGGCAATTGTTTCATTTGGCGAGTTTCAGGAAAATGACGCAAAGCACCAAGTTGAAAGGGAGGCTGGAAAATGGAAAGAGAGAGGAGTTTCTAACTCGTTATTTTTTGTGTATAAGAGAGGATGCGCAGGCATTTTACACCGGTAATAAAACGGCGGCGCAAGAAAAAGAGCAGCTTTTGGCGTGTGCGCTGGCGAGTTTTGTATTCCTGAAAAGATCCAGGGGAGAAAGCAGCGAATCTCACGCCTGCTCTGCATTCTCGCAATCTCAGCCTTTTCTTTGTCTCTCATGGGAGATTTTCCGAGCGTGCCGAAGATGTGTCTGTGTGTATCGAAAATAGTGAAGGCGTGATCATTCTCAGGGAAAAAAGTACATCCTTTAAGAGATTCCTAGAGGGAAAACGTAGTGTTTAAAAAAAAATAAGCATGTCTCTTAAAAAATTTTACAAGACGAATACGTTAATGGGCAAAAGTCTACGTTTATTAAGCAGAAATTTAGTTAAACATATTATATTATGCAACCTACAAAACAATGTCTTTAAAGCTGTCCTAATCTCAATTCTGGACTTGCTAATTTCAGTAATTTTTGACAAATAACTATCTTTTCCCTAAATATTAACAGACGAGGAGTACAAAATCCTGCAATTTTGGACATCAAAAGGAAAAAACCCAATTTTAATTACTAATGTAGCAGACGAAAATTACCCATAGCGACTCCTTTACTAAAAATGCACCTAAAATATAGACTAATTTAGGCCAAATTATTTTAGTTTACTATAAGGAAATCTTAAACTCATTATTGAATTGTCCAATTTTGCTTTTTAGATTTTTCGATTATCTTAAATTTTATCTGGATGAAATTCCTATTATTTATTTTTCTCAGTCAATGAATTGAAATAATATATTATTTAAATTATGTTGTACTATTATTCCTTGTTAATTTTGGTTAATTTTTTAAAATTCAATTAACGCTTGATGAGTGTAGTAAACTGATTTAAATCAACTTTTTTTATCCAATATTCTGATGGCGTTGTAATTTGATGGTACATAATCGATTTTCAATAAAAAGTAATTTTTAGGCAGCTTTTTTCGGCTCCAATTTAAAGTTTGCAGAGCTCGCAAAAAAATGCTCCCTCTACACACGATAATGCAGGCAGGGCTTTTCGCAGCCCCATCTCGTCAGACGAAACAAAAGAGGCGCACATGGCCTTTCAGCGCCATTAGCTGATTGCTGCTCTTGTTCAGAGCTCAGCATCCCTGCCTATACAGATAAGATGGCATCTGCCAGTTGCAATTGGGCTCGTCGTCTTGAATTGCCTGTTGGCACACCACGGTCGTTTCGTGCGCTCAAAAGTACAAGTTGGTAACAACGAGGCTGTGCACAAATTGCGTTCGCATGCATGCATACGTATACGCGTGACCAGAGGACCAGAGTGACGCTCATTGTTCCATTTTAGCCGGTGGGGCGCGTCAGTGGAAAGGCATGTATATTTTGGAGTGTTCATGTACATACGGCAAGTGGTTTCATTCATGCTTCATTGAGATTTGCACGCTTTTTCTGCAGACGCGAATTCACACTGGCAATGAGCGCGTCCAGAGCAATCCTGCCACTTTTTCATTCAGGAGCTTTTGAACAAAAAGCGCGAAAAAGGTAACTTAGAATTTCATCCAGTGGCAATTTTTGTTCAAAGAAGCATATAACTCTTTTATAATAATCAAAAGTAGACCACGAATAAAAAAATCTCATGCTAATATATTTAATATAAATTCTTAAATTTTTAATTTTTTCTGTATATAATGGTAATTTAAAATATAATAAAATATTTTAACCCAAATTTACAGATATATTTTTTTTAATTTTGTTATTAAATAATGAAGAACATAAATAATCATAATATTTAAAGCGTCAATCTTGTTGTACCTTGTGCATCAAAATAAATGTAAACTTTACATTATTAATAAATTTAGGTCTTCTTGAAAAGTGTAATGTTTATAATTACAACTTATAAAGTTATTCTCAAGCTAGTTGAAATAAGTTTCTCAATTCAATGCCTAGATTATTATAATTTAAAATAAAAATATAACGTCAACGTCAAATTGGAATTAATTTAATAATTTGCCTTTTTATATATGTATACAAAAAATGCTACTTGTGCTACTTGAAGCTAAGCAAATCAAATTTTAATTTTTTAAATTTAATGAGGCCAATTACACTTTTATAATATTTGTGTTCGCCCATTTTACTTGTTTTTGTTTCCAAGTTTATACATTAAACTGAAGCAAAACAAAGCAGTTCCCTGGGTTAAAAAGCCTTTTGACTTTGAGCTCACCCGAACACTGCTCTGTTTACATTTCCATCTCGCCCCAAGCGGCATCCGAATCAAATGAAATTAATTTTCATTCAATTTGCATATAAACGCCGATTCCTAGCTGTTTACAAATCCGCGCGCGGGTGAACAAACAATTCTTTGAAGTCAAACAAAGCAGGGCCGGATGGAATTTGTAAAGCAAACCGAGCGCAAGATTGTTGCTCTTGGATAAATATTTCACGACTTGATCTCAAGCTGCAAACCAACGTGTCGCCACAAGGAAATAAGGGTAGGGCTGTAAAGGTGTCCGGCCGAAAACCAACGAGAAGTTGCGCCCCTGGCATATAAATACAAGCGAGACATTCAGAGGCACACAAAAGGGCTGAGTTCGCACAACTCTTGGCATCAATTGTCTGATACATAAGCGAGCGAACGAGGAGAGTGCAGCAGCAATTCACCCCAGCACTTTGAAAAGCGGATTTCAACATGCGAGACGCGGAATGAAAGGGATGTTTTTTATTCCTAAGTGCTTCACTTTCGCGGCACAATTGCTCTTTTGCCGTGAAATTATATTCCGCATTTTGATTCGATTTGATTGAAAAGGAGCCCCCATTGCGTCTAAACTCACTTGCCGTCAAAAGCAGTAAAAATAAGTTGTCCTTAAATATTAAGAACAATATAAAAAAGAAAGAAAAAAAAAATTAACTCAATTTCAAATAATATAGTGAGCAGAAGCTTTTTCACAATAAGGAGTTCAACTAGATTTCCACTTCATAAAGCCACATTGAATGAAACTCAAAAGTAAAAGTGTATCTGAATAAAAAATAAATTAATGAACGCTTTATAAACACTTTTTTAGCTCACCATTGTTCCTATCAACAAATTCAAGTAGATACTTGGTATTAAATAATCATTGTAATTTATAATATTGAATGTATGGATGATGTATTTGGGCAGAGAATGCCCGGTGGTACATTAATAAACACAATTGTAACTAAATAATGTAACTTACTAAAAACTCCAACCAAAACCTTTACCTAATTTTACTGATTTTATCCATATTTTTTTTTGAACTTTTGTTCCTCTAGTTTTATCAACAAAAATCACCTTAAGCAAAACATTTAATATTTGAAATTTTTTTTGATTTAATTAAAAATTCACTTCAATTTTTGATCTGAATATCTTAAGTGATTAAGTAATGATAAATTTCTTTTAGAGCATTCCACTTTAGATCAAATAAGGGCCACCCGATTCAGAGACGATGGAACCATTTTGAAAGAAGCTTATGAAATTGGATATTTTACTCGACGATGCCAACGAATGGCCGCGAATGGCAATAAAATAACAAGGTTTGCAATCGATACCGCTCCGGGTGTCTTATTTTTCCTATTTTATTTCCAGTTCGACAATAAAAATAAAATGGAGCGTAACTTTGCCGTAAATACGAACAAACTTTTCTCAGAAGTCTTAATTCAACTATATTTAAATATACAGACGGAACCAACTTTCCTCTTTGCAGAAATATTGTCAGCAGTCGTGATTTTGAGAGGAACAAACTTTGCCGTCCGAACGAAGGCAGCCACGCAGGTAAACAAGCAACTTGGCCGCTCATAAAATAGGAGCGAGCAAGTTTCTCGGCCAATTGGCTGCTCTTTGCAAAACACGCCCGTCTAGACGTTAATACGCCGTGTTATCGGCGTTGCTGCCGAGTAGCAAATTTCACGCCTCGCAGGCAGTTTGTTTTTATTAGCCAGGCACATTTTCATTTGGCGTTGTGTTTCGTGTTTACCTCTCTCGCCGCTAATTTCGACTGCAGCTCTCGATTTGCAGATCGATACTCGCTTGGCGAGAGCAGACTTGACTCGTGTTGCTGTCATTAAGGTTCAGCTTCGCGGTCATCACGGCGTTGTGCGCGCCTCATTTGCAAGTCAAATTCGCCGCCACCGCCGCGAGAATCATCGTCGTGTTGTCTTTGCACGACCGACCAAATTCTCGGGGATTCATTTTGCGCTAATGAATGGAGCGGGCTTAGCCCCGCAGTGTCGGCCAGACTGCTGTGTGTGTGGTTTTATTTTACATGCATCCATGTCTTCATACGTTGTCGGCAGCCTTGCTTAAATGTCACCCTTTAGAGGTTTAAAGTGATGGATTAGGACGCTGTTTTAATATTAATTAATGTTTCCAGCTTTACGCTCTGTTTTTCTTATAATTTTTTATTTTTTTTTGGAAAACGGGATGGAGCGGAAATCTTGCTGTATAGAAGTGACAATTTTTTTAAGTTACGGTTTTTGCCAAATAGCGTTAAATCTCCTTTTATTGGATAAATTTGTTGGATTTATAGCCCATGCCAATTTACTTAAATTTTTAAATTAAGGTAATTATATAATTTTATAACCATTTCAAAATTAGAGCAGTTTTCAAAACTGTCCAGCTATGCAAATCTGGTTCTGCTCTTTCAACGTTGTTTCTGCTAGATTAAGCGAGATATCAAAATTAACAAATTATGTATCATTATGCAATAAAATATAAATAGTAATACAAAATCTACAAAACTAAAGCAACATTTTTATATATTTTTAATTAATATTTATTTAATTTTAATTATCCATATTTATAAGCATTTTAAGACATTACAATACTCCTTTGAGAGTGTTTCATTAAGTTTCCAAAAATTCATGCTGAAGTAAATTTATTAAAACTTCCTGCTCTCTGATGGCGTTTTAAATCTTACCAAAAAGTTATTAAAGTTGGTTGCAGCTAGTGGTTATCAAAGTAATGAATGTGAGCATAATCATTTTACAATATTTGATGATAATTAAATTTTAATATAGAATATATAATTATTTGATATTTTAAAACGATTTTAGATATTATGTAAATAAATATTCCTATAGGGTTTTTAAATAACAAATTTCAATTTCAGAACTAATGCTCTTACAAGCCTCTTTTTTCTCTTGTTGAAGATAAATTTTCTCCAAAAGGTAATAGTATAGAAAGGCCGTGTATATATCATTGCCGCGAAAAAGACTGTGTAATAGGCAAATCCATCACTTTTTGAGTCTCCGCGTGTCGTTCGGCTCCAATAAAGTAGGAAGCCCTTGTATCGGAAGTGGGCTTTTCTGCTAACCGCGAAACGACGGGCGGAGAACAAAGTGCGTGGCGAGAGGAAAGTGCCATCTCCTGCAACTTCACATGGGCAGGCAGGCCCATTAGTGGTGCTTTTTCAGCCGTGAGAGAGCTGCTGATACGCGTCGGTCGGGAGCAACATATGTGAAGAGAAGAAGCTCCAATCCAAGTTTCGACAGCCGCGGCTAATGTATCACCGGCCTAATGCCGGAGAGTGGATGTGATGGCATTATGACGCGCCACGTATATGAGAAGTTTTCGGGTCACTAAAGTCGCAGCCAAGTGGAACACACGCAGCTGGAAACCCGCGCCGAGCACAAATAATAAAATTGATCACCCACACACGCACTCCCCGTTGGATATTGGGCTAATGTTGTTGATGGCCTGCTCGCCACCAACAGGCGCAAAAAAGCAGCGAAAACTTCGGATAAATTGTGTAGCGAAAATCTGAACCACCGGGGATTGGGCTCGATCAATCCTATGGTCGGCCAGGCGGATATAGATTCCGGCCTATGTGAACGACCTACATTGTTTGCTTCGGTAAAATTCTCACGTTTTGCACTAGTTTCGCTCAAATCAGAGCCCTCTTTTCCTGTCAATTATGTGCTCCTGCTCCCGGGTTTTTGCGGTTTGGCAAATTATTTCTTTGTGGATTTGTTGGAGCGCATTTTTTATTTTATCTACATGGGAAGTGGGTGATATTTTGCGAAAATAAATTACATCATTCTCAGCATTTCGGTTAAATATTACGCAGTTCCTGTTTCTTTCGCAAATCGCAACAAGGCAAAGTGATAAGAGCCGAGTGAGGTTTCCTACTTTATATTTTATCACACTTTCACTTTCCGCACAGAGCTGAAAAGATTCACGCTACGATGGAACTGCCAAGAAGAGTCATAATTGAAAAACCAAAATGGACAATTTCAAAGAAATCAGTTTTCATCACTGTTTTGTGCTGTTTTGCCCTATTACATTTTGCCCTGAACTTCTACTTTCACCAGAGGACGGTGAGGAAGTTGGAAAAAATTAAATCCCTATAATATTTTTATTTTATTTGAAACACTTTTAATCAATAATTCTATAAAATGTATTAATAATTTGTAAGCTAAAACCATTTTTTTAATGATTAATCATAATTATTATTATTATTATTATTTTTTTTTTTTAGTTCAGTAATGTGGAAAAGATATCACAATTCCTGGAGAAGAACGATGAACTGCTGCTGCTGGATAAGCTTCTAAAGGTTGGGAAGCTATTTGCCAAATTCAAGAAGGTTAGTAATACACAATTATAATACTTCTGCACTTCAAGCTTATAATGAAAATTCCAATATTGCTTTCAAGCTGAAACAAAATAAACCTTCTCAGTCGGATGAAGAAGATGTGGACGAAATCAATGGATATGAAGCTGACGAACAAACTACTTAATTTGAAATTTTTACTCAAATAAATGTATTTCTCCAAGTTTTCCACTTGGAAAAAATACCCAAACAAATATCACTGATCAAATTCTGTTTATTCTTCACAACTTCCTGACTGTTATCTTCATTTGCTTGTAAAATATCACAGGAAGCACAAGTGATAAGCTGAGTGTGATTTGACTTATTTCACAACTAAAATATATAACCTCAAGCTCTCCATATTTCACTCATACATACGAAGCGCTAGACTTTTGCACAACGTGATGGGATCTCCAGAAAGTTTCCGCATTTTAATGCAAAAGAGGAAAAATTCCAAAGAGATCTCAATTTCTACTCTCTGCCTCGTTATTGTTTTATGTGTAGTTTCCGTTATCTCGGTGAACTTTTACATGCACCAGACAACGGTAAGGAAATGGGAAACTATTTTTCTTTTATAATTCATTTTTTAATATTTGCTTACAAAGTACATAATTTTTGTTCAAAAATATTATTGAAAACTTTTTCACACCAAAGTATTTTTTTTCAACGAATTCAACAGTTCATGAAAGTGGAGGAGGCGATGAAAGTACTGGCAAACCTTGCAAACAATGAGAAGGTGTACAGAGATCTTTTAATCAAGGTAATAATGTCACAATTAAAAGTAACATCATCAAGCTTATGCAATTAAAAATGATGTTTTAAGTGTTCATTGAAAAATCCTGATAGCCATGTGGACGAAGAAGATGGTGACGAGGGATCAGGTTTTATTTTTTAATTCTTTTTACGAGATAACCCCATCCTCATTGGTAATTTTAAATTAGTTTTGTACCTTTTGAGATGAATAAATAAATACGAATATTCTGTGTGTGTGTGTGGTTTTTTTTTTCATTTCTACCAGTTCTATAGAATTTTGGAACGTCACACTTCCTTGGTCCGCGAAACACGGAAGGCCTGCAATTTACTACGCGATCATAAATTTCGACGTCTTTTTTTATTCGCCCCATGTGTGTGCGGCGGATATAAATCAAGACGGCTGACCATATTTCCTCAGAACAAACTCAATTTGACAAGAGTTGACTGGGTGGTAAATTATTTTCAGAGGGAGCGAACGCGCGGGCGTTGCGCCTCCAGTATGTGTAGCGCAATAATAAAGTGAGGGAGTCAAAAAGGAGCGGCCCGTGTGCAATAATTCGAGAGCGCAGGAAGTGCCGACATGATTTGTGAGTCGCCGGGTCACGAATGTCGTCAGAGACGCTCTTTCTCTACTTTTCGCCACACTTTTAACTTTTCCGTCCTTCTTATTATTGGATTTGCTAGACACGGTGTGGAGTGAGAGAGCAGCACGTTCCGCACCTGAAAAGTAAAGGGCTGCACCCCTTTCGAAAAATTCTCTCTCGTCGTCGCTTTTTCCCATTAATCCGTTCGATTAACTGCCAATTCAGCCCTCTTGATGTTTGCCAATGCGGATTGCATTATTGATTTCATCAAAGCGGGCCGAGTGGTGTGGAGAGAGTGATGCTCGCGTAGATTGAATCGGCCCTCTCAGCACACGGTGGCGGCGGAAGAGAGAGCGCGCGGCGAGCACACCAATTAGGCGGGCCGTCCCCATGCCAAATAAGCGGCGGCTCGAAAGCTTCCAGGCACCTGCCGCCTGTCTAAACAATTTGTCGCGCGCCCACCTTTCTTATATACTCTCTCTTTCCTGGCACAGCTGCTGCAGGAAATGGGGCGCGTTTGCCGAAGCTTTTCATTATTATTTGATCTTAATTACTGAGGGAGGGATTCGGGAATTTCCTTAATGGAAATGCGACGCCGACTGCGGATCAATTTCATTCAATTATCAGCGATTTATTTATTTATTTATTTTTTTTTTACAATTTTTGGAATTTTGCAATGTTTTTTTAAAGTTATAGAAAAAATATTTTATGCTGAAAACTATTCTAGCACATGCAATACACTTGAAAATTATTTAATACATCTTTTCGCATTAATATGTAACATTTAAAAAACTAAACACTTTAGTTTTTATTACATTCTTTAAATATATAAATATAAATTAAAATTACATACTAAAATTATTTTTAATTAAATTTTATCTTTTTGATATTTTTTACTGCACAATAAAAGCTATTTTATATTAATATTATCCTTTAAATAATTGGTTATAAATTTAATACTACATTCACCCTCAATATTTTTATTTTATAATTATGATTCAGTGTTTACACTGTTAATGCATAAATTAAGATATTTAATTCTGGACTTGATGCCCATAGGCTGTTTTGCTGGTTGATAGAAAATATGTATTGCAGCTTCATTAATCAGGTTTTAGCTATCAAATTCTATACGATTGGAAAACAAATTATTAATAAAATAAAGTTAAATTAAATTAATTATGGACTATCAATAAGAAATTATTCTTAACTCCGTGTTCCATTCGTAACTTGATATTGAATATTGAATTGGATTTTATATTTTAAGAAATAAGCCAAATGTGTAATGTAAAATTCCTTCCCGAAATGTAAAACAAAAATCCTAATCTATAAATTTCAAATTGATACAGAGACTTCCTCTGAAATCTACGGTATTTTTTTTTGTTCAATTTTTTTTTTTTAATATTGTAATAAATGGAGCGAAATGGAGAAAAACTATGTATGTTTGTATCTAATAAAATTGTTCTTCCCTATTCACAAAGATATTCGAGTTTGCCCTATTTTGACTCCCGTATAAGTCAATAATCATTATTTTCTAACCTTATTGTAGAGGCGTATCATTTACTCCAACGATCTATACAATATATTCATGGCAAAATGAGAAAATTGAATCAACCTCAATGCGTTGGGCAATCAAAGCTCTCTGGCTGGGAAAGCCTTCTTGAGCCTAATTAATTCCGAGCCAGGTGCCGCGCTCGAGAGTTGACGTGCACAAAACAGGCTCGGATTTCCGTTCCGAGAAGTCTCATTGGCGGGGGTCGTTTGTCGTTCGTTGCACCCCGAATTCGAAAGCCCATTGTCCGGCGGCGTCATTTCCATTCGGTGTTATTAGAATCGATGGCGTTTTTCTTTGCTGCAAGAAGAAGCACGCGAGAAGGATGGCCTTTGTTTCGGCGAGAGTTAAAATCCAGCCACGTCCCCTCGTGGCATGACCCCATCAAACCCTTATGGGCTCCTATGGCGGAGGAAGGATATTGGCTTTTGTTCACGCCACTCTCACGACCTCCGATATGTCATCAAACGTCGACGGCCCGATGAAATTTTTATTTCGGGAACGTAAACGGAAGGCTTCTTTCTCTTGTGATTTATTTGATACACCCTCATGAAAAAAAAACGTACACACAGTTCTGATTTCGCTTGGACTGATAACAAAAACAGAAGAAGAGCCGAGCCGCCCCCACTGGAATAATTAATTGGCTCGGTCTTAAATAGAGGTCAATGAGTTGCGTGTTTTTTTTATTTTGGCGTCTTGCAACATTCGCCTCATTTCACTTCCTTGTTGTGTAACGTGCTCATGGGCGATCATCAATCTCGGACAAATTTTCTCAGTCGCTCGTGCGCTGAATAAACATGCTCGCGGGGCTTTTGAGCAACAAGAATAATCCGGCGCGAAATTGTCAAACGGCAGGGGATGTGAAAAATGAGAGGAAAGTCTGTTGCCGACTGTGAAACGAGCCCTGGGTAATTTGCTCCCAGCTCTCCGTCAGATGAAAATTTTCCTTTTCTCTGCATTGAAGTTGTTTCCATGCTAAAGAGAGCAGAAATTTATGCAAAGAAAGAAAAAAAAAGGAAAGAGACTTCATGTTTTCATATGTTAGAGAAAATATATTAAAGTTTGCAGTGAAGATTTTGAGTCGTTTCCAAATGAGCTTAACGTTTTGTCAAAATGGATCGATATCATTATGACAATGCAAACTGTCTACATCAAAGCGAAACGTCTGCAGGCTATGAAATCGATTTTGCGCTAGAGCTTTATAGTTTGTCAAAAGAGGCGGCTCGAATATAATGACGTGCTCCAATTTACTTGTCAACGTTTGAATGGCTGCCTTGAAATAATTGATAACTTAAAGTGAAGGACATGTGCATTATTTTGATAAGAGTCTCTACTTCAACGACAATGGCGTGGGTTAGCAAATTGATAAAAACCGTAATTAAATGCCGCAAACAGAGTCGAGTATATCTCTGTGCAAACAGACCGGAGCCTGCGATTGCTCCACAAAGTTGCAGCGCCGAGAGAATCCCAAGCAGACGAATTTACGGTGCATTCGTTCGCTCGGTTGAATGGCCAACATAAATATACGAGGTCAGCAGCTCCACTCTGCTGCATCCGCGCGCGCTTCATGACCTACAAAACCCGTGTTTTTCCGCTCTGTGCAAATAGACTTTACGTATTCTGCACGAGCATCTCTTAAGGTCGCCGTGCTCTCTTCAGCTGCACGACAAAGCGTCGCTGAATTTAATTTCTCCGGGTAGAGAGAGTAACAAGCTTTTTGCATTTTCGCCGGGAATTGCTTTCGCTATTTTTGAAAGCGCCGGTTTTTGCGACTCTGAAAGTGTCTAGACTACGATGGCGGGTCTTGAGAGTAGTTGCGAAAGCAAAGAAATTAGCAATGCCACGACTACTCTTCTTTTTCAGACATACATTATATATGAAAGTTTCCAGCCCAGTAATGGTTTGAAATGTCTGCCAGAAGATGAATTCTCCGCAAGCTATAGGGCCATTGTTGTTGACGCCAAAAGAAATATTTCGGAAGTTCTTTCACGAAATGATACTTAAAATATGTATGATATTCTCATTTTGTTAATAGTTTTGCTGTTTGATTAGATTTAATACAAGCAAAGAGTTTAAAAAAATTAAACTACTTTAAAAAAGCTACTATTATTGTACTTACTATTGTAGACAAAAGATTATTTTATATAGATTTTTGAATTTAAATTATTTCCTTGATTTTGGTTGATTATAGAATTTATTAATTTACAATATTCAGCATTTCTGTTTTGTCTTATTTTTAACTTTTTTTGTTATTTAATAATATTTTTACTGAACAAATTCAGCATCATGTTCATAGTATTCATAAAATATTTTTAGTATCACAAATTGAAAATTCAGTCTACCTGGGAATGTCAAATAGTTGATTGAATAAATTTAATGTCATTTTATCAAAATATTATCCTCGAATACAAATTTAGAATTAAAAAGTTATGTTTCCAAACCAAAATTTCATTCAAATACAATTTTCTAGTGTTAAACGTCCTTGTGCAGAATAAACGAGACATGCAGGGGTGCTATTTTTGCACACAAGTATGTGTGTGCAGTGATCTTACGAAGCGGCGCCACCGACCTTCCCGACAGTGTATGGGACGAGTGCGACAATAAAAAATTGTATATTTGTCTCGGCGAGAGCCAGACGTCTGCGAGTAGAGCGGCTCAAATTCTATTTCTGCAGAATACAAATGAAGTAAACGCATGGAAAATGTTTCGTGCCAAAAGCAGCAGCTTTCGCTGCGGACATTATTAAAAAGAAGCAACGTTCCGCCGCAACGTCCAAAATGTGTACGGCTGCAATTTCATATTATTTGACGCTTTTTCTGCAGCGCAGTAGCTCTCAATTTAACTCCCGAGTTATGAATCCTGCAGAGGTTCAAAGAGAAAGAATATGTGGCCGGGGGCGCGTTCCACGTAAATCCCATTTCGGTGCCGTGTAATAAAATTTCGCCAAAAGGGGAAAACCGCGCGTCGGTTTGGCGGAGCACAAGGAGTAGTCAGTCAGTTTGCTGTCAGCAATTATTTAATTAAAACCGTCTCCTTCATGCAGCGAAAGTTGAACAAAGTAAACAGCCCGGATAAAAAGAGAAGGCACAACTTTTCGAGTG